ACTTAGTGACGAGATCAAGCAAAACTAACTACGAGAGAACAACTAGAGAACTGACAATTTGACTAACAATAGACTACTGTTTAACTGTGACGGATCGAAAAGCACCAATCACTGATTACGAGTCTTCATAGCCAATAACATCACGGCTTAACTGACAGACGACCAATAACATCGCGACATAATTGACCAATGAGATCAATAACCAGAGTATAATACCATCAACTGACGTGATACAACTCACTTTGACTCTGAAGATGACTACCGCACAGGTTGTCGAAACGGCAGTCACTGTCAACAACAACAGTCCTATTCAGGACTGCGTTCACCCGGACGATCAAAGTCAACCTTTTGATTAGAAACTAAGGAATATCTAACTTTCACTTCAAAAGCGAAACATAAATTCTCTTCTTAAACAAGATGAAGATACATAAATTTATGCTCACGTTCTCGCGACGTTTGGTCTGGACGGCAAAGATGGCGTTTTCACTTTCTAAACTTCACGTGGACGACGAGTGAAGCATGCACAGTAGCGCGCTAAGCGGTATTTTCACTTCTGGTCGTCGTCCTCAGGGCTTCTCGTCAACCTTGCGTAAGCTGCCTATTAAGAATTCCTCGTGTTTTGATAATAAATCTTCGAACGCCAGTTCATGTTTTTTCAGCTCCTTTCTAATTTCTTCCGCTGGCCGATTTGTAGATAATTTATGACAAACAACTTTTCCTTGACGGGTTAGCGCGCCCTTACAATTTCCCCGTTTTATCTTGGCCTGTTTGATAGCGTTTTCTTGTGCTTCAGTCATTGTTTATCGTCTTGAATTCGTTACGAACCTTGGTTAGCCAGAAATCGAATGATGCTTCGCAATAGAACTGAGACGATCCACTGCCGAAGAATACTCGCAATCGTATAACTGATAATGTATTTATTCGATCTGAAATTAAAATGTACAATGTATTTTAATTAACTAACTCAATTGGTAATAAACGAAACAATTAAAACGAGCGAAGCGGGAATAACTGATATAAACTTTTAACAATGATTATGCCATGCGGTCACTGGTCGTCAATATCCAAAAACTCATGAAATCCATATAAAACTAACAAAACTAAAATGATTGACAATATTATAACATTGCTCATAAACTTACTTCTATGGCGAGTTTTCTTAACTTTCCTTGATCGGGATAACCATGAAACAGTGTAACTGGTAAGTAGTAAATCACATGAAACATGTCCAATTCAGATCTCTGGTAAAACTAAACTTCTTAATTAAAGTTGAGTTTTATCTACTATTTGAGTTTCCTCTTGGGCGTGTACTAGGCTACCGCAAATTCCTCAACTATGAATTCCTTGCATAGTCCAAAAAACTACGTTAACATTTTGAAAACAAACAGTAGTCTCGAGGAACGGTCGAAATTCTCAACAACACTCGCCATGGTATCAACGCTTCAACTCCCCTCCACACGATTCGCGCACATCACTGTTACTGGTTGCTAAGGCAACCCATGACACTTGCTTTTCAAATCGACGAATAGAAAATGGACTTTTCCATTGGAATCTATTCCTTTCCAATGCATCCGATGGAATCCATCGGAACGACTTTCTAGCCCCTCGTCCGACATGAGTAGAATTTTTCTAAGTCTCTCACGAATAGAAAATGAACTTTTCCGTTGGAATCTTTTCGTGTCCAATGGATCCGTTTGCCTCCATCTGAACGCCTTTCTATCCCCTCATCCAACATGTGTGGAATTTTCCTAAGTCTCTCACGAATAAAAAATATACCTTTCCATCGGAATCAATTCGTTTCCAATGGATCCGATGGACTCCATCGGAACGACTTTCTACCCCCTAATCCAACATGTACATGTGTGGACTTTTTCTAAGTCTCTCACGAATAGAAAAACGAACTTTTCCATCGGAATCTATTCATGATGAACTTGGTAAGACTTTAACCCACTAGACCTACGGGGTTACCACCGGATTCTAGCCAACAGTACCACGAGACTTCCGGTTTTCCGATGGAAAGCAAGGGGATACGACTGGATTCCAGTCAACAATATTGGACAACCCTCTCCTCAATGTCTCTGCCTGGGGTAGGAAATTCCGCATCTGGATCTAAGTGTGGTGCAATAGCCTGAAAGCACTCGGAGTTGCCTTTCACATCTAATTGTATTTCATCACAGCTTACTTCCTTCGATGTGCCCTCTAGATTTTTTATTTGACCTTGTATGCCTGGGCTGCGAGTACTGTTTACATCTACATCTTCGCGTGCCTGGAATTTATCACAGTCAGTCTCCCTTATGTTTTCACTGTGTCTGATTGATCACTATCACCAGCCCACTCACACGAAGTTGAAGAATTATCAGGTTCTGACCCACTGCTGCTCCAGACATGTAAACCTAGTGTTCTAAGAAATGCTCGTTTTTTAACGGCATCAATTTGCATCACTTCATTTCTAATTTCACAAGTCTTTTGCAAAGCTCCCTGGACTTCGTTTTTCAGTGCACCATGGTTGGAGATTCCGTAAGTTTGAGATGACTTCTTCTCAGAACGTTTTCTTGACGCACAAGCTGAATACTTCATTTATTTACGGTCAGGCTCCATAGAAGCGTTAACGCCGCATGCCATCTCTCTGGCTGACAGGAACGACCCGCTTTGCGAGTGTTGATATAACCTATCAAATCCGACCAATCAGAGGGTATACCAGGAGCTGGTGTACCGGAACGGGTCTCGTTTAAAGAAATGATTACAGCCTCCGCCGCCCCTGCTCTCCCCAGCTTCCTCCCGTTTTATTTTCTTGTTCACGCTTTCTCAATTCAGCGGAGACGACTATGTCGGAGCCTGGAACAGGCTATAGATTCGTATGTTTAAACGTGCAGAGAAAAGGTGTTCTCCAGTTAGGTCTTGCCCAACACTCCACATGAGTGAAGATAGCGGAGCAATTCACAAGAGGTGTCTTTGGAGTGATGCGAGAAGTAGGCTGAAGCCCACAGAGGAGTTACACTTTACTTAAAAGGTAAACTCCTAAGATAGAGCCATCTGTTATATTCTTCAGGGTGGAGTGTGTTTGCAAACAAGTGTATATATGTATTCATTCATATCCTTGAACTTTATTTGAATGTATTTCAGAGAGCGCTCAACTCTGTATATTCTGAAAACGCCAATACCACACATCATATCAAAAATAGCCCGATAACATCACTGTGAGTCTTAACTGTTCTGTCTAAAATGTGACATATATGCAAGGCCAGTGCTTAGATACGGTAAACAAAGTTTTTGGCAATTAATTGTGCGCTTCAGTACCCGTCATAAACGTCGTTCAGCCCTCCAAGATATTTTGAAACATTTCGTAGATGGACACACAATATAGTCTATAAGGTATTGCTTGACTTGCATAACAGCCATGTTTTAACGAATTTGGCGACTGGAAATTGGATATGAAAATTCTTCACTCCAGTCCTCCTTGCTTCTACCCACCACGGAATTTCGGAAAATCCAAACGGCCACCCTGCAATCATGGTTAGCCACCCTGGAATTCGAAATTCTTAATATACCTGTCCTGGAAGTTTACCCCTGCTACAGGGTGCCCACCCAGGAGTTTACCCCGCTGCAGGGTGCCCACATTAGAATTCAGAGCTTCTCTAGGACAACCTACCCTGGGATGCCTGAGGTCAGCAGGGTTTGTGGGTGGATATTTTATGCGCTTACCCGTGGCGAATTACTCATGGCTGTCTTGGAAAAACATATTTTTTATAAAAAACAAGAAGTATAAGCAATAGATAGTAAAAAGTATCGCCTACATGATTATTACTAGCCAACTCTAACGGGCTGGTCTACGCCATCTGCCTACGTCATAAGCTAAGGTTTGCTCAGGGAGTCAAAGAAGGACTAAAAGTTAATGTCATTTTTGATGGACAAAACGGTTGATTGTAACCATTTGTAGGTATCCTTGTGATGCATTTAATTTGGGGGCAATAGTAAAACGTACTTATGATCCACTGGCGCTGTATCGTTCGCTGTGGGCCTTCAGTACTTGCTTGTATGTCCCCTAGCCTTAGCTCTGTTTTGCAAGTTGCGCACTTTGCAGTTCGGTTTATCAATCTCGTGTTTATGAAGTAACCCTTTTCAGTGAATGGGGGCATTTTTGTAGCGGCTACTTTTTCTGTAGCCTGCGAACCGCACACGTATTTCCGGTCTTCGGGGGAAGAGAAGCGACGACCGGAAATACGTCTGCGGTTCGCAGGCTACTGTTTGTGGAAATCCCGACAAAATTTTTCTCCCATTCGGAGGCCGTAAAAGTCATTTTATACATAAGTTGGCCTTCTTTCTGAAAGGTGAACACGTTGTGAAATAGCCAGATCATCTACTGTCATTTCTGTCGGCAAGCGGGATAAGTACAGCAGACGGAGTCTTTTGTAAGATTATAGTCTCTAAACACCTCATCGTGTCTAGCACTTTTTAATAATTATGACTCGCATGGCTCGCACATTGTCCAGACCCTTAGCTACCCCGGGGTTTGAATACTAACGAGTACTTTTACAGGATTTTCTTTCTGTAACAAATCTTAATCTGGCATCTTAATTTTCTTAATTCGTCCTCGTCTTAAAAAGAAACATAAATTATGTTTCCATAGTTCCTACGTTCCGAGGCGTCACAAACGTGCCTAAAACAAGCACACATCAAAATTGACTAGCCTGTTCCAAGCGTTCAGATAGTGGAGAGCGGTGCGAAGTGAAGAAAGCGATGAGAAGTAGAGGGGGACTGGGGAGAGAGGTGCGGGAACGCCTGTAAGAATTTTTAACAAGATTGCGTTCCGGTATACCAGATCCTGGTATACCCTCTGATTGGTTGATTTTGACAGTTTTTGTCAACAGTGGAGCGTCTTCGATCACAGCGAGAAATGGGGTATGGCGGTGATAACAGACTCTACGTCCCGTCAAGCAGAATTCGAACTCGCAACAAACACAGCGCTGAGTGACTCTCCAAACGTGGAGGCTAAACGGGGAGAGCAAAGAAACTGTTTAAAACACGTAGTCGGCAGGATAGATGTCTTCGCAATTTCACCGACTGGCTTTGGAAAAAGCCTTATTTTCCAGCCTTTTCCTCGAATAAAGCGTGCGTTGGAATGAAGGCAGGATAGAATGCCATTTACGATTGTTGTGGTAACTACGTTGATTGCCATCATGAAAGACTAAGTGGAACATTTGAACAAAATCGAAGTAGCGGCGGCAATGATGGGAGAAGATGTGGATGAAGCCGTTAAAAGTGGAAGCTGTGAAATTGTATACTGCAGTCCCAAATCGTGGCTGTCTAAGGAATGGACAAAAGGACTTCAAAAAGGAAAGCTTGGAAAGCAAGTTGCAGCTATCGCTATTGACGAGGTCCACTCAATCACCGAATAGTAAATTTTCCCTTCAATGGTTGTGCATTTTCATTGCTTGAGTTAACGATCTGTATTGAAACGACTTCAGTTTCTATCGAAATGAGCGATATTGTTTGTCACTTGATTCATAATATTTCTTTGTCACGTACACGCTGAAATCATGTTTTAAAGCCGTAAATAAATTCATTGTGCATGAATACTTCTCCCGCTCTCTATTGTCTGAAAGTCTTACATTAGGTTTTTAGTAAGATTACGTATACATAATATTAATTTTTGATCTGAGAAATTTCGATTTATTCGCAAGAAAAATAATAAATGTATGGGGCCGTAACACCAGTCTTGATTGATAAGTGTAGACCACCTACAGCTGTGGGCGGAAGAGTTTATTTAAAACAAATCTTACAGGAGTTCCCTCTCTCACCTCTCCTCCTCCCTCGCCTTTATTTTTTCGCGCTCCGTTTTACTTCGCACCGCTCCCCACTATCTGAACGCCTGGAACAGGCTAAAATTGACTGACTCAGTGCATCATTCCCAAGACAATAAATGAGCGCCGCGTAAAAGTAAGGTGGGAAGCCGGGGAACGAGGAAGTGTCTGTATAACCACAGGTTACCCAGGCTCTGTGATAGAACCACAGTACGGTTCCAGTAAAATTACAGTGTTTGTATGGGGTAAAAAAACGATCCTAAAATTTCCAGGAAATACTAAATAAAGATCAATGAAACTTACTCTGCAGTTAATTGTTGTTGTCCTTAATACTCCAACGAAGTTTCGTGATAATTTGTTCAAATTCACTCTATACACAATAATAATATACAAGGTAGGAGACACGAGATGCCATTTTCGCCGCCATGCTCCCTTTCAACACAACTTTTTCCACGAAATTCGAACTCCAACGGAAAATAAACATGCCAGCTAAGGATCGTAGAAATAGGATAGCAGTAGATATAGAAACTAATGAAGCTTTCCCAGATAAAGAAACGAATTCTACAGACTTTGACAAACTCGAAGGGTATTATCCAAAAAGACCGAGAACATGCTCGGCGAAGTAGCCGAGCCAGATCAACGCGCGGCCAAGAAAATGAGGCCTGGGCACTGTACAAAAAAAATCCATCCCTGGAGTCCTGAGGTTTCCTTTCTGGGCACCGATACATCATTTGCCCAAAGCTACCCTCCCCTGCTGAAAAAATACTTGATAGAGGGTAATAGACCTTTTTACCGATACGGCGGGCATATTGAATTAATTCGATCTAAGGAGTATTATAGGATGCCCATTGGGCATGAGCACATTTCGTTTGTATTTTCGAGCGCTTTTCGGGACATTTTTTTCTTAACGATTTGTTAGAATAAGATTGTAATGAGAAAAAAGATCTTTGTGCCGTGTTTGGATGTAATAATGATCGTCTTTTTCCGAGAAATATACTGTGAAAGATTATATTTCTAATACTAAACTAGAAAAAGGCGGTCATTAGTGCATCCAAACACGGCACAAGGATCTTTTTTCCCATTACAATCTTACTATAAGAAAACTTTAAGAAAAAGTGTCCCGAAAAGAGCTCGAAAATACAAACGAAATGTGCTCATGCCCCCTGGGCATCCTATAACACTCCTATAGACCTTTTCACCATTATGTCCCTCTCGAGCTATATTCAGCACCTGGCGCTGGTCCTCAAATAGTCTATCAAACATCAATAGGGCAAGGTTATAAGTACAAAGGAAATAACAACGAAGGAGGATTTACAAAACTTAAAACGAGCAAAAGATATAAGTGAATTTTGGCTCTTACCGCGGCATTTGTACAACAGGACCAAATTCAATTAAAGAGAGGTGTCACGATGGTTCACATATTTAACTGATAGAACGTCCGGTTGTATTGACAAGAAGTCGGCGTGTTACGGCCGCATTAATCGCTAAATATGTTAATCACGCTAGTTCTTTATTTACTGGTGCACATGAGTTTCACGTTCGTCTCAGTCATCGCAATTCATCTTCTGTTGGAATTTCCTGTATAATTTTTGACATCATTCTGTAAGCTTCACCGTTTATTTGCGATCGTTTCGCTCCAGAGTTCACAGCAACAGTATCTCAGTCATCATCTACCTCTTGTTCAACCTTGTTTTGAGCCCTCCTTGTAAGTATTTCGCGTTATTATTTCATAGTTTCATTACTGTTATTTGCATTCTTTAGTAAAAGAAATGGGGGGCCTTGTAACTCGGCAGACTATCCTGGTTTTATTTATTTTTTTTAGCCATTTAAATTTAGGCGCGTGTGCAGGGTTTGTTCTGGCGAATTGTGATTGGCTAGGGGAACAATTGCTTTCTATCAAGTATTTTTTCAGCAGGGGAGGGTGGCTTTGGGCAAATGATGTATCGGTCCCCAGAAAGGGCACCTCAGGACTCCAGGGATGGATTTTTTTTGTACAGTGCCCAGGCCTCATTTTCTTGGCCGCGCGTTGATCTGGCCCGGCTACTTCGGCGAGCATGTTCTCGGTCTTTTTGGATTATATTCTTCGAGTTTGTCAAAGTCTGTTGGATTCGTTTCTCTATCTGGGAAAGCTTCATTGGTTTCTATATCTGCTGCTATCCTATTTCTACGATCCTGGCATGTTTTTTTTTCCGTTGGAGTTCGAATTTCGTGGAAAAAGTTGTGTTGAAAGGGAGCATGGCAGCGAAAATGGCATCTCGTGTCTCCTACTTTGTATATTATTATTGTACATAGAGTGAATTGGAACAAATTATCACGAAACTTTAAGGACAGCAACAACTAACCGCAGAATAAGTTTCATTGATTTTTATTTAGTATTTCCTAGAAATTTTAGGATAGTATTTTTACCCCATACAAACTCTGTAATTTTAATGCAACCGTACTGTGGTACTATCACAGAGCCTGGGTTACCTGTGGTATAACATTTTGCTGAATGCACTTTAGGTTCCCTTTTGTCAGCTATACTTCAGTGTGACTAACTACCCACTAAAATAGTGATCTTCAATGATTGGCGAAACTTGTCATGTTTTCGAGCTTGTTTATCGAAAAGCGCTTGTTTACTGTTAAAACAGTTCTCTAACGGGAGGGGAAGGGAGTTTCGGCTTTTTCAAACTAACGCTTAATCGAAAGGTTTTATTAGTGACGTCAAGATACACCGTCTCACCCTACGGGTTCGGGTAAGCGAACATGTTTACTTCGTACTTTTGTAAAGGGCAACCATTTCCCAGACGATGACGGTGTACCCATGCCACCCGGTATCCTACCCGTTTCTCCTGAGTTAGAGGCAATCTACCTGTATTCACGGCCACGTGTACGGCCAATTTACCCGTACCCGTACACGGAAACGGTGAACTTTAAGCTCTCTAATGTTTCCTAAAATGGGGGTGGGGAAGAGAGATCACGTGCACAGGATCATACACAGGCCATTTCAACCCAAATAAGGTACAGCGTGTTAGTATTTTTGCAACTGGAAGTAGCTTTTTAAAGAATGGAAGTCTCCAGTCTTCCGTTTGTCAGCAAACAGGAAGGGTGGAAGTCAAATAATGACTTGAGTAAACGACAATGCGATACCAACATTTGCTCCTAATATTCCTGAAATCCAAAGAAACTGCGAAACAATTGGGCATGAGTCCTTCCTTTGCACCATGATAAATGATTGACAGTTTGATGATATGGCAACAGAGAAAAATCCATTCGTGAATGCCAACATCAAGTAGGAGCCTATCATGAACAAATTATAATAAACCAAGAATGGTGTGCGAATGTAAAACACCGCTGAGAAAGCAAATCCCAGGCGGAGAATTGAGGCTGTTAGATAACAGAACGTTGCCACATTTACATCTAGTTGCAGTTTATCGCAACAGAAACGCGAAAACAGGCGTCCAATAAAATCTCCAAATCTGAAAATAGCCACAAATACTGTAGCAAGATAAACGGTCCAAAACGGCGAGATACTCGTACGTGAACTGTTATACGTGGCATCGTGGATAAACGGAGCAAGTGAAAGTACAAAATAGCTCACGAGCGACAGAGTGAACTCGGCGAGCAAATACCATTTTATGGCATGATATCTTCTCTTTGCAGTTTCTGGTACAGATCCTAGTGTAATGTTCTTTGGGCTGTGAGCCACACAGTCCCTCCCTGCAAACAACTCGTATATTCCACTTTTACTAAGTCTTATCAGTGAGAAAAGTCCAAGAGAGAGCCCTAGAAACACTGCACCGAACAGCACGTATAGGCAGAGGGTCTTGTGGTCAGACAGTTGTGATTCGCTTGAGTTCAGACCTGTTGATAAAACTAGGATGGTTTGGAGTAAAACAGGAAACAGAGTTCCCACACCTGAAAGTAGAGAACAGGAAAGAAGTTACATAATGATTTCGTAACATTATGTGACTTGTGCGCAACTATTATGAACACCCGGCTTCCTGACAATCGCAACAATTAGAAAAGTTTTCAGCCTGAGAAAACGGCCGACATTTTTCGTCGCCACCACTGGATTCCGCGCGAGATGACGTCTGAGAATCTCAGGACCCTTGACGTATCATAGCCCAGATCTGACTAGTGCTTCTGATTGGTTGAATCAAAATTTTCCCGCGGCACGACCAATCAGAAGCACTTACCTGAAATTTTTGCGCATGGAATTCATCAGACACATCGCGGGGAATCGGTTTTGGCTTCTCGAAATGTCGGATGTTTTCGCAGGCTAAAATGTATCCTGCTACTTGGCAGGAACAGTGAGAGACGAACTCGCCTCCGAGGGAATCAAATCTACCATGGAGAAACTGATACACTTTATGTTGCTATTTACCCTTTCGCACCACGGTAATTGCGGGCGACAACAGGAGCCCGCAATCCTAATCTCCAGTATGTTATTACGCATGCGTCGCATGTTTGTAACCAGCATTCGTTTGGACTTCCACTAAGAATAAATGGAATGCATATAACGCAATTTGATCACGCGCGTTTGGACCTTCTATCACTCGTAATCTGATCACCCGTGTATTAACTATCTGTCACTTGAAACCGTCACGCAAAGTACAGCGATTGAGCGAAAGCGTTTTGAACTTCGATCGTAGTTGTTCCCACTCCGTAACCTTCGGTTATTACTAGTACTATGTTATACACCCCTATACTGATCTGAACACAGCTAGCTATGCTGAGCTATCATCAATAACCTGCTACATTAAGCTGTGCATCTGTCCATAATCACGGCACAGCTACTGCGAACTGTGCTATACTCCGTTTTAGCGAGGTACAGATAATGACAGCGTTATTATCGTTCAATTTTATCCTTGGTTTCAATAGTATTTTCTTTTGCTCCGTTTTTTAGGGTTTTGCTATGTATTAAAAAGAGTTTGAAACTCCGAAAAATAAATTTTAAATGAAGGATAAACTCGGAACACAACATTTACACCAAACTACTGATTAAACTGTTCACAGTCCCCTATTGTTTCGTAAGATAGCGCTTTGCGTTAGAGGCGGCCATCTTGGATAAGCGCTAAATCTTTTCTTAGGGAGCAGAAGAAGGTAAACCCCGACGCCCCCTCCCTCGGTACATATGAAACCAAGATGGCTGCCCGTACTGGTAAGCGCTCCTTCCTGACGATCTTATGAAAAAGTAGGGGACTGTGATAAGTCTAAATATTGATCCGAAGACTGTTTTCGCCGTGATAGGAAATTCTCATTTTGACTGTTTGTCCGCTGATACTTTTACTTTCAAGAACCAGTGCATTTTCAGCTAGGTCTAAGCGTGTTATACTACTAGATGAGATATTTCTGCAAGTTGATTGGCTTGGAGCAGTGGTATTGCAGCTTAATTTGAAATACCTACATGTGAAACTGAGTTACAAAACCTTTGCGGGTAGTAGTATAAACAAATAATAGCATGATTGGTAGGTGATATTTGGCATAAATACCACTCATGATATTTCAAAATTGTCTCAAAATATCACTCGTGGTGTTTATGCCAAATATCACTACAAATCATGCTATTACCTATACTAATAGGGCTATTAGTAACCCAAATAATATATCATTTTACTGCTTACCATTGCCATAGTGTATCAACATATTGCTCTTTCCCCCAGGAAACAGTACAATGACTCGACTAACCAGCGATTGGCTGAGCCCTGCACAGAACCCATTCAAGCTTATGACGCCATATATGGTAATGACTGACAAGGTGACGCCAGCGGTAACAAAGGACGGTATAACGACTACACATGCGCACATCAAAACGAAGCAAACCGGAAGTGTAGGAAAGAATGGGACCCAGTGTTTTTTACCGCAGAATACAAGCAACATGGCGATCAGAAAGGGAAGATGATGACAAATTCCTGCAAATAGTTAGGTAAATTAGCGTAAACAACAATGAAAGTGAGGAAACGGATGGTTGCACATATTAAATCAAAGGTGGTGGTGGTTGGGGGGGGGGGGGGGCAACTTTCATTTCGTTGGTTAATATCTGACGAAGCAAACCCCTCCTGCAACAAAAAAACTAAAGAAAGTGTTGAAATGAAAAAAAATTTAATCCCCAAGCAGGAATCGAATTCACGACCTTCCATTTACCCGATGGATGTCTAACTGTAGGATTGGGGAGGCCATCTCGCCAATACACAGGACACTAATCAAAGCATGTCACTTACTACATTTCCTGCATCTTGCAAGCATAGTAATAAGTGGTGTGCTCACTTAAGAGATTCAGTGAACCAAAGACCATACCTCCTAATGCGATGTGCCTGCAACCCACTAACCAAACGTCCAACCGGTAACCGTAGAAGTTGATGGATTCTATATCAGCTGGAATGCTCGGATTTTATCCTAGCGTTTGTTCGAGCACTTCAATATTACTGTCTTCAAAATAAGTTTAACATACAACCCTTTTAGATCAAAGTAAGGAAGATTTCAAAAGTTGCAGACCAACACACCGTCGAGCAATTTTCATCGGCTAGAGTTTACGATCAACTTTCGCCAAGAATGCAAGCAGTCCTATTGCAGTCGATAGGAATTAAACTAAGATTCGACATTATGTCCCGCGTCGTGTTTTACTTTCAGTTGGATTTGATTATCTGTAGCCCACGTTCGATATATCAAAGTTCTAACATGAGTCCAAGGGGTCCAAGACTTTCTGATCATTTTTCTATATTTGGTTTGGTTTTCATTGTGCTCAATTCTCTTCTGGGAATTGCGAGACAATGGAGTCGTGAAAACTTTGCAATTTTGACCCTAAAGCCTCGGAGTCATGTTAGAATTTTAATATATTGAACGTGTGCTATTGTCCCTTACTTAACTTGTCTTATGGTATCTGCGGTTGTAATTTACTCGCTTTGTTTTATGTTAGTTTATTCTATTTATTGTATTGTAGTGTCTTTACTGTTATTTAGTCTATCTATAGATAAACCTTGTATTTGTAAATATTTTCTTAGCTCCCCCGCCTCCATTGATTCGTAAGCCATTTGTGGGTGGGAAAGTAATGTACGTAGTTATATATTTGATTTCAATAAAATTAGTTGTTGTTGTTAAAAATATGATCATAAATATGGATTTGATTATCTTTAAGACAATCAGCACGGACTGGCATGTTCTCGTATAGTGGCCAATTATTTTAACCTTTACCTTTCCTGACAAGGCACCCCTGAAGCAGTACACCAGTTCATTTAAAGGAGCTGTGTCACGAAATTCAGCCAAATTAGAAAATTAAAAAATGTCCTTTAAATTACGAGAAACATAAAACTAACCGCTTAAAATATTAAAGGAAGGTTAAAATAACACATCAGATTCGACGCATGGGCAAAACTGAAGAAGATTGAAACTGATTTTTGAAAACTGTTCACCCTAACAGTTTTTCAAAGTTCATCTCTCTGCTGTTTGCAACTTCAAAAATAATGCTCAGGAGACACTCTCGAATCTCTGATTTTGTCATTTACATGGAATTTATTTGCTTAATACTTTAAGTTCCATAGCGATTGAGGGCGAGAAATTGGCAAAATTGAACAAAATGAAATGGACTGCCGTGACACGGCCTGTTTAATTGGCCAATTTTGAAACGGTTGTGACTAGAGTGGATACCCCAAAGTCAGATTGTCATCTTCACTCGATCTACTTGATAGGAGTCTTACAACTTAAAGAGAAGAAAGAAAACAGCAGGTAGTATGAAGGACTTGAGCCCGCGTCATTTGATGTATAATCCACATCCGTATCCACTACACCATCAAGGGCTAAATGGCAACACTGGTTAATTTTAACGTACTCTACATGGCACTGATATCGCATTAAAAGCTAACCGCTTTTAAAACAGTGCTTAACCCCAATCACTTTTCTTTGGTGCTATCCTTGTATTCAACTCTTGCACAACTGTCTTTCACTTTGATTTCCCCACTTTTCTAAAAAATGTGCCCAGTAAATTTGAATAAATATAGTATGTATAGTGTGGTATAGAGTATAGCGTTGTGTAATAAACATAAGGTGTCCAACCTGATTTTAAGGTATCAATTCTAGTCACGACCATTTTGAAACGAGAAATGTGTGTCCCGCAATTGTTTCTTTAATTGTTACTGGGGACGCGCCGGTCAGCTATTGGCCATTTTCTCCCCTGTCCTTAATAACCGTCCCCGAAATCTTTGCGAAAATTAACTCGATCCATCCTCTCGTTTCTAAAGCGGCGAAAAGTGTTCCAACCCCTTTATTTTTATCTGACTATAATGGGCAACATTGATTTTCTGTCAGGATGAAGCGACTCAAACACTTCAATTTGTTGTAACGGTTCGAACACATAATATAATTAAATGAGCAATGTGCAGTGTTTCTTTCTCTCTCTTTGTTTTTGTTGGTTTCGAAAAGAATGAAAAGAACAAAAATGTCTCGCAACCTGGCTGTTTACATCAATTTTGAAAGATCTGGGCCTTAGATATATTGCATTCATTGAAAACGTCTATTCAAGAGCTCGGGGGGGAAGGTACTCTATAAAGTGGCCTACACGGGGAGGCTCCGTTCGAAAGGGGTATCTTTTTATGAAAGGGTAGGGATTTTATTAGTTAAAGTATATGAAAGGGAAGAGGAATTTCTTATTTCGGTGTGTAAAAAGTCCCAAAAGGGCTTACAGATGCATCTTATGCCTGTGAAAAAGTCGAGGAAATGTTCGTGTTTTTAATCTATTCAAATTTTAAAGACAGTGAGGTTAAAAGGGACTCGGGGTTTTAAATTAGGTGTTTGAAAGGGGAACCATTTGTCGTTAGTATAATTACATTGATGATTATCAAAAATAGAGCGCTATGATTGGCTAGGAGCTTCGCTTCATCCCGCTATAATCACCGCGCTGTGATTATAACATTGAAGGCCAGCAGTTTTCAAAATGGCAGCCAGATTTGTTGACGTTTCGGAGTCGGAAATTGATCAATAATTTTGTTTTCTCGAATAATCATCAATGTAATTATACTAAAAAAATCAGTCGCTTCAGGCGACGTGAATATCGGCGACCAGTCACCTCGACTTTGTCTCGGCGACTATTCGCCGATATTCACGTCGCCTAATTGGCGACTAATTGTTAAATAGAAACTATATGAAAGGGGTAACTTTTTTGGCAAAATTTAGGTCTCTGGGAAACTGCTCACCTACCCCTCCCCTAAATCAACATTAACACTTCATTCTCACTTAAGGCAAAATGTTGGATTGGGGGAGGGGTAGGTGGGTAATTTCCCAGAAAACCTAAATTGTTCCAAATGTTATACAGAGGGGTTGGAGGTCGGACCTCGAGGCGGAGCCTCCCTGTGTAAAACCTTGTTGAGTACTCCCCTTCGCCCTCCGGGGTCGAGGGGCGCTTAAAGAAACAGGAAATTGGGTTTAAAACTCGACTGCGACTAAGATATTTCCTGCTTTTAATTTATAACATTCGAACTGTGATATTAAAAAATACACTTTCTCAATAATGATCCTGGCTTTGAAGTTAAAGCCTAAAAAGGCCACCATTCTGCTAACATTGATTAAAATTAGTTTGATTTAGTTTGTGAATATCTAATTATTTTCTCTTTCGTAAACGAAAGGACCTGAAAAATATCAGTCGAAACTAGTGTGCGACTGCAGGATCTTATCTCTTCGTTTTATCAACCAGATGCTGTGAAATAGGATGCGATACCTTTTAATAACTTACGGCAGAAAAAAGTAAATTAAAAATTTAGCCAACTAGACTAATGATGGTATGGTTTTTGATCTTTTTGCGCATTTTCACTTTTCACAGCATTTTGACATAGATATAACGTCAAATGATCGATAAATTAAATTTTGCATCAAATACCGCAGTTAATGATATGTAGAAATGAAAAAGATAGTTTTTCTCTGTTATTACAAATAAAAGATAGTGGTTGGTGGTTTATGAGCTGGGCAGGTGTCGAAGGAGCAGCTTGCCGTAAGTCTTTTTTAATTTGCTTCGTATATACAAAATAAAGATGTCAAAATTGAACTCAAAACGTGCTCCACTTTATGCTCTCATCGTGATGCATTGGAATTAACATGTTTTCTCTCAGCTTTTCCTTTGGTTAAATGATACAAAACTGTCCGCATGGTGATCGAGTGAAAAAAAAGTCCCAAAACAATATTTTCTTGGCGTTTGTTTTAACCTCCCAAGGGCTCTAAGCTGGATTAAATTTAAAACAATGATGCGCACTGAGCATGGAAGAAACCAGCAATAAAAGTACTAACGTGAACTTATAATGCAAAAAGGCAACTTACCTATTTCAGATAAGACTTGCTTTCCAAGAAACGGTCGGAAAAACGCCACACTGATGTAGAAAGTATTGAGCAGTAGCGAAGGCACTGCTCCAATCGCCAGCAAATAAAACTTTTCTGTAGTGGAAAAATGCACGTAGGTCGGTAGTCTCTTGTACGGTGTGAGAGAAAGGCGTGAAATTGTGTCCTTAAAGGAGTCTCTTATTAAATCATCAGAACTTAAATTCAAATGAGAGGCAAGCTCGGAAATATGTGTTGAATGATCTGAGGTTCTACTTCGAAAACTACAATCGTTGCGTAGTTCCTCTGAGGGTTTCGATATCGTCGTTGTTTCGGTTTTGCCGGTAGATATGTATTTTATTTCAGATCCGTCAAAAATAATATAACCTGCGTTTAATTTTCGGCTCGCACAGGCTCTTGTAGAATTGGCACATGGCTGAGACAAGTTATTGAACATACTATTCTGCTCCGAAATTGACTCAGCTTTTGGCTCCAAATCATCTGCAGGAAATTGATCACCATCATCTGAGTTCATTTCATGAGATTTTATGGTCTCTTCCAAGCAATTAAGTGCATCTATTTCCAGTGATGTGAAGGACAATTTTTCAAATGTCTCGCCACAAGGGGAACAGTTTAGGTTCTGCATATTCTGAAAATCCATTGTTTTGATGCCGTAAGCACAGTGCCGAAAAACTTCCACTACCGCCGATACCACAACTCGCTTCCTTTCTCCATGAAAAGTAATATCGTTAGTAAATGCAACTTTTTGTCGTTATCAGCCGGGCCAAATGTAAGACAGTCAAGACCCCCAGAATAACACAGCGTAGATAAAAGGCGTTGATTTTACATGACAATAATTTATTTTCTTTTGTGTGGCTTATGAGTGACAACAAACGCGATGTCAAATAAAAATTTGAATACTCCAATCAAATGGTTCGCACCTTCGGAAGTATTTAGAAAACGTTTCTCAGGTTTAGCCGAATTTTGTTCGCGTGACGTGATTATAGGTCACAGCGTTAAGTGAGTGTAGTCTTTTAACTGCTTTTAAATACGCGCTTTGCACGTTTTTGTGCATATTCTGTTTACTAAATGTAAATTACGGCGGCCTGCTGCCATTGCTAATAAAAAAGGTATTGTTTAGTATTGAATTCCTCAGTTACGGAATATTTACAAGCTAAACGCCGTGAAATGTTAATGATTTTTATTCAATTAATCAAACTTTTGACGGTCTCTTCTACTCTTAAACTGACAAATTGATCATTTATAAGCTTCACCTAATTTCTTGATCCCATCATATTGTGTAAAGCAGATTATAGTTTTTCGAAAAAACAAACTGAATGCCGTTTGATTGACAAATTGACAACTGTTAACGAGAGCAGGGACAAGCCTTAATATCCACTTAAAATTCTGTGACTTGATTTTAAGCTGCGATTAAGGCTATCTATGTTCACACCTTAACGGACAATGCTAACACAGAGATCTAGCCAGGACTAAAAGCGAAACTCTCGATAATATTTATAGTTTGCTCAAACAAAATATAAAACTGTGTTATGCCAGCGGCGAAGGCAACAAGAGCAGTGAACAGTGTCTGTAATCCCTGTCGTCACAGTCTTAAATAGTTATTAACTTTTTTTCTGGTCCTGTCTATAAAGTTCTTCCCTGTTTTCCAAGTACATAATGCGTAACCGAGACTACATGACTGTCTTATCGGCCTTTGCGCTGGTAACGACCGGTTCAACTGGGGTTTTGGATTCGCAGAAACAACTCAAATATTTGCTTAAGCGGGGTAGTAAATATACCAATTGTATATCGCTGAAACAAGGACTGCTGTTCTTTAGGGGAAAGGCTGCCAACAGAGTAACTAAAGAAACCACAAGTCCAAAGATACAAAAACAAGCATATTTCTCTATTCACAAGTTACAAATGTGACTTAACATAGAAACGTCCTTTTGGCAAAACGTTCAATTTCCTCAGAAGTTTGGTGGTGTTTGCTACCATTTTTGTAATCTTCCACAGTAATTAGCCTTCCTCTTTCTTGTTTGTTTTGGTCGCCATGGTTTCGGTCGAGCTGCTTTCTTGCCTGCAAGTTCTTCTTGACGTAATCGTTCAAGCTGTTTTTCCAATTGGTATTGGCGATTTTTACGATACAATCTCGAAATAGACTCATTTGGCTCAAAAGAGCGTCCATCGATTTTCGGGCGAAAATTGAATGCTGGGGTGCTTATTGATGTCGCGGAAGTTTCTGTTGCGGTTTGCGTATTCTTCATTGTAGACGGGTGTCAGTAAAACGGGGGGTCGGGTCGAACACGAGGCCGGGGTCGTGGTCTATATTTTGTTAAAAGAATGCTGTTTTAGAACAAAACCCGGAGAACTGAATGCAGGGCAGGCACTATGGCAAAGGGCTGATTTATTATAGGCCAATATTAGCCTTCCTCAGGGCCAGAGCTTTACTGAGAGAATATATCTTTTAACGGCTCCTAAAATATGAATTTAAAATTTACAGAAGTGGTTAACAATAAACTTTTTTTTTTTGGTGTTTTAGAGTTACAGTTAGAGTTAGGGTTAGGCTAGGCTTAGGGTTAGTGTTAACCCTGACACTTACCCCAACCCTAACCGTAACCCTGAAACAGCATTCGTTTTACTGACACGCATAGTTGTCCTTGAACCGCCGAAAAAAAGGGCGTGGTCACGGCTTTTGTGTTGGACCTTTACTCACTGGTATGGCAACCTTTTCCATAAGCATAGCATTCTCCCAGCCCCAAAAGGGTTGTGCTGGTTCCTTAAACATGGACGTATTTAACAATCTACCTTGTTTTCTATTTCGCACTGAATTTTGTATTTCCATTTTAGTGCAAAACTCAAAACCCTGGCGTGGTTCGTAGCCTCTTAAGCTTAATACATGGCTGTATTGCTGCTTTAGGAGAAACCGGGGAACGTAGAAATTTTGTGTGGTATTATTGCTAAAAAAACGGAAAAACTCGACACGTATTCTCTTACCTCCATTTTCGAATCAGCATTCGGATAAAACGTTTCATGATTTTAATAATGTGAGGAACGGCGAGGTACAAAGCCGTGCAGCAACATTCAGTCCCCAAGATCATGGTCATCACATCAAACGTGTCCTTCCAAGTCCAGTTAATCATTTTGGTAAGGAATTTTGTCAAATAAACTAAAAAGAGATTAAGCGATAGTAAGTAATCTTTAACGAACAAGGTGCAGACACAAACTTTACAGTCGATTAACTTCTTTATGTTTCTAAACTAACCCCGTGAAACAGAGAAACATCAATAGAGGAGTTTACGCTCATAGTTGCATCATGGGTAATCGGGGTAGGATGGCGGGAAATTCAAAGATTGGTATTGGAAATCAAAGTCAGCTAATTCTTCCTGAATTCATATATTTAATGCTTTCTCTTTGGAAAGAGTAACTTACGAGTTCAAAGAAACAATACACTAAATCTGGAGAGCAAAGAAGTTCGTGATCAGTTTTTAAAAAACCTTGATTTTTCCATACATTTTCTGTAATTCGACAGCATCAAAATTACGTGAACTCCTCCATTACCTCCTCTATCAGCTGCGAGGATCAAAACTGCTATCAGGAGATATTAAATGCGAGAATAAAAACTGTTCATTTTTTCCTTCGCAGTAAGCATTCTTAATTCAAATATAAATGTTTCCACTGTTATATATAACGACTTTTGTAAATATTTCATTAATTTAATTCAGTATGAACGAAAATAATTTCGTAATTAAGAAAGAACAACAAACAAACAAAGCAGAGATTGACCTGTCACTTTCTAATGAAGTTTCGACTCACAAAATAATCAATCAATACATATTTTCAAAGAAGAAATATGCTTGGAGAGATTTAAATTTGTCTGACTGGAGGTGCAAAGCAATCGTAGATTGTTGTTCAGTGTTGTTCTATGTTTCTGGGCTTAAGAAGAGTGATTGTAATGATTATAGGCATCTGAGTACTTACAATTCGCTAGATTCCAGCCTTTTCTCGAGTTTCATTTGATCTGGTCCAGCGTACAAATTTCCACCCCCCGGTTCCACAGCTTTGTCAATATTCGATTATTGAATCGAGGCTGAATGTGTATATTGGATTGTTCATTTTAGATATGGATTAGAGACTGCTTTGACTGTAAATTAAAAAGTTTTTAGTCTCAATACTTTTTGGGGACTCGCTACTTTCGGGCGCTTGCTATTTTCGGGATTTTTAAGAAGTCAGAAACTTTTGACGTTACTTTCAGGGGCCGCTACTATGGGAACTTTACGTTAATCATTGCAGCTGGCAGAAGGAAACACAGGGACTACTCGTATAGGTCAAATCAATGCGCGGAGAACTAACCCTTACATATGAAAGATAATTGTTTTTCGCTTACCGTGCTACTTTGTTTCAAACTAGTGACATTAAAACCAGACTCGTGTCATCCACCTCCTCTGCTATTTCTTGGCAGTTGAACCCCGCAGGAATGAAATATCTTGAGAAGGTAAACGGTCGAGAGACTGGTCCATGTCGTAGGTGCTAACTAGGTGGAGTTGTCTCCTGCCGCATCTCGTTGGGTGGTTGTTCGTTGTTGTTTTGTATCAACCATACCCATTTGTTCTTCCTCTTCCATTTCCGTCTGTAGAAAAGAGAGACAAACCGTCATTGACTTATATTATTCAAAAACAGCCTACCCTTTGCGTTTCCCCTCGAAAAATTACGTCTGTCTCGGAACGAGCGCTAATATTCTATCAAAACGCTTGCGACTTTGTTGAACCCATCGTTTACTTTGTGAAACATTAGCACCGTTTGCGTTCGTTCTCATATTGCACTTTTACTTTGCTTCTTTTGTAAAGGTTTTCCGAGACAAATAAACTGTTGTGAAACTGCTTCTTTTATGGTTAACTGAGTTAACCGTGACGGAGACAAGCATATCAATCGACGCCAGGTGAACTTCAATTAAAGCGCTCTTGCTTTCAAAGTCTTCAACAACGCTGAAGCGTCGATGGGAGGATTCTTCAGCGACGTTACCTCCTTCATTTGATAGCAATCGAAAGGGCATAAATATATTAAATTCATTTAAACTGCTCAAATGCAGCTGGTCAGTATAAAACGCTAATACTTAAATTGAGGCTTAAAATCTGTGCGGCTACAACTAAGTTACAACGAAGCTGTTTAAATGCTTTGAAAAGTGTTTTTAAACTTTGTGGAAACAAATAACGGAACTTGACGTCGTAAGTAACTTCGATTGCGCGCGCTAGGAATAGCTTCCGATCCTTAGAAACAAGTAACCAAGGAGACAAAATCATCCAAACAAATAACAGTTTTTTTCAACTTGTTGAGGCCAAGAAGAGAACATTTCACGACAACCAGATAAATTTAATCCTAAACAAATTAAAGAAACTCTAACACTTTTGAATGAACAGTTGGCGCACTAGTTTGATAACTTAAAGGCAAAAGCAAATTTAGCCTGGGAAAAATACCGCTTGTCGCACGTGCCCTGTTCTTTTGCTACTAACTTACACCATCTCCATACAGCTGTATGTGGTAGCAAGAATTTTTATTCCAAAACATCTGATTCCATGATGTTATTTTGAAAATATTTCGATTTTATAAAACGAATTAGAGTCATAAAATAAGGTATCTATTCTGTAACAGGGTTGTAAAATGAAAGTTTTTTTGTCTTAAACAGGGTCATGGTTTGAAGGCGTGCCTCGGCATCACACCTCTACCAAGACGTCACTTGATTGCCTCCCGGAACAGAGGAGTCTCAATGGCTTGGTAGCTTTGACGGTTGATGGTTAATTTTTATCAATTTTGATGGGTGTCGGTCACATTTTAAATAGAAAATAAATAAAAAATAAGTAAATAATGATTTAGAGGTAGCACATTCACAAAATGGTTCTTCGTTTACCTGATTCCTGGGCGGTCGGTGTAGGGTCACTTGATTGTCGAATTTTCTAGGATGTGTAGATTTTCTAAGGTATGGAGCTCTGATAAAAATACAGAATTGACCCCGTGATCAAATAAAATATCAATGGAAAACGTGACCCCAATGGGTAGTCATTCCAATACCATGCTCCACTTTCAGAAGAGCGCTGCTAGAATAATAATGGATGCTGCTCTGGACGCTCCTTCTACGGCCCTTCTCAGCGAACTTAACATTCTCCCATTTCAAGAGCGACTAGCAAAGCTAAAGGCAAAAATGGTTTTAAAGGCATTAAATAGTCTGCTGCCCAGCTACATTGCAGAGAAGTTTTTAAGATTCAGTGCAGTTCATGTTAGGGAAACAAAAAACAGCAAAAGAAGTTTGAAGTTGCCCAGAATTAAACAATCACACGGACAGCGATCATTTATATTCAGTGCTGCCAGCTTGTGGAACAGACTTCCTGAGGAGCTGAAAGACTGCTCTACCTTGACGTCTTTCGAAAACAAACTTAAGCGAATTGAAGTTTGCGTAAAAGCGCTCTGATATACAGTCAACTCTTGCCTTGCAGACACCCCGCAAAAACGGACACCCTGACAGCAGTTGAATCCCAGGCAAAAATCAGAGAATTTCCAGAGATTTGACGGAAAAAAACTCTCGCTATAACGGACTCTCGCTAATGTGGACACTAACTCGAGGTACCTACAGTGTCTGCTATAAAGGGAATTGACTGTAGTATGAACAGACCCGGCCCCGGCCAGGGCGGACCGTTTTTCCTTGTACAACCACAGGTTACCCAGGCTCGGTGCTTTTCGATGCTGTTCCAAATGTGCGTGATTCTTTAATGCGGGAGAGATTTCAGAGGCAGGCCCAAGTTTACGTAAGTACAATTTAGTTCTATATTTATGCCTTTGACTTCTACGGATTAACAAGTTAACAAGTATGTTGAATTTCTCATAGAAAGTCTTTAAATCGTTCGTCATGTGCAAAACAGTATCGAAACTAGCGATAATTTATGCAGCGAGCTTAGACTTCCTGTGGTACAACGACCGCTCAATAAACTCGGGTGAGCGATTTAATTTGAACGCGTACGGTGGCATCAAACGTCTTGAAACAATGTCATAACAACACCAGCCTCTCTCTCAGGGTTCTGTCTCTTTCTTCAAGTTGCACCTGGTCACTTGCTCTTAGACTGCGAGCAGTCTCCTTTTTTTCTTTGCAAAGTTACTGCAATAGAAACCTAAGCACGCGAGTCGCGATAAACGAGGGCGTAAGCCCGAGAAGAAAAATAAGACGTCTTTTCTCGTCTGCTCCTAATCCCTTACTGTAACATAACGTCGTGGTTTGCAATCGCGGTAGCTGAGAACTAGACGGATTTTAAGAGAAAATGCGGACTGCAAGGAGTCTACGTTGCTCTAAAACCCGGTATGACCAATCGATAAAAACCGATATCGGAAAACCGTTCGATAAATCGATATCAATCGATAATTTTTAATTAATCGATATCGATTTTATCGATCAATCGATAGAAATCGATACTCACAGTCTTCCGCGTATTTAACGATATCGATTTTATCGAGTAATCGATGTTAACGGAGTATCAAAAACCATACAAAATAAAACTGCTTCTATGTGGACAGCGTTTTAATTTAATATAAAACAATGAACAGAAACATTAAGCAACCAAGGATTTATTTCATTCAGTCAACACATTAACTTCATTCTTTGTTTTTTTCTTTTGTTTCTTTGGTTCTGGAACCATGTTTTAACCTAAAAAGGAAAAAAAAAAAAAGAAACCAAATTTATATGTTTATTGCATGCAACCGTATCCCGGTTAATCATTTTGACTCTTATATTCCCGGTATATTCTCGCAAGGTCTCTCGATGATTTTACTTTATATCTCCAGGAAAAAGCTATCTTAAATTCACTTACTTGGTGTTGCTCTAAGTCAAAGTTCTCGGCCAACTTTTCCATTAGCTGTGCCGTCGGACGGCCCTTTGTCCTTCCATATGCATGGTTTAGTCCACTCAGCTGAAATTCAGTAAAGTGGACCCTCTTTTTCTTTGCAGCATTCACTTCCTCCTCATCGGAGCTAACAGCTGCTTTTCTCTTTCCTAACAAAGAGTCTCATGTCATTATAAAGGCATTTTGGGAGAAGGGGAGGGGATGTTACTTGATATACCCTTGGGTGGGTAGAGGCGGTCCGCCACGGTAAACTAACCCTGTTTTAGCTGGGCTTAAGGCAAACGTCGTCCATTTTCCTACCCTAAATTTCCGATTTTTCTCTCTTTAGGTCATTTACCTAAGAAAAGATACCGACTTTTTAAAGCCCTTTTAAGGGATTGACCTTCCTTGCTCACCCCCCCTCAGTAGATTATGTCCGTCTTGAATTATATCCTAGAATATACTTCGAAAATGATATAAAACCCAAATACCTTGTTTGAGAGCAATAAGTTGTTGCTGCTCCTGTTTGTCATTGAGAAAATTCTCCATTTTCTCGTAGATCCATTTGCCTTGGCCTTTTGGTAGCTCGGCCGGCGGCTGTCTTAAAACGTCAGAGAGTGTTGACTGCTTTCTGCTTAAAATTTTCTCAGCAAATAATGCCTGGCTTACGCTGTTCTTCTTTAGCCAGGCAATGACACCATCCGCTATGGCTTTTGGCGTCTGGACCGGTTCCCTTTCGTCTTCTAAAAATTCAAAACAATGCCAAGAATAAGGACTTCTGACTGTCCGTTGCACACTATTTTAAAAACAGATTCTGGTGACCATATTTCCAAGCGGAATGGTGTAAATTACTTACTTTCAGCATTCTTGTCTTCGGAAATCAACAACGATTCTGCTTCCTGCGGGCGGGCGGCTTGAACTGCGCATTCTTCGATAGATCCCCCTTTTTCTTGAACAAAAGTCATAAGAGCACTTCTGTCCTCCTTATCGAGTGTCACTTTAAATGTTACAGAATTCATTTCTAAGCCCTACTTTCCCTAGTACTGAAGGAGATGTCTGAAGTGACCAAGGACCACCAAAGTAACATCCAAGTAACACGCTTTTAAAACGCACGTGATGTGGACATGACTGACCACTGTCAGATGGCCGCTTATCTTATCAATACATACACGCGGAAATATTGCGACACAAGCATTAGAATCTTTCCCTGTACATGTTTAGACTAACTGCCCGTAAACATCAAGCGTTTTTAGATCGTTCGCAGTCTTTTGCTAGTTGCAAAATGTCAAGCAGTTCCAGGAGTGATGTTTGTGGTAAGTCATCGGGAAGTGAGACTCTTCAGTTTGAAGCGACCGTAAAGGGCTTACACGAGTGTAGCTTTGGCATTTCTGTGGGAGATGTGTTTGAACTTCGCAGAAAGATTGGAAGTAGAGGAAAGGCTTTCGAAGTGCTATGTAGCCAAGGAAGGGTGGGACACTTGGAAAAAGACCTAGTACCAGTACTTTGGGACTTAAAAACATCTACTGTGCTGAAAGGGTAAGATTAAGGTCGATTCTGATCTTTATTTTTGTAATTGTGGCGCACGAACAAATTCCAGATTTTGGTAAACAGACACTTATCTCATTAGCCATTGATTGATAGGCTTCTTATAGTCCTTTGTCGTAATCCCTGACATTAAAGATGAATCGTTTACCTTAAGTTATTAATATTGCAATTTTTGGTCATATGCAGGATTGCTACTGGAAGTCCTTTTCCAGATCCCGTAGGGAGGTGGCGTAAAGGAGGCGGAATAAATCTACAGATAAAGGTCATAGCAAGTGATACGACCAGCAGTGAAGTGAAATTACTGATGGCTAGACTGAGTGATCTTGGAGTGCAGGCTGAATAGAATCAAGCTGTGTGGTCTTCATAATGAACCATTGTTAATGAAAAGCCGACTGAAATAAAATACATGTATAATCCTGCAAGGCAAAAAAAAAAACTGTGTTGTTATTTGTATGTTTTACACCCACATGCACTGGAATGTCCCGAAATATAATATATTTGACATACGCACTTGTACCTGATTTTTCGTTCTTTATTGCTTGTTGACAATACATCTTTGGCTTGTTAGCATCCCACCAGGGTATCCCATCTTAAATGAAAGATATTTCACCGTCCTAAAAGCCCTTACATCTGGTTATCTCAAATTCCGGTACCAGACAGCGTGGTACAAAGTACAATTTCAAACAGTTGCAACAAACCCGACTGGTTGGCTTGTCACCTTCTCCAATTTGCATTGAAACGTGGATATAACGTTACTTTCAAGGAATGCGGTAGCCAGACAACAACGTCAAAATGTATTCCCCTTATTTGTTAGGGGCTTTCCTCTTTTTGAACTGTGTTACACAATACTATGTTTCCGGTACCCAACTTTCCAAAATTATAACTGACTTGGAAGGTTTAGGCTTTACGGATCAACTCAGGTCAGATGATGACTATGCTTCTTCGTTGTACTGCCGTCCGTGTCAAAAGGTCGTCACATATACAGATGTCACCAAGCTCGCATGGCTTCTTCGTCGTCACAGCGAAACAGAGAGGCGTAAAATGCTATCAGGGTGGACATTAACCGCTGATTATAAACCCATCAAAACCTTTACCGGAAGTAAGTATTCAAATGAGTTTTCTTACTTCAGTTAGTAATTCCCAACTGAGACAATATATAATAATCACCTAATGTTGCAAATTGCTTGACGTTTTTCTTTCCCATTGTTTATGTGCAGATGCGAAAAAGATAACTTCCTTTTGGAGTTCTTCGTCAACTAAACCTACAACTAAGTCTACAGGCACTAGTGAAAAGGCGAGGAAAACCCAACTGGATCTGCAGTCGATGGAGAGAAAACGAAAAGCAGCGGAAGGTCTTGTAGAAGATGAATTGATAAACAAGGTAAGTTAGTTTTGAATTATATTTTTTTTATTTTGATAGTTTGACTGATGAGGACGTTTATAGGCAGAACGGACGCATATAAAAAAGTTCGGGTAACAAAGATTTTGTTTAAAATTCTACATTCTACGAGGCTATGATAGAATTCCCTGTGATAACGTAAGTAGCTTAATAGTGTCTTACAGTACTCAGTTCAAAATCAACCTATTTCTTTTAGGCTACAAGGATAGCGGTAATTGAAAAAGAAACCCACTTCGGACGCAAATTGTCTGATGCTCTTGTTGGGGGAGAAAAAGAAGCCCCAGCTCTCACAAACGTCGAAATCGAAATCCTTCAAAGCGCCAGTGAGGAAAAGATTCGAAAAATAGAGCAAGATGCTGCTAATCGTGTACATTTAGAAACTCGTTTGGAAACTATGATACAAAGTTGTTTGGCTGTGAAAGTTAACACCCAACTCTATACAGATGTATTTCGTCGATGTGCTGCTGTAACGGACATTATCGCGGACGGCGTTTCTGTTCAGAAACAAACAGATGACCTCGCAGTGAGATATGTCAACGCCCTGCTAGGCTATACCGACTTGCAAACCTACTACAGCCAAAAAATTGAAAGTCTGCAAAATAAAGTGGTGAATTTTGAAATTGAAGTGCAAAGACTTGAGACATTAATTCAAAAAGGAATCCGTAACGATCATGTACCAGAAGTCGCATTAAAACTGGCTTGTTTGATGAAAACTGAAAAACATGGAGAAACAGATCCTTTGATAAAAATTCTAACTGACTTGATCTGTAACAGAGGAAAGGAATCAAAAACATGGTCCGATGAAACTAAGTCTCTATTCGCAATAATCTTAAACTACGGGGGCGCAGCTCTGGCCAAAATTGTTAGAATAAGATTGGGTGGACCACACCTCTCAACGATCTACAGGCAAAGCCGAAGCAGTTATGTCATTCCAACGGTCCTCACCGATAAATCTTTTTCGATGGCTAGAGTCTTTTACGAAAAGATTGGTTACACTGGGCCATTTATTCTTGCAATCGATGCTACAACTTTAATTGCAACATTGCGCGTAAGAGGAAATAAAATAATTGGCTTAGCAACGGAGACTGAAGTTACTGTGTCGACAGCACAAGATATAATTGACATAGTGAACTCCGAGTCATATGAAAAAGCAAAACTGGCTAATGCTTTCGTCTTATCTCCTATGGTCCAACACGCACCAAGTTTTACTCTCTGTATAAGCCCCGTAGTGAAAGGACAGGACTACCAGACCGTAAAAGGATGGATGACTCAAACAATGGAAATGGGATCTACCCACAATATCGAAATCTTGGGGATAGGCGCGGATGGAGACTCAAAGTTCCGTAAGCACTATTTTCAAGAGCACAAACGAAATGATGATCTATCAGAAGAGCAGATTACTCTAGATTACAAGGGCTTTGATTTTGCAGCAAGAACATTTCAGACGGAAGATTGCAGAATATGTAAAACAATGATGTTTCCTGATTGGAGGCATATTTTAAAAAAATGGAGAAATCAATTACTAAATGTGAAAAGAATTTTACTAATGGGAAGCAACATCGCACAGATCGAACATTTAATGCAAACTTATTTGAGTTTCAAATTGGAGTGTGGTCTGTGGAAAAGCGACGTTTATGTCCGCGATAAGCAGAACGTGGACGCAGCTACACGACTGTTAAAACCTGAGGCTCGTCACTACTTAAAAATCTGGAATGAAAAGGCCTCACTTGCAACGAGAGTGTACCTCAAGGTTGGCGAAAGTCTTTTTTTCGGCGTTCACCGAAAAGAATTGTCCGTTCGTGAAAGGGCAAAGCGTGCATGGCTCCCAGTAACTTTCTTAAGACTCTGGAGAGCTTGGCTTAAGATGGAGGGATATCCTACTGACCATTACTTTATATCAGGACAGACCTATGACGATGTTATTCTGGCTGGACACTCTATCATTATTTCAATGAAACTTTATGCAATTTATTATCCGGAACTTCCTTATGAGCCTTGGATGTTTGGTTCCGATTCTTGCGAGGTTTTATTTTCAAGTTTACGTGGATTTTGCCGCGGGAAACCAAACCTGACGTTGTTAGACTTATTAGACTTTGCAAGGAGAATTCAGAAGCTAAAGGAAATGAATCCCAAGCCCTTCAACCAGTTAAATGATAAAAAGTGGCCCACAGATATGGACGCAGAACTGACTTTGGGTTTGCAAGAAGCCGAGAAGGAGGCGATCAAGACTGCCGAACTGTTAGGAATGATCGCCAGTCTAGAAAGGGCCAATGTCGTGACAAGCACAAAAGAAGGAGGTGTTGTGTTGATAAATCCTACCACAGATGTTTATCCGTTAAGTACCGCAAATAAACCTGACGAAAATAACATTTTACAAGTAGAAGACTTGCTAGAAATTGAAAACGATGTATTGATAAACGCCATAGATGAAAGTGAAAACGAAATCACTACTTCTTTCATCAATCTTGCAGCTAAGGCAAAAGAAAACACCATAAATACTGAACAATATAATGAAAACATGAACGAAGAAGAGGGTGACGAAGAGTATGACGATGGCGCGCCCACGAATTGTGTTTTCTATCGTTTGGGTAGTTGCCGATACAGAGAAAGTACGTTCCGTGCCCCAAAAGAAACTAACTGGCTTGGCTGTGAATTTCCTGGATGTAACAAGTGGTTTCACGAAGTATGTTTGGGACTTAAATTTCCGAATGACAAAGCGCGAGAAGCGTATACTTATTTCTGTAAGGATCACCCTTCGGCTGGTTACGCTTCTCAAAAGAAAGTTGTTAGCAGCACCGAAGACAAGGATATCCTGGAGAAGGACCCACTATCAGCAAATAAGCAGAATCGTGTCATACGTGACGAGAATGGAAACTACAGAATGCCGAAGATGTCAACGTGCTACGTTGAGTTCAACGGCGTCTACTATCACATAGCCCAGTTCTTGTCTCTACAGCAAGGTAAACAGTATATGCCAGCTACCTCAAGAAATTCACGCTGGATGGCAGTTTCCAAGGTAAATTATTATGACAGCATTGGAAAAATATCGAGATCGCAAGAAAAGGAAGACTTGATTTGTAACTCATTCGCGGCTTTTTGGATGGGCAAGGAAGGACTTATAATTGGTAAAGTCATCCGAATGTATTGCAATCCCTGTGCAAAAAGTGCATATCCTATTTTAACTTGTGATAGTAAGGATTCCAAGAGTAGCACAGTGACCTGTTGTGTTAATGTAGCACCGGTAGACACTGAAACTAACACCTGGATTTTACAAGTTAAAAACCGTTTCGTCTGGTGCCCAATGAAATCCCTTATAGCCGAACTAACTCTAATTGAACGGGAGAATGTTTTGGAAGTAAATGGCGATGATGTCAAAAATATATTAGCAATGCTGCCGCAACTTCAAGAAACAGAGAAAAGAAGACAAGAAGAGGAGTCAAAGGAGAAAGAAACTAGAATAAGAAAAAAGAAACAAGGACCCCCAGAAGAGATGAGTGTGGCATTACTGAAAGAGGTTTTAAAGGAGATGGGTGTCAGTTTTAAACACAATTCAACAAAGGCCCAACTAATGGAAAAAGTAAAAGAAGTCCGCGAGAGCCACAGAGAAGCAACATATTCTCATGCCCACAGCAGCAAATCAGTCCACAGTCAAAAAACCTCAGAACGCTCTCGCCAAAATTATTGGAATCAGTTTAGAAATGACACGCATCCTCTGCCTTTGTGGATCATGTATGATCCACAGAGGAAAAGGCGCATTTTGACCATAATCATTTTAATGTTAATTTTATTGGCATTTACAAACATGTTTTCTGAGCTTCTTAATGTTGAGTTCCTTTCAAATTTATATCAGTTATTTTTGTTTCATTACCTCTCTTCTGCTTTAGTTGCGGAGTTCATCATTTACTTCGTTTTACTTATTTATAGAATGATTTTAGCTCTGATTTGTAGTATGATTTTTGCGGCGGCGAGGGTTTTGCTGACAAAACATTTACTGGAGACAATGTCTAGCATTACAACTACGCAGCTTCGTACTTCGTAGTACATGTATTTGTAGGATGTCATTACGACATTTAGCTTGAACAGTTTCTGAGTAAATACAAAAAGCGGTTATGTTATGTTGCGTTTCCCCGTTGAATCATGCCAGGGAATCGTGTTAATATTATTTGATTATCAGTATTCATTCAATTATCGATTTGTTAAATAAATCTTTAAATTCGTCCTACTTGATTCATTGAATCGTAAGAGTGTTTTTATGGAAGATTTGATACATTTTAGAAATTCGATGAAATCGATAACATTAATTTAAAAATCGATAATTATCGATTACTCACAACGTGTCCTTTTATCGATTTTAATCGATTTCCGATACAATTTACTAATTTTTATCGATTGTTATCGAATGTTATCGATTATCGGTTTTATCGATTGCACATGCCGGGTCTAAAAACAATATACTTCATGGGAGGGGATATAAGGTGAAAAATTGTCGCGGTTGTTGCAGGATTAGCTCAGTAAATAGAGTCAATAGAGCGCTTGGAAAATAACTACACGGCAGAGGTCGCAGGTTCGATTCCCGGGGCCGGACCAATACTCGGGGTCTTAAAATAACTGAGAAATGAAGGTGTGTACTTCCTTGGCACTGCACTGCAAGCCGCTAGACTTTCCCGGGCACGGAAGACCATGCAATATGGCGGTCCCGTCTCCAGTGGGGGACGTAAAAAGAGCGTCCCAATTAGCACTTTCGTGCTAAATACATTGACACTCAGCAGTAGAAATATGCTTCCGCACTCAGATAAAGTGTATTTTTCCCATTTGTTTTGTAATGTAAGAAGCCACCTTCCGGTTCGCTATATTGGTGCTTACACGGAGTACAAGCTCTGCTACCTAACGAGGACTGGTAACCAGGCTTTTTATTGGTTCCCTCCTTCGTTCGAAAAAAAGGCGGCCATTTTACAGCGGAATGAAGCGTTGATTTTTGATATTGTTTTGGTGTTTATAGTACTTTTACTAGCATTTTTAACCGCGAAAAACAAGATACCAAAAGCATGGATGTAGATTTTGTTATTCCGTTGTCTAAAGACGATTTGTTGAGTGGCGAAGCAGGCTGTTATGTTGTGGATGAAGTTCTGTCGGCGCGTGTTCTCCCAAACAAACTTCGAGGTTGAGAAATATTGTCTTATTTTTTGGTTTGCTTTGGTTTTCTATACGATCTTTTACCTTTGCTGATTTGCTTGCAGATTGTTTAACGGAACTTCGATCTGGTGGACCAGCTGTTGTTCTAGAAAATTTTGACTGCTTTTTCAGTCTTTTAAGGTCAGTGTCATGCTTAGATTAAACCTAATGTATATTTTAATTTGTTAAACCGATCCAATCGCCCAGGAGTTTGTCTTCTGAAAGGTTAGTTATCTCGCTCGGGTCCTCGAAATTCACGCTTTTAATAAACAAGTTCCTCCGCAGGGCAAGAGCTTCAAACTAAATAATTGAAATGGTTTATTTGTTTTCGATATGTTGGGGCGATCTGACAGTCTGCTTACTCCGCGTAATTTAATTTAGTCTTGGAATTCAGCTTAGAAAAGAGTCTCTAGAGAGTAAATTAACATTATTACACTCTGAAGGGATATAACTTACTTTCCGTTATTACCGTGTAAAAAAAGACAGCCGATGCATCTTGAAGGGTGAAAATTTTGGGTGGTGATTTGAAATGTCTGCTCCAGGAACAGAATACCGTGGAACCCGCCTTACGGCGACCTCGGTATTGATACGGTCACCTCGTTATTACAGCCACTTTTTCTGGTCGCCCGGATGAACGGCCATACATTTTCTTGTAAAAAACCCTCGTTAATACGGTCACTCGTGAATACGGCCAATTTTTTGTGTCCCATTGGTGATTGTATTAATGAGGTTCCACTATCTGTCCAATGTCTGTGCATGGTTTCTCTGGAAAGACCTGAAATCATTGATCTAGATATATGTACATGTACACGTCAGCTCAACACATATTCATAACAGACATAATGTGACACTTTTTACTCCTTTATTGGCAGACATTTTAATGAAGTGGAAAGTACACTCAGAGAGGGAACATGGGACACTCTACTTTACGGTATAGAAACCATACATTCAACCAAGGTTTCTGGAAAACTGCCCACCTACCCCTCCCTTAAGCCAACACTAACACTTACTTCTCATTTAGGGCAAAATGTTGGCTTAGGGGACGGGTAGGTGGGCAGTTTACCAGAAACCTAATTATGTACAAGCCTTGGCTTTGTTTTATATAGTACTTTGGAACAGGATGGCCTCCAGAGGGCGTTCAGTTCTCTAATCAGGCCCATTTCACCTCGTTTTTGGAGGGCAGAGTTGTACATAAAATTTAAAGTAGTCAAAGAAATATTATTAAGTAGGCGTCATGAGAAAAGATTGATTTGAAAGACAGAGAGTGAATTAATGTGGCACAGCCAGTTATGGGAGTAGGTTAACTGTATTGGCATGGCTGTCACTTATTATGGGCATGACCCTGGGCTATTTTCATAGGACATAAATTGAAAATGAGACCAAAAGAACTCCCACGTTGTTTGGCTCCCCACCTACTGCACTGTAATAATATTGCATGTAAAGACTTTGTCACAGCCCTGATTGGGGAGGGTTGCTTAACTTCCACTGAGCCAGAGTGAGTCCAAAGGCCTTCCCTGGAAAACTGTTTATTTTAGGGGCCCATTTTAAGAGCATTTCGAGCGTCCAGAGAAAGATTTTTGCAACAAGAACACCACTTTTATTACCCATACTGGCTTTATTTATTTATTTTGTATTTATAATTATAAACCTTAGAGTTAAGAGTGACAAATGAGATAGAAATATCACTGTCTGTGAGTAGCTGGTACTTTAGTGACGACTAATGACAATTTTTGCTGGTCTGGGGAGCTTACAGAACTGTTACAGAAAACCCTGAAAGTGTCTGGGTTTACAGGGGAGGTCAGGTTTTCAGTGTTGACGTTCATGTTTATACTGTGCCTAATTAATAAATAGCCGCATGTACATGTCTGATTGTCTGTTTTGTATTCTTATAGTCCTTTCACAGTTCACCAATATGCTTCCATCAGTTTTGGAAGAAGGAGATATTGATTTTCAAGTCAGAAGAACCCACCTAAATACTCTAAAGGTAAAAATAGTGATTTTTTATGACCAATCTTTGCAGGATTATGTGTAATCAATGTTCTTTTTTCATTAATTTTTAACATCGCGTTTACTATGCCTTGAGATGGAAACCAAAATGCAGGGCTGGTTCAAGGCTGTGCTCGAGTTTTGGCCCCTGATGCCTAACTTTTGCTCCTGGGCAACTAGAAAATCTTCCTTTTTTCATGTAAATCATAACTGTATGCTGGACACCATGGATTTCACAGGTTTAAGGCAGCTGGCCTCCCTGCTATGTTTCTTAGAGCACATTTTTGAGGTCTTCTTTCTATCAGAATTCAGTAGATCAACGCAACAAACGAATTTCAGGGTTGTCACTAAGATCTCAAGTTGCCAGGTAAATACAACAAGTAAGCGGGGAATTTAAACAGCTAAGGGTTTCTTTTGGTTCTATTTTCTTCTCTTTTCCTTTAAAAGTAGGTGGGGGCCACATTGATGGTAGCCGCAGGAAATCCCCAGCCCCTGCCTCTTAACGACAGCCCTGGAATTTTGATTGATACTGATTTACATAGCCTGTAAGTGTCAGGCATGACAGAGGGGAAAAAGGCAAAAACACTTTAACTCTCATTTATTTTATAATTAACAAAGGAGCAGGGCATTTTAACTTTCTTGATGTGGTCAATGTATTGTTTTTCTATGGTTGTGGGAAATTCCTGTGGATCCTGTTTACAAGTGGTAATTAGCAATCAATAAAGTTCATGTACAACATGTAGTGTTGGTTTGAAGCCAGAAGGCATTTCATTAGTTGGTGGAATATGATCATCTGTGTGAGTGAAGTCCTGAATAGGACTGTTGTTGATGGTGACTGATGTTTAGACATCACAACCTTTGTGGAGTCAACTTTAGAGTCAAAGTGAGACTGAAAATGACCATTGCGCAGGTTGTCTATATGTCAGTCACTTTCAACAACAGTCCCATTCTGGACTACATTCACCCATATTATCATATTCCACCTTCTTAACAATTTAAAAGAAAAAAAGTAATTAATGTAATTTCTTGAAATGAGTATTGAAAATCTCCTATTTTTTGTAGATGTTGTGTTATCTGCTGACACAGCTAGCGGACAGCTTTGAAGTAGAAGCTACCAAGCCCTCAACGGAAGTAATTATTGGTGGAAAGGTATGACTCACAAAACATTGAGTACAACCTAAAGCAGGTATCAACAAATCCTGGATTGGTCGGGATTATATCAACCCCTGTATTTCACTAAAAGGTTAGGGATAGGATTACAGGGGTTGAACTTGATCTGATCCATTCCGTTACATGATTTTGCGAAGGGCCGTCTAAAGCACTGTCATGTAAATCAATGGAGATGCCCCCACAAAATGGGCCTCTTGTGTGAATCAAAATTTGTACAGCACTCAAAATTAATATGTGACTGTACCCCATTTTTTTAAAAAAATTTGAAAATCTTCAAGTGGATACAGTATTAGTCTGTGACTAAAAGAATTAAATAGAAAGAGACACACCCTTAAAAGTTTACTTTAATTTTTGTAGAAAAAAGGCAAGTCAGCCATGGCTAAGAAAAAGACTTCTAATTGCTGGGAGTGGGATGAACAGCGTGATGTACTGATTCAAACCCTGGGTCAACTGTTACAACTGGATGTCAACAGACTGTGGGAGCCTCCCATTGTGGAGGAAGACTTTGTCAAGTAAGGTTTTTAAAAATGTTTAAAATGCTATACTTATTATTATTGTGTCAGAGACATGTACAGCTGCATGTCTAGATTTGAATTGCACAGGTAACCCTGTACCTCTTTGGAAGCAAACTTTTTTGATGTAAATTGGCCTATCACAAAAAAAATGAAAAAGGAATAGTGGTTGTCCATTGAATAATTATCATGCACAATTGGCTTTTCTGGAATTAGGAATCACTGTTCACCAAGGGTTAAAAACCCCTATAACTGCACTTAATGGAAAAGATAAATACAGTGAAACCCTGTCTTATGGCCACCTCAGTAATATGGTCACCTCGTTATTACGGCCACTGTTTTTTGGCCGCTTGGAAAAAACCGCCATAAATTTAAAGGTATATGACATTTAGTTTCGTCATATTTGTTTTTGTTTTTGATTTTGTTTTGTTTTGTTTTGTTTTGTTTTGTTTTTTGTTTGTTTGTTTGTTTTTTCTTTCCTTTTTAAGATGTGTACAGTAGGGTTATATGTAAGCTTGTGCTTAATGATATTCTTATGTCCTTTTGTACATTGTAAAGCGCTTAGAACAGCGATGTATAACCGCTATATAAATTCCATTATTATTATTATTATTATTATTATTAAATTTTCTTGTAAAAAAACCCTCGTTCACATGGAAAAAACCGCCATAGATTTTCTTGTAAAAAAACCCTTGTTAATATGGCCAGCCCGTTTAACGGCCAATTTTTTTTGGCCCATTGGTAACCATATTAACAGGGTTCCACTGTAACCTTAAATTACCCTACTTATCACTAATTTTCACTTCAAAGCCATATTGGAACCCTGAAAGGGTTGTCAAGAAATAAAAACACAAACTCCTAGATTCTTGAATTAGCTTATACTAGTTCATGAAACATTAATGAAGAATAATGACTATAAAAAAAATTATATGAAAGTGAATAAGTTCCTTGCAGTTAAATGAACAACAATTGAAAAAGAACCTAAAAGAATTCAGGCTTGACTGGAAATCGAACCCTGACCTTTGCAATGACACAATGTAATGCTCTATCCATTGAGCTTTTTATCAAGCCATCTGGAGAGCATGCAGGCCAATTGGAGTCCTTAATCCTTTAAGCCCTCCTTGTTATATCAATGCTTTGTAAAACAGAGTGGTCATGAGAATTACAGACATGATAACACAAGATGAATTTGCTTTATATTCTATGAACGTCTCCCCACTACTTCTGTAGGAAATGAATTGGAGCAACAGATGAGAATTCATATTTTAATCTTAGGGTTTCAGGGTTAATCTGTCTGATGGTGGAAATGAGATGCAAATTGAAATATTTGAAATGACTCATATTTTGAACTGAACATAATGATATGAAAGCTATCCACTTTCATATTTTATCCACAGTTCAAAATGTTATGATTCATTTCATATAATTATCTTAATTCAATAATGATTATTTTGAGAGATACTTAACCCTTCCCACTCACTAGTCTACAACATGTACATGTACATGTACGTGTATGTGTCATCAGCTCTTGAGCATCTGCATTAACCTTTTAAGCCTTAAGAGTGATCAGCATCAAATTTCTCCTTGTAAAATCAATGCTTTGTAAAACAGAGTGGTCATGAGAATTACAGACTTGATCACACAAGATGAATGTGCTTGATATTTTATCAACTTCTCCTCACTGCTTCTGTAGGAAATGAATAGGGGCAACAAATGAGAATTCAAATTTTGATCTTAGGGTTTAAAGGGTTAAAAGCTGTAACTTTGTGTTCAGATTATATTTATATCACACTGCACAGCTGTATTGTACTTAAACAAAATGTCAATATTATTTTTTTTAATTTTTCTTTTTCAGTTTGATCACTGGTTGTTGCTACAAATTCCTAGAAAATCCAGCATCTATAAAAAGTGGAACAACAAAGTCCTTGATTTTCAATCTACTGGGGGTGATGGTCAAGAAATATAACTATGGCTTAGGTGAGACCACTTTTTGTTATTTGCAGCATGCAAGATTAAAAATGATGTCTTTTACGTTCCATCATTCTTTCTTTATAAGGATGCATAAAAATCATAGCAAACAGTTAAATCGTTCTTGCTGAAAAATGCAATTCAAAACATAACCAACACCTGAAATAGGTTCATGCCACCTTAAATCTTATAAAAGACTTTACTGTTTGACTTTTTTCAATTTTGCTTTTTGTTATTAGGTGTAAGTCTGAAGATTGTTCAGCTCCTGCAGCACTTTGAACATCTTGTTCAACCACTGGCACAAGCAGTTGAAACATTTGTCACCGAGTTTTCTGTAAAAAGTATTGTCTCTGAGGTTTTAAGGTCAGTTTATTATTTTAAATAGCTATGTTTGTACCAGATAAATTGGAATTAATTAATATTTTGCACCAGTAGTAAAGACAGGGTTCTTCATTAAAGCTTCAAAGCTCATCGTGACGCAAGTCTGTCACGACTGCAATGATGTCATTTGATTGCTATGACAACTCTGATGTCGTTGCAACACTGATCTTGACATCATCCTTATCTAATACAGCTGTGGTGGTTTTTTTTCCAAATCTTTATTAATGGCACCATAGTTTTGAAAGCTCGAACTTGGGAGGTACATGTATAGTGCCCTAAAAAAACCCGTTAAGTCATCTCAAGTACATTTTTTGGAGCATTTACATGCCTATGTGGCCAGCATCTATGGAAATTTTTGTGGAAAACACAATAAAGTTATAACATAACAGAAAAGGGTTAACTCTCACCCAGTAGGTTTGGGCAGGGTGCAAAGAAAGTCAGTTTTACAGCCTGCCATTCGGGCTAGCTGTAGCTAGCATGTACTAGCACAAACATCACTTTAACTAGCCCCAAAATAATGCTTTTTGATGAGTGGGTTTGAATTCGCAGTTCTTCTGTAATTTGAATTCTCAAAAAACTTCACTTGCCCATCAGGCAAACTAAGAACAAAATTCACTAGCCCAATAGCAAAATGTTCTAGCCCCGGGCTGTCAGACAGTACTTTCTTTGCACGTTGTTTGGGGCACCAATATGGTGGTCGTGACATCATGTAAAAACACTCTAAGCCTGTCTATCAAATGGTTGGGTTATTATTCAGTTTTCTTGTGGTTATTATAGGGAGATTGGTAGGATGGATCCCAGGGATCTTGCAAGAGACACCAGTGGAACACGTGCTTATGCTGACTTCTTAGTAGAGCTTGCTGGTCGGGTCCCAAGTCAGATCATTCCTAACATTAGTGTGCTGTTGTGCCATTTGGATGGAGAGGTATGGTAATGAAAATCTTGAAGTGATGAGAGCCGTTTCATGACATCAAATAATTATTATTAGTGTTTTGGTGTTACACGCTTAACTTAAAAAGAAAATTAAAAAAAAAAAACAACTCTTGTTAAAGCCCTACTACAGTGTAATTTTCATTTTCTTGAAATGATTAACATTAATTTTTATATTCTCAGTTCAAGCCTAGACCCTACAAAAATATCCTCACCAGAAAGCTGGGGTCTATTCAATAATTCCCTTTGTTTGTTTGCAGTCGTATTCCATGAGAAATGGTATCCTTGGTCTCATGGGAGAGATTGTTGTCAAGGTGTTATGTAAAGAAGATCTGGATGATGCTGCTAAGAAACTCAGAGATCAACTGCTTGACAAATTGGAGGTTGGTGTTACACAATATTGACAAAAAGTATACAAAGCTCATTGAGGTCTTTTCATTAATGTTAACTTCAAATTTATTTTGAATCCATCAAAAACACTATGCACCCTAGACAATGCTGATACCAGAAATGATAATAGCATAAGGCTATCATTCTACATACAGTATTCAATAATGTACGTGTATGCAAGTGCATATTAACAGGGTTTTTATTAGGCTAATGTTAGGTAACTCATGACTAATTTTTTATTCAGACGTGGAGCCTCTTTCAAAATCTTCTCCTGTAACATTACACCTTTCTCCTACTACTGGGAACCTTAATGAAAACCCTGTATTAATAATTGACAAATTGAGAACAATTTTCTATGGGTATACTCTTATCAACCATGGAAATGATGTCAAAATTTTCAAAACCTAAGTGGAACCACAAGCCACAGGTGAGTGGTCCCATTGCAAAGCTGGCTGATTTCTCAGGCTGGTGACTGCCCTGTCTATGTAGAGTTCTGAGTTCATAACATTTACTAGTTTGCTGGTTTTCCACAGTTACAACATATGGAGGGATTATTCTGGCCAGCAGTTATTTAAAACCTGTCATGCAAAGTTGGTTATTAAAGTTGTTGGTGTTCTTTTTCTTTTAACTAGGAGCACATTCATGATGTGAATGCTTATGTCCGAAGTAAAGCTCTCCACATTTGGCTGGAGCTTTGCAAAGAAAAGGTTAAATTACATTGAATTTTTTGTATTCATTTATTTAATTTTCCTTGTCTAAAAAGGATCATGAAAATTATTTCAATGCTTTTGGTGGGAGCCAGCAAATTCTTCAGGGTCACAATTTATTTTTACTGTAATAAAGTGGTATACAGTGTATGCATAACATTGTACAGTGTAGTAAACGTTTTTTGTTGATATAAGGTGGTTTTAAAAGTAAGGAAAGTTCAGTATTACATAACTGTGCAGGTTAATGTAGATAAATTTAGAAAGTTTTTAAAATAACAAGTAGCATCATTTTATGAGCCATATTATTTATGTTTTGCAGGCTATACCTCTTTCTCGGCAACCCCATCTGTTGGAGCTGGTTATCAGTCGTCTTCAAGATAAATCCAGCATTGTACGCAAGAATGCTATCCAGCTGCTGAAGACTTGTCTTATTTGTAACCCATTCGGTGCACAGGTCAGTCGATAACCTTCAAGTGCGACCACCTCTCGTAAGCTACGTGTACCACTTCCTACTTGGAACCACCTATCCAAAACACCAAAATTTTCCCAGTCAAAGCTCATGTTAATAACCACCTCTCAAAGCCAAATGTCACCAATACTTGGCCGGACATTTCAAAGATTTTTATTTTTTTAACCTCTTGTAAGCAACCACGTTATACCTGGTGTGGTCTCTTTGTTCGCTGTATGTACATGGATTAAACCACTCATGGTTTATGAAGAAATGTTTGTGACTACATGGAACCCCTGACATGGAACTACACATACAGTGTATGATTTTATCCTTTATGTAAATGTTATTTCTAAGTCAGTAACATACATTACCATACCCAGAAACTAAGGAAAATAAAATTTCAACCAAGGATAAAATTAAACCACAAAATACAATGTATACGTTGCTATCATGAAATCACTTGCAGTAAAGCCAAAACACAGATCTGTTGGGACCTCAATTCCAAAAGACCCCGTCTGGCTCAATTCCTGTAAGTGACCGGCCTTGACTGAAGGAAGACAAAGTAGAGTAAAGTTTCTTGTCCAACGAAACGACACATTGGCAAGGCTTAAACTTGCACCTCCAGATCTGAAGTTCAAGATGCAAAACTACTCAGTTCTCCAACTGCTTATCCTCATAAACTTATTACTACAGGTGATTTATTATCCGTGATGATTTTGTTGTCTTTAGCTGCCGCTTGAACACTTACAGCAAAATCTCTTAAAGGAGACAGAAAAACTGAAGGAAATGGCTCCACATCTGAGTGATCAGGATGGACAAGGTAAAATTTGTTTTAAGTAATTTTTTGCCCCAAAACTAGGCTAGGCCAATTTAGAATCAATAGGTCCTTTCCGAGTTCCAAAAATTCTCACTTTCAAAACGAGGCCAAGTGCAAAACCTTTCTTCTGATAATGAGTCTTATTTGCACACACAGCCTCGCTTTGAAACAGAGACTTTCAATGGGAAAATCGAAAATGGTCTATTGAAATGATTGGTCAATTTAAAAAACTTATACGTCTAAGGCTGTGGTCTGCTGAGGTAAATTGCAGGGGGCCCATTAAAGTAGGTTAGCCTGTGCATCACCATTCCATCATTTCCTATGAGAGATTAGTGTAAAGAAATTGTAACTGAATATTGCCGCTTAAAGAGGCTGTGTTGTGGCTAGTTAGTTCAGTTTGTTTATAAAGCCAATTACGTGCCCTTATTCGCTCTAGAACGTGAGAATTGGACGACAACATCACAGCTTTGTGTTAAACAAACTAATGTCTCCCAAGCATTTATTCAATCGTTACCAGCAGCAAAAATGAACTTTGAAAAACTGTTGGGCGATAAACAAGTGTTCCAAAAAAAAAAAAACATGCACAATTGTAATCTGCTCCTATCTTCTTTACCCACCCCCCTCCCTTATTTTTTGTATTTGCCGTGTTATTTACACTTTCTTTCAATGTTTTGAGCAGTTACTTTGATGTTTCACCCGATTTGGTGGCAGTGCCGTCCGTTTGAATTTTGATACATTTGGGTGGAACAGCCCCTTCAAATAGTTAGTAATTTCTGTATTCTACTTTGGTCAGTACCTGTAGTACCTGCAACAGAGAATGCAAATGAAATCTGGGAGGCCATTAAACCTGAGGTGAAGGCTACGATCGAGGAGTACTTTGATCAGGAAGACATTGTTGATGAAGATGATGGGCCAGTTGAATTCCAAGGTGATATGGACGATGCTCTGCAGTGGTAAGCGCTCGTAAGAAAGGTTTGATTGTAGCGACCTATTGGGATTATATGAACTTTGTCAGCGGTCGCCCAGTAAGTTGGCCGCAGGTTTTATAACACATTTCCTGGTATTTACTCCACCCCATGGTAAAATATTGTGTCAACAAGTCACCAGTTTCTTTGTAAGAAACTAAAAAACAAAAACGGCTAAGTGATACATCAAAGGGGATGCATGTATTGGGACGTTTTTCCGAAAGTCGTTGGCAAACCTCAGAAAAATTCCAGTGCCCACTTTTGCAGAGGATAAAGTTAAATACATATATAAAACGAGATTCCCTGACTCGTCTGTAGACATATCGTTTGTCTTTACGCCGTGATAGTAAGTACATGTATAAAACGAGATTCCCTGACTCGTCTGCAGTCATATCGTTTGTCTTTACGCCGTGATAGTCTTCAACAGCAGAGCTGTTCAGTGAAAGCCTAGAGGCGAATCGGTATTTCTATGTCTGTTCAGTGAAAAAAAGAAGCTATGTACTGGTGTACGATTTGTTGTAAAGATCTTAACCAATATTATTATTTTGAACAGTATTTGTCACTGCCGCATCGCATCAAGCTTTTCTAGCTTTGAAAACATCAATATTAGTCATGAGTTTCTCCTCTCCTCCCCATGTGCGATCACCTCTCGTAAGCGACCACCTCCAATAGTCGACTACTCATCCAAAACACCAAAACTTTCCCAGTCAGAGCCTTATAGTTGGAACCTCTAGTAAACTACCACCTCCTGTAAACGTCCGTGACCACTTTTTGGGCCTAGCGACCACTTGACGCATTCTCTGATCTCTATGTTCGCTGTGTGCACTGTGCTACTTTGAATATACGAAGAATTTTAGTAACAACATGGAACTACACATGGCGTAACTTAGAAATTGCATGCAATAAATTACTCTCCGTAAGGTAGATGTGGAAGAGGTCCCGTCTGGTTCGATTCTTGTAAACGACCACTAAGTCTGTGCATTTTGGGTGGTCGCCCTCTTTAGTTTCGACTGCATTTTTCTAAGTCTATTGATTTCTTTTAATTGCCATCATTGTTAATCAATATAACCAATATGAAAATATGGTGGAGGAAAGTGTTTAAAGATTGATTTTAATCACGATTTCACTAGAATTTCAAGTATACAATCACGAGGTACACGCAACGCAATAGTCTCTAACTATTCACTAACATACTGAAATGTCAATCTGTATGTTGTTACTTGAGAACACGCAACGGTATATATATTGTCACAGAAAGATAACCAATGAAAGAGTCTTGATGTTTTTCTTCAGTGCATTGAAGCAGATCAGGAATGATTTGAACAATGGTCATCACAAAAGAGCTCTTGCTGTACTGAAGGCCGCCATGATAACGTGGCCGGACTGTGACATATTTGCTACTACTGAGTTGATTACTGAGCAGGAGGATGAACAAAGGTACTTTGACCGGCTCTCTCAAGTTTTAACGTTTTAAAGCTGTGGCATTTATAAATTTTACAACTTACATTGTAAATCATTGAACGGTTTCGCCTGTTTTTTCGTTTTCATTAGTAATGAAGCGGAAAATGCCAGTTTGCCGAAGTCCGTGGAAGACCAGTTGTCAATCATGAAGGCAATATTCCTTGGTTAGTATGTTTTACATTTTGTTCTAAACATACACTTTTCTTTGGTTAGTTGTTAGTTTTGTTTGATTCAAAATGTGGAAAGAAAAAAGAATTCATTATTACATCAGAGCCCAGGAGTCTATCGCTGAATCTTCCAGCGATCTTGATCAGTCTGATCAGGTGACAAGTCACGTGAGTCTCAACAGGGCTCTAGCAAGGCCAAAGCTCAGAATTTTCACTCCAGTGTGATGACTAAAATTTATAATTTCTTAAGGTTATTGTTTCCTACACAACTTGACTACAGTACATCGTCAGAATAACGTATTCCTGCTTCATTGTTAGGAGTTTAAATCTAAATCCACTTCCCCGGCCCTGTCATCGCTCTCCATTCCTCCCCTTCCATTGACTTTTCGTAAAGTAGTGATTCACTCTTCGAAAACAGAACTCGCGAGGGAGGAGGAAAGACGCAGTCATGTTCTACTCGCGTGATTCCTTCTTCCCACGCGCGTCTTTCTCCTCGAAGCAATATTGTCGGACGTGTGGTAAGCGCGTCAGACTGCCCACAGAAACTGGTCTTAACTTACTTCTTTTTCCTTAGCTTCTGAAGGCGAAACGGAAACCACAGCTGCCGAAGGTGCAGACATTGATCCTCATGAACTGGTTCAAGTGTCCACAGAACATGAAAAGCAGGACTCCTCAACAAACCAACCAGTCAATGGACTAGTGAACGATATCACTAAACAACAAATGATTGTTCAGTTTTTGAAGGTGAGAAAGTTTGGTTTATTATCTTTAATCTCCTGCTTTAATTTTATGGTAATTTCACTTTCCAACTGAAGCCTTTTGTTGAGAACAGACCAGTCAGAGATTAAGGAGTTTTTTCTGCTTAAGAGCTGAAACAGAGCTTTAGCCATAGCGGAATTCTTCAACCTTCACGCTAAACATTCCCGCTTGCATTTGGCCCCTTGTCTGTCGCGCTTGACTTGCCTGTTCAGATGGTGAGGGAGCAGTGTCAATCCCTCTCGTTTTTTCTCGCAATTTTTTTTCCGTCTCGAGTTTAAAAACACAGAGAGGGCAAAAAAATAGAAATGGAAGAACAAAGAGCGCTCTAGACCGCACTTAGTTGACAATTGAGTCAACCGCAAGACCTTGAGCACTCTAGTCACAGTCACTAACGTAGCAGATAAACGTAAAGCAACGTGAACAAGAGTGAATACTGACGGATAAATGTCTTCTTTTGTTTTGACTAGAAGTAAGGTCCTGTGTGGATTGATTTTTTAAACTCGGTTTTCTTTTTAAATCATGACACTCTACATCGCTTGGACGCGATTGAACCTTTAATGCGCCTGGTAACTTTGAGTAACCTGTTTCTTTTTACTTTATAGGATTATGTGCATTTTCAAACTCAGATGGAGAAAGCGTTCACTACTTTGTGCCAGTTGCTTGGTTCTAAAAGCATCTCCGACGTGAATGAGTCTATTGAGTTCTTTGTTGTGGCTTCTGAATTTGGACTCCAGTCAGCTATTGTGGGCGTGCGGAGGATGCTGGTGTTGATCTGGTCACGTGACTCTGCCGTCAGAGATGCAGTAGTGGAGGCATACAAAGGGCTTTATTTAGACCCAGAGGCACCAAATGCTAGGTACATGTATGAGGACTGTTTAGTCATAAAAGGGATCAGGGAAATGAAACGAGTTAAACTCCAGGCGTTGTGCGGAATATTCATTGTCGTTTTTGTTTTCATGTACTTTTCCTTTGAAGCCTACAATATGTTTTATTCTTTTGTAACACGTTTCAGGTCGAAAACAGCACTGATCGTAAAAAACCTGATTGCTCTTACACAAGGGGCCTCTATAGGAGACTTAACTTCTCTGGAAGAGTTGGTAGGTTGTTGTGTTTGTTTACATTCTTTTCCGTGTTTAATATGCGACGAAATGCAGAGACTATCAGTAACGAAGGGACTGTTTTTAATGTACGTGGTCCTTTTCTCCAAATGCTTTAAGAGGGTCAACTGTAATTTAAGTGGCAAGTCAAATGCATTTGTTAAAATGTGTAAAGTGCATTTTAGTTTTGGTTTTGTAACTTTCCAATTACTCTCAAACTTTTATAAAGCCCACATCTATTAAGCGGTTACTTTCTAAAGTCCTGGAAATAGTTTCACTAACTAGAGGTCCCTTCATTTTTCGCTATATAGGGAGTTGACTGTAACTTCAACGTGTTCTCTGTGTTTCCTCTTCAGATAAGCGAGCTGATGAAAGGAAAATTGATCCCCGGCCCTGTTATAAAGCTCTTATGGGAGAAATTTACAATGAAGGTAAAACCTCCGCTCGATTTGATTTTTAAAGCACGAGCGTTGATTGGATTATTATGTAGGTATTGAGTGCTTTTCATTGGATGAAGCGAATTTTCAACCAATCAGAATTGCTACCTAGATCTGTATAGTGACGCGTCTTCAGTGTAGAATTTCTGGGCTCGTTTTTCTGATGTTATTTCGCGAGAAAACCGGTGGTGGCTGTTTTCTCAGACTACAAGCAAAGAAAATGTTAAATTTGGTAATCGCTTAATTCAATTCAATTCAATTCAATCAAATTTATTTAAACACGGTAAATGGCTCAGCAAGCTGGTTTTCAGACATGCCGTGTAAAAATTACGAGCTATCAGTATTAAAACTAGTGATTAACTAACAATAATTTAGCACTAGGATTTGCTATTTTGTATCTGTTCCTATCGACTCTTATAAACGTACCTATGTAGTTTTATGTCAGCAAGATTTATTTAGAAACAATATAAAAAGAAGAAATAAGTCATAAATAAAAATAAGATAAAAAGCTGTACCTTAGGATGTCGCAAGTTTAAAACTAGTAAGATCTTCCATCCCACGTGTTTGATTTGACAGTTGATTCCAAGCCATTGTACCCCGATAAGAAAATGAGCGCTTAAGAGCGCTTAGTATTCCATCCTGGGGTTGCTGCCCCGCCCCTGTCAACATGTAGTTTTTTATTTTATTATATAAACACCGATGAAATACCAGGTGAACTTTCGTGCGAAAACATGTTATCTTCACACGTGAAAATAACATGTTATTTTCACATGTGAGAATATCACCTTGCTATGACTACATAATAAATCGTGCCTTTTGCAGGATAAAACTGTTTCAGTGAAATGGTTTGGTATTTCATTGGTGTTTATATAATAAATAGAACATTACATGGCCGCTTGGAGATACGAAATTTCTCTTCGAGTGTTGAAAAATATTTCACGAGTGAGCGCAGCGAACCAGCAATATATTACCTGGGCCTTCCCCACTCTTTGTCTCACTCAGAAAAGAAATACTTCAGTCCCTGGCGAACTGTTCCTTGTTTAATTTCAGGCTGCCCAGACCACTCAAGAAGAGAGCAGAGCTGCGCTGGTGCTTTTGGGAATGTTGGCAGGGTAAGGCTTGAAAAGGTTCTTGTATTAAAAAAGTGTTTGGTTTGTCTGTATGAGTAGACGCAGTATTCAAGGAGAGGTAAAGCTGAACCCCCTGCAAAATACCCAAGCTCATATTTGATAAGTCTCCTTCAAAGCCGCTGGGGCCGGAGTCACGCAATGCGGAGACTATCATTTGATAGATACTGACAGTACTCGCCAGATTTTTCATGACATTCCTTCGGTTTCAATTCTCAACCGACTCACTCTCTTTTTTCTTGTGTGTGCTAGCTGCTTCTGTATATGTTTCCAAAGCTAGGTCCCGCACTGTTTTGCCAATGGATTATGTAAATGAAAATTGCAGAGGGAGTAACGTGACAAGTGTTTCGACAAACGTGTCGAGCATTGTAATGATAGTTTGACACACAGTAGTGCTGCATAAAAACACTATTATTTTGCTATGTGTGTTTCAGAGCAGAGGCGGACATTGTTCGCAGTAATATTGACGTGTTGGTGTCCACGGGACTGGGACCGAGAGCTGAAGACGACTTTCTTTTAGCACGTGTCACGTGCGTAGCTTTGTTGAAACTTGCTAAAACCCATAAGGTAAAAGAATGTTCTGATTACGTTTACGTAAGCACGCGCTAATTGTCTCTATATTTCCAGTGCGCACATATTATGTAGCATTCAAGATACTACTTAGGGCCTGTTTACATGGAGGTGGCCGGCCCCAGGTAGGTGAGGTAACCCGTCTGTCCGTATAATCTCTCATTTCAATTTGATCACGTTGAAGTGATAGGTGGGGTGACCCGCCACATGTTACCTCACCTACCTGGGGTCCCCCCTCCATGTAAACAGGTCCTAAAACAGCTTTGCCTTCATATGGCGTCACGTCTGCCATATTGGTTGGTGTTTCAAAACAATGAAACGGTAGTTTCTTGGTGCTGCAGATAGATCACCAACTAACGTAATACAACAGGCTGAAAAGACACTGAAAAATACCCACACCACAACACAAAAGTGAACCAACAATGATTTCCACAACACATCGACAAGGAACACCCAAAGAAACGGCAGCCTTGTTGGTGTTCCAAACTATTCCTGCAGTAGTTGAACCTTTTTTGTGATGTGAAAACTTTCTTTTGTTTAAATAAATTTACATAGCTGCTTGGCGGCCTTATTTTGCAAGCGAAGGCGAGTGTGCTCCTCGCATCTTCCGTACTCCCTATTTCCTTGATCTGTATTGACGGATCAATTACTGCTTCCTTGTAAAACTGTAGTGTTTCACCTGAACCATTGTCTCTAGGGTCCCGTTTATCTTTTGTTATTTAGAAGCCTGGTTTAAGCGCCGAGGAGCCATTCAGACTCGCTTCTAGCCATGCAGTATTTGAGCGACTGACGGAGATTGTCGTTTCAGGTGAGGAACAAAATAGCTTTCATTGTATTAAAATTACACAGAAAAACAAAGCGCTGTAATATTTTAACCATTCTAGTTAAACCTTCTTTGCGGCTCCTTTTCGGCTTCTACACGGGGAACCCAAACAAGTGATTCTTGTACAGAAAACCCAGAGTAAATCATTCTCAGAATTACGTAAATAGCACAGCGCACAAATGACGTCAGAGTGACTAATCTGCAATGTTTGTCTGACTTTTAATGACAAAAAGCAAACGGAAGTGATGAAATCGCTTATTTTAACTTCATTTTGGTATTCTGAGTTTCAAAGATGTGTTGCCTCTTTGTAATTGTGTAAATACTTTTTATAAATATATGGACTGTACAGTTAATTTGTTGTTGGTTTAGTTTTGTTAAGTCACATCTTCGCGAACAGATGGTCCTTCTTCACTGGACGGGCCTAAAGATAAGTGTTATTTCCGTATATGTTAGGTGTTCGTAAGCTGGATAAACCGGACTGGACTCCTATGATGGAACAAGCACTGAATGTGATTTACTTTCTGGCGGAACATCCGGAGACAATCGCTGAGAGCATCATTAAGAAAATAGCAGCTTGCTTGCTGGACAAATCTGAAAACTCGGTGGACGCTGAGGAGGAAACAACATCAGAGAAGGGAGAGAATGGTAAAAAATGAAACGTTTTGTACATAGATATTACCTCGGCTGTTAAATATAAACTTTGAGGGGAAAATTCCGTCAAGTGACAGAGCCTTAAAACAGCGACCTAAGACAGACGAAATGGGGGCAAAAGGCACTAAAATGGGTTGAAGCTGGGACGGCGACAAAGACAGGCGCAAATGTAATGGTGAACTCAACCGACAGGGGCAACATGGCTTCCTCTTCAATAGGCGAAATGATGGGTTTTGCAATAGACTTTTCAACGGTTTTCTTCTAAAGTTTTGACATGGACAACTTAGGGAAAATCCTCAGCTCAAAAGAGCGTTCGGTGTATAAAAATTCTAGCATGACTCGGAGGCTTTAGGGACGAAATTGCAAAATTTTCACGACTTCATTGTCTCGCAATTCCCAGAAGAGACTTGAGCACAAAAAAGAGTTAAAGAGGTGAATTATGGGCACAATGTGAAAATAGCGAGTATAGGAAATAGTCACTTTTGATGTCAACAGAAGTCTCCATGCTTTGTTTTGCTTCCTTTTAAGTTTCTAACGACGATACCATGGACAACGATGGCCGTTCAAGTAATCCTCTGACAACTTGTCATGCCGGTGTTTTAGCTCGGTTTCTTAGCTTGTCCGGTCACGTGGCCTTACGTCATATGGTTCACTTGGACGTGGGGATACTGGGTGAAATCAAACGTCGGCAGGTGATTGAGGAGAATGAAAAAGAGAAAGAGAAACAAGCTAACAAACGAAAAGGACCGCACAACGAATCGAACACTAATGCAACGAAGGTAAAAATTGATTTCAGTGGCTGGCATCTGTAGTAATAACCATAAACAGAAGGCTCCTGCTTTAAAACGTTCCTACAGGTGATGCAAGTTATTTCTCTAAAATTATCTATTTCCCGGGACTTCAAAGTTCACCTCTATATATTTCAAGTGTTATTTCCACAAGGTGCAAATACGATTTCCCTGGTGCAGTCTTTTTCCCTGGGTTATTTTTGCCAGGCATGCTCAGTCCATTAGGGGGAGAACTGTGGTTTTTATTCCTAAGGCCGAGATTCTATTATGGGGTTGAAATACAGCTTAGTGTTCTAAGCGGCTTTCTTCCTCAATGGATTCACAGTAGTAACTTTAACCTCGGCTTAATTAAGATCAGAGGTATTGGTGAGTGTCTGATAAAATATTAGTTTTGCATCTGATTCCGTGACAACCACAGTGTGAAAAATATTGATGGTTAAATTGTCCGTTTTATCTTTTGAATTTTTACTTCTAAAACGGATAAAAAAATGTTGAAGACTCCCCCCTGCCCCCCAAAAAAGAGGAGGGGGGTAGAAAGAAAGAAAGAAAGAAAGAAATAGAAATACTCAGCTAATTTCTCAGTGGTTTGGAAATATTTCCCTCAAATGCTTTTGGTAACTGCAATCCACTATTATACCAGTTTAAAACCTTTCACTGACAAAGTCATTTTTAAAACGCTAATTTAGGACCCAGGCGCCTCTGAGACGATCGAGGAGGAACTGGGGCTTACTGGAGCAACAGCCGATGATGTGGAGACAGAATACATCAGAAAGATATGCGAACACGACATTGTTACTGGTATGTACGATTCTTGATTTCTAGACAACCGCAAATGCAGCCAGTCAAACCTGTTTAAGTCTTTAAGCCCCAAGATCCAAATACAAATTCTCCAGACTGATATTCATAGATTTCCTTTAAAGAATTACTTGAAAGAATTTGATGACAGGTGAAAGCATTTTCTCTTTGGTGAACATTTTAATATTCTCCTTACCTAGCCTTTTTCTCGACATTGTATCGATATTGTTTGAGGAAAATTGATGTTGGTCACTATTAGCGAACATGACGCATTTGTTTTTTCAGCAAACTTCATGAAACCTCACGTGATGATAGAACTCGTATAAAACTGCTTGCAATTTCTTTGGATTCCACAGGTGGTACTTTGTTAGCTAGCCTGCGCCCGCTGTTAGTATGTGTCTGCAGTAATCCTGTGAAGTACAGTGATCCTAACTTACGAGCTTCAGCATCACTGGCTCTGGCAAAGTTCATGTTGGTCAGGTACGTTACAGTCCTCCACCCTCCCCCCCCCGGGAGAGGCACTCAAGGGTACTTTGGGTAGAGATGTGCTACCGAGGCCTTCAAAACCTGATCCTTTTCAAGACAAAAATGGTTTATTTCGCTACCCTGTTTAAGACAAAAATGCTTCATTTCGCAACCCTGTTTAAGACAAGAGACATCATTTCACGACCCTGATTCATTTCGTTTTGCTTACAGAATTAAGAAATTTTTTGAAACCCATATCATTGCATTAGATTTTTGGAAAAAAAGTGTTGATACCACTCATGAAACTAGAGGGCTTATCCCAAATCTTTACGCTCCTTTTGAGGCTTCCGGTCCAAAAAGACATCCTGCTCAAGACGCTAAAATAAAATGGTGAAATCGTGTACCCTGTTTAAGGCTAAAACTGTTTTTTTACTTTTGTACTAATTCTCTAGTTACACCAAAAGGATTACCTTGAGAAGTTCGTAAAATAGACAAGAGTTTCATTAAAAAGGACAAGAATGCCAAAACGTGCTGTGTACATTGTAATTAGCGCTTCAGTCCGATCTAGCGCAGATTTTGCCGTCCATAGAAATGAACAGTGCAACTTCTTTATGGCCATTTTTCTTCTTAGAACATTACGTTTATCTGCATTCGCCTTTGTTAACAGTGTCTTTGGCCGGTGTGGAAAGGTTCCACTGGATAGAAGTTGCTGAGTATTGCGTCTTTTTGCTCCAGTTTCACTGTGTGTTAGAAGGTGAATTCCTATTAAAATTGTTTTCTTCACTGACTTTTTCGTTTATAGTTCTGAGTTTTGCGAAGCACATCTACAACTTCTATTCACGATCCTTGAAAAGGCTCCTCAAGCGACAATCAGAGCGAACACGATCGTAGCAGTTGGCGACCTGACGTTCAGATTTCCAAACCTCATTGAGCCGTGGACCTCTCATTTATATGCCAGGTTTGTAAATGGAGAATTACTCACTTACAAAGTTTTAAAACGTGTTCTTGGGCGTGTCTAAAGAAAGCCACGGAAGTCTGTGGGAGTCAAATGGACAATCCATTTCCCTCCCTCCCAGCCCTTTCTTCCCGTTCTTACAACAAGCTTGTCGCTGCACAAATACTAATCTCATCAAGGACATAATCGGTCATTTTATATCGTTCCAAAGAATGTAGTTATGGTCCAACTAAATCTTGACAAAAGTTAACTGAAAGAAGTCCAGGTCTCACACTGTGTAACGTTCCCTTTATAACAGTATTTTTTCATTTTCGTACCGCATTTCGATTTGTGCATTCTCTCTATCATTATCAGTGAACCAAACTTGCAGTGTGTTATGCCTTCGATCCGATATTACTTCTGATTGGTTCAGTGAATCAAATTTCACACGCGGCACGACCAATCAGAAGCCATGCCCAGATCTAGGTAGTGACAAGTTATCAGTATGGAATTTATGCACTCGTTTCTCAGACGTGTTTTCGCGGGGAAACCGTTGGTGACGTCGTAAAATATCAGCTGTTCTCTCAGGCTACCTTCGCTTCACAAATTGAAATACTGACAGCAGTGTGTATGTTATTTGACAGATTGCGTGACGAGTCAGGTCACGTACGTAAGAACACGCTAATGGTGCTCACGCATCTGATTCTGAATGACATGGTCAAGGTCAAAGGTCAGATAAGTGAGATGGCCACGTGTTTGGAAGACAAGGACAACAGAATATCTGATCTGGCCAAACTGTTCTTTCTGGAATTATCCAAGAAGGTAAGAATCGAAAAACAAAATCGCGAAAATATCAGGAACGTGCGCTGCGTTTTCTTAGGCTCGCTTACCAGGGAGCCCGCTAAAATGCAATTGTTTTTTTTTTCTGTTAATTGTTGCTCATGGAGACTACGTTCTGTTTGTTTATTTTATTCTCTAACTCGACTGACAGAAGTCTCCCATTTTCTCAAGTACTGGATTTAGTGGCGAGGAAGGGTTGTATCAAGACAAGGTCAACTTCAGCGTCGTTTACATCCGTAACTGTAAAATGGACTATTGGTCCGGCCCCGGTAATTAGACCCACGACCTCCTGCTCAGCAGTCAAGCGCTCTATCGACTGAGCTAATCCTGTCGTCACTCGCGGCTTAGTCGTGTAGTTTCTTTTCCTAGATCTAAGCTAAATTATTTTTTATTATAACGTTAGGGCAACGCAATCTACAACATTCTTCCAGATGTGATAAGCCGCTTGTCGGATCCTGATTGTGGAATTGAAGAAGAACCTTTCAGGAATATCATGAGGTCTAGCTCCAGTTTATTGCCTTGTTGTACCATTAACCGGACCTATTTGTAAGAAGGACCATCGCGCAAATCCAAGATAAGCGACCGTTTAGGGCTCGTATGCTCTACCATCAGATAACCCAGAATTAAAGCTGTGACGATTCATGACTGAGAAACAACTAGGCTTTGAACTTATTGAACGTTATTGTCCTGTTTTAATTTACTAAACTGAAATTCACGCCCTATATTCAGTTTTTTTAAAAAATGAATAAATGTTTTTGTTTTTAGCGTGCAAAGAAAGTCTGATGTCCGATAGCTTGGGGCTATTGGATTTTGCTGTTGGGCTAGTTGAATTCTGTTCTTAACTTGAGTGAAGTTTTCTGGGATATTCAAATTACGGAAGTAACTACTGTAAGGCAAATTGTTTAAAATCAATCCCTGATAAAATCATTTCCATCAAAAGCTGTTTTTTCACTGCAAATGATCTGACAAAGGGAAATTATCACACTCATTATTATACTGAATTGATAAATTAACGAATGATGTAATTAACAAATTATATTGATCAATTAATTATTCAACCTGCTCGTCACAAAATTTTCTTCGGGTTAGTTAAAACGACTTCTCGGGCTAGCTACAGCTTGCTCGACGGTTAATTTGTGAAACTGACTTTCTTTGCACCCTGGTTTTGTAAGTTTTTGATGTTATTTTACTTGTATACCGGGTTGTAAACGAAGGTATAAGAAAGAAATAAGTGATAATTTTATTGTGAGACCCTGTAGTAAACAGCAAAAGAAACAAATTCGTTTCTTTCTTGGGATGGCTTTCTGAGTATTGCTTATCTTCACCATCCATATTAATACTCTTGCCTATTTCTTGTCATTATTGTTTCCAGGTACCTTTTGTCATTTATCCAGAAAGATCGTCAATCTGAGAGTCTTGTAGAGAAGCTGTGCCATAGATTCCGAGCCACAAAGTAAGTTTACACATAAAAGGTGGATAACGCTGGATAGTGATTTTTAAGAAATGGTAAACGTGCAGCGTGCAACCATGGAGTTATGGATGCACGCGGGAGGTTGCTAAGCACGAAAGAAGCGTAAGAGTCGCACGAGGCGATAGCCGAGTGCGACTCTAGCTTCTTGAGTGCTTAGCAAACCTCTCAAGAGCATCCATAACTTCATGGTTGCACAGCTGCAACGTTTACCATTTCCTTTATAACATAATCAAAAGAGAAAAACATTATTTTCCATTTGCCTTCTGGTGAGTCATCGGTACGAGTTCATGTATGCTGCCATCTGCCCGCGCGTAAACAAATCATGTTCTGTTTTTCAAAAACTCGTCTGTGAGTTTTGCATTCCCTGAATCAACCGTTCTCCGTCTTCAGGTAAATTGCAAAACGTTTTTCGTTGTTATTCTGAATGGCATCTGTCTACTTTCGCTTATTATTAGGGTAAAAACTTTGAGGGAAAACTATAGCTGCAACTATAAACACCAACTAAAAAGACTAAAAAATAAGCTATAAACTAAATAAATGAAATAACTATCAAGCTTATTTATGTGACAATTTTTGAAATAAACGTCAAGTAGAAATGAGAAAATTTGACTGTAATTCCTTAAGAATAACAGTTAACACTAATTTTAAAAAGAAATTAACTAGCTTTGTATCGAAATCTGTCAAGGGAAATCTAGCTACGAAAGTCAAAGTTGCAACTGAAATTCGCCGACACACAGCCGGCGCTGAAGCTGTTGTTTTTCGACCGTTCTCTGAACGACTGTTATGAATGAACACTGAGAAACAAAATAATACACACAAGATATTTTTTGAAAAATTTATTTGAAAACCCAAATGTTTCTGTATACAAATAAATTCGCTTATTTCAGCGTATATGTGCCCGTTTAAACTCATCTAAAATTTTTAATCGATGCGATGAAAACTTCACAACAAAGCTGTCTCGAATTTGAGCGTGTTTCCTAAAACATTTGCTTGAATTTAGCATCAGCTTGACCAAAAAGTTTATAACACAATGCTAATTGATAAATTTACATTTCAAACAGACCTCTTCTATAAAAAAACACACAAAATGTACCTTAAATCTTCGCTCGCTCGATTTTCCTTCAGCCGATGCTAGCCGCGAGGAAAACAGTGATTAATTCATCCAGGGCAAATTTGTCGCTTGATCTTTTGTCTTTTTTCCTTCAAAACGACAGCTTAGTATTTTCTTCAACTTCCACTTTTCATTTGTGCATTTCATCGGTGTATTTTACCGTCAGGAGAGGGGATTTGTTGAATTTGCCTAAATTTTACCGCTCTAGCTCAGTTTCTTGTCGTGCACCCACGGGCAAATGGTAGTGGCTAACTGACCAATCAGAGCGCGCGATTTACTTTTGTTATGTTATAAATCCGGTTGGTTGCACTATCCAAGTTTTGAACAACTGGGGCCACCTCCTTTGCAGCTTAATTGGGTTTTCGAAATTCCTCTGTTTCATGTAAACATAAAATACACAAAAAGCGTTCTTTCCGCGCTCAATTCAATATGTTTTCCTTCCCAGGCTATTCTCGGATGTTCAAACTACCCAGTTCGCGATACTCCCGTTGTCACAGTGATATGGGCATCCCCCTAACCCTAACCCTAACTCAAATCGCTAAGATAATATGAGAAGGAGATGCCCATATCACTGAAACACCGCCTTGTCTCACCATTTTAACTTGTTAATATGTCATGTATAATTATAGCTATGACGTCAACCTTTTTTAACCTTTGTTTTTACCCGTTTACTTTTTGAAATCTGACTTGTTCTTGTTTGTTCTTCATTTCAGTGTGAATACGAGGCCAAAAATAAGAAAACAACAAAAATTTAAAAAACAAAACAAAACAAAACAAAAAGGTTAGATTCTTCTTGAAGTGAGTTTTTTCTCACAGCGTACCTATTCTCTTGTGTTCATTTAGAACTGAGCGTCAATGGCGTGACTTGGCATTCTGCTTGTCCATGCTGTCGTATAATGAGCGAGGAATCCGAAAGCTACAGGAGAACTTTGCGTGCTTCCACGATAAGTTAGCTGAGGAAGATGTTTACCAATCATTCCTGGCCATTGTAGGGAAGAGCAAAAAATTCGCTAAGCCAGAAGTCAAGGTAGACCTAGGTTTTGTTGTTATGAAAATACAGCTGTTCACACTCCTCTACGATTGTTCAGATCGATAGCCTACTATTACGGGCGGCTATTGTTGTTTTAAATGTTCAGGGAAAGCAAACATATACATAGCAATGATAAGGATAATTTTTGCTATTACACTTTGTATTTCCTATCTCTCCTCTCATTTGCTAAGAGCTTGCGGTCAATTTTGGAAATCAGCACAACTTACAGATGAGTTAGTTGTCTGCTAACAGGTAACTAACTAATCTGTAGGTTGGGCGTGCGATGTATGATTTTCAAGAGCAATGTCAAACTCTGTTCCGTGCAACGGTGTGTTTGTCGTTTTATGCTAAACAATAGGGACCTTAAGCAACGACGACGCACGACGGCAGTGAAAACATCATTTAAAAAAAATGAATTTGCGTCCTTTTAAACTTTATCGCGTCTGTTTGGAACCGCTCAATTCGTCAAATGTAGGCGACGTTTCCTGGAGTTGAATTCTTAAGGGCTTTATCCATGTTCAAATAGCGAAGGGAAAAATTGACGTAGTATGTCCACGTCCTCCATAAAACGTCGCATTGGGAGTTTTCACGTCGTAGTCGTGCAGTGGACGTCTAAGCAATATACTAAAAAGCGTGATGCACGTGCAGAGCAGTTGTTTTGCTCATAAAACCAACTGTTATTGACGTTGTTGTTGTTCGTCGTCGTCGTCGTTGTTTAAGATCCCTAATCTATAACAGTTGTTAGATTCGGTTTTTGTGATATCCGGAATAATAATCAAGGTCGAGGTAGGTAAGTGTTATATGCCGAGGCCGAATATTGTTGTTTCCCATCAGGCTTTAGTGGATGAGTTGGAGCAGCGCATCAGTCAGTGTCATACCAAAGGCATGGCGGACGAGGAGGACTATGAACGAGCATCCAAAGCTTTAGGAGCGGCGACTGGCGCTAACAAGGCTAAAAGAAGCGTCAACACTCCTGCAGGTAAATACTCTCAACATAGCTAATTTATAGTTGAATGTACAGTAACATAACCTTTTTATTGAAAACGAGGCTGGTTCTATTTGTATGCATAAGAACATCCTAAATATTTGCAAAGACATTCACCGAGGCAAACGAGAGAATTTTGCAAAGGCCAAGAAAAGACCTTGAAATCTAAGGTTGCTACTTTCACTATGGAATGTTTAGAGTATTACCAATACCCCGTAAAAATCTCACTAGTTAAAACAAAAAGCGCCCTAGACGTTTTATGGCGATGTAGCAAGGCCATATTTCTATCAAAACAAGGTTCAAGTATTTCCAGCCCCTGTTCCTCGCAAGACCAGAATACTCTGCGCACAACTGTAAAATGACCGATTTCTCGAAAGTTAAAATTTCACTTTGTTTGCCTAACAAATGGGTTAACTCAAGGCTGTATATTAAATCGCCGATGTACAGGGATCCTTGTGTTCACTGAGGCCACGTCCACTCGATTCCTGATATTTTTAAAACTGCATTTTTTTTTACACGAATAGACACGAAACCAGTGAATCCGTTCACTGAAACTGCATATTTTTAAAACCGCTCTCTGACAGAGTGGTTTAAGGCCCTGTTCACACTAATTAGGGGAACAAGATATGCGGTTTCAAAAATGTCTGGATACGTGTGGACCGGGCCTAAAATCGACGTCATTTGGGTGCCGTCTCGGGTATATGTAACAGAACCAAAATTAACCGAAATTCTCGGGTTAAAGGTGATGTTACACGGGCCGATTTTTATTTTTTTTCATTTTTAGCGCAGCAAAGCATTACAACATTTTTGCGACATTGTTTCGAATGGCTGCAACATTGCTCCAACATTTGTACGCTGTGTTGCGCTCAATATCGTGGTTACGAATCGCCGATTCCTAACGACGACGGTCTCCTGTGACATCACCTTAACGCTCACTCTGAATCCCTTTAGCAACCATTGAAAAGTGGTTTCCACATAATACAATTGCTGGCCTATTATTCACTGATTTTTGCGATCAAATGGAAGACAGCCTATATTTTTATATATTTTTTTAGCCCTCTATGTAACTTTGTATGGTAATATTTATCTATGCTCAAAGAAAGGAACTAACACGTTAGTTATTTACCGGAAAGTAAGCACACTTGCTGCCTGTATAATAATCGAGAATTTCAGTACGACTCGAAAGATATCCTAATGCAGAGAGCAAATGCATTTATTAGAGAATGAAAAATCAATCCGGTCGCTACCGAAACCTGTTAGACAAGGAAATTCAAAAATACTCCTAGCAGTTATTTAGATCGCCAGACGTCAACAATTTAGGTCACGTGGCTTTTTCAAACCAAAATGGTTAACTCACGTGATCACATTCCTTTCCCATGGCATATTTCGTTGTTCGCGCATCAGAAGCGCTAGAAGGCTGCAACTAGAAGACGTTTCATCGCTTGACTTTCCGCCGACAAAAATTCGTCCTGTTTGGTTGACAGAGAACGCCATTATCTGACTTGGCCTTTGGAACGTGACTTTACCTTTTTGGTTTGACGATTGTCGAACAAAGCCGCGTTAACGTTTGGCGAAAAAGATAATTGTCCTGTTTAGTTTTGAATTCTCGGTCTACCTTTTTCGGTGCTGTTTTTGAATAAGTTCCATCAGCCAGACTTTACTTTGTAGGAAGAGGAAACCGAGCTCAGAAAGGTCGAACACCGGCGACAAAGAAAAAGCGACAGAAGAAAACAGTGGAAGATAGCGACGACGAACCTAGTCCCATGCCCCTCAGAACGCCGCGCAACGCACCTAGACCGCCGAAGCCTACTAAAGCAAAATCGACCAATCAAAAGGGTCGAAAGATGCCTGTTTTTGAAAGTGACGACGAAGATAGCATCGAGTTATTTGACTTGGATGAAGAGGAAGAAAACTGCACTGAACTGGACTCCGAAGCTGATGAAAATGTTAATCCAAATGCGTCAAACAAACATAATTCCAATGGGGGTAAATCGCGTGGTGTGGAATCACAGAGCACAAGGAAGTCAAGAAGACGGCGATTGAGCAGTACATGATAGCGTGTGTGTGTGTGTGTTTTTTTAATTATTATCATCTTTGTAAATATATGCTGCATGTCAGTCATTGAAACTGTTTTAACTATCGCGTATAATTCAGTGTTTTTAATGGTTTCATTTTTTGTCATACATCTAGGGGGAATAAAATGACTTTTTAGAATCATTTCATTGACGTCTTGTAGAATTTATGAGCAATAACCCGGCTTATTAGCTATACTTTTAGCTATGCTAAAACTGGATACAGTCAAACCTGTATTAAGCGGCGGTCACCCTTATGGAATGGCTTGACAAAGCTAAGAGTTACTCAAAACGATCAAAATGGTGAAGAGCGCGAAGTGTCTATGATACTTTGACAAATTGACCGCAAACTGTGTCTCCCCTTGTAACAGAAGAAAGTAAAGGAATACTAGACGTCATACACAGCTTATCTATTGCACTTGTATGGTGCATCTTGCCAAAGTGACGGTTTGATAGAGTTGAAGACAATAAAAAATAACTACTCGTTTGGACCTCGGAAAAGGTGACTGCGATTACTCAGGTGAACACTTAATACAGGTCAGTTTGTATTTCCCTGACTTTGGTAAGTGAGCGCTGGGTAGAGGTCCGCTTAATACAGGTTTGACGGTACTTCTTTCCTTAAAAAAATCCAAGAAAGGATTTAATGATTGCTGATCTAAATGATCCACAACAAAGGTGGATTCTATGGATCAAAAATCGGATACTTTGGATACACGATTCGAAGCGTTTGTTACGGATCCGAAAATAGTGAATACAGCAGTCGGAGACAATCATAATGCACACATCAGCTGACTAAACTGCTGGGGGTTGGGTGTGGATTGGGTGAGTACTTAACAAAGTTTCATTCGGGTCCCTTCGGGTCCCTTCTTTCCATCGAATACTAAAAGTCGACTAAACGGCGTTTAAACCGGCCGTAGCACACAGAGTGGTTATGAACTAAAGGTAAACGGGCTTTTTGAATCAATATTTCGCGTGATCATGATTTTTTTTTCTTAGCGTTGAAGATTCGAATACATGTGATAAAATTCGAACAATAAGGGCCCAAATCACATGTAATAATGCAAGAAATATCGACCTTCGTTATCTTAAAGGCTACTAGAACAGATAGACAAACAAGAAGACTTCATATCTTTAAGACTTTTTGCATTTATTTGGCATCAGATAATACACTAATAATTCTAGTATATTCCGACCAAATGACCTCTGAAACCCGAACCCACAAATAGTGCGCTTGGGCTGCCTGTGTAGGGAGATTCGTTTAACAGTTTACTAACGCGTCGTTGCAAAATATTCTGCTTCGCGAAGCTCCCCTCCTCAAGATCTCCTCAGTCACATCAATGTATCAATGGTTTCTTTCTTACAGTCTCTATTGTTGCTGTTTCATTTCTGCGTATTCCTTTCACAATTATCTGAGCTTGTATGGAAGCTAGCAGAAGAAATAAGCCTTCAATCGGCATCAAAGTGCTTCCAATCTTTTGGTCCTCCGGCCAACGGCAATAAAAGTAACGCCATAAAATCCAGATTTTGCCCAAATCGAAACTTAACCGGAACAGTATATCACTGATCCTGAGAAGTTTAATTGTCGTATTGAACCCGGCCAAGCGCGATGCAAACGGATTTTTCAAGGTTCTCTTACTCTCCTCGCATCTTTTGATTTCGCGACATCCTGTCCAAAAATCAAAGTTTGGTGCATGCGCAGTAACGGGATACTGTTCCTTTAAGCAAACGTGTCTTTAAGCGACGCAGGTCAACCTGAAATGGACCTTTTCCGTTCTTGGGCAGTGGTTTTGCACAAATTTTGCTTGTAGCTCTTAAAATAAATTTCGTTAATTTAAGCTATGCTATTGTTTAAAAGCTCGCACCAACTCAGCCTTTCAAAATTTCTGAATAAACGTTTTCAAAAAGCACTTAAAATCACATTTAGATGAGGTTTATTGAAATGATTTACAAAAACGTTTCTGTTGGTCTCGAGTGAACATCTGCTTAATCTTTTCATTTCTTTCCCTTATTTACTAATGGTAGTTGAATTCAGCAACAACAATTACTTCGTAATTTATGTCACTTATTGATTTGAGATGATCGTTTGGGCAGTAGCATAAAAAAACTAACCAACCAAGACGGTGCTCAATTACGGATAAATAAAGAAGAAAAAGAAACACCGTTGAAAGGGTTGAGATAATGTTTGAAGGGGTTTGAATAATCGCGATAAAGCGGAGTTTTAAGTCTGTTTTTATATCGAAATTCTTATCTAGTACAAAAAATTTTAAATTGAAAAAAGTATATATATCGGAAGAAAGATTTCTCTTGGCGGGAATCTGTTGCTCAAAATTTGCATTTATTAATTTAAGATCATTGACAGATGATTTGCATTTTGAATCGCTATAAAAGAACAAGATGTATAATTGAAAGCTGCGAAAATTACAAAAAGGTATTTTTAATATTGAAAATGGAACCTTTTGAAGTGAACTATTACTTTTTTCTTGGCTTTTCTTTAAATAGGACTTAGCCGCCTTAAGGTTTTTACCATCTCTAAGCACAATTAAGAGCCAGCTGTTAGGAAGTTGAAGCATCTGTTACGCTTGAACTGAAGTGACTCCGGCCGTGAAAAAGCAAACGCAAGACTTATCAAGGGCGAAATTATCATAGACGATTTCATCTCATTATGATGAACTGGCTTGCGAGAAATTTCTCCAGAAAGAAATTTGTCGAACCATCCACCATTCACAGAACCAAACTGTCACGTTGTTTGTCCAAGTTGGATTTGACGTCGCTTGGTGTTGGTTCTACGCTTGGAGCGGGAGTTTACGTACTTACTGGAACTCTAGCTCGAAATGTCGTTGGTCCAGGGTTGGTTATTTCTTTTTTCATTGCTGCTGTGGCAAGCTTGTTGGCCGGACTGTGTTATGCTGAATTCGCAGCGCGAGTTCCTCGTGTTGGATCCGCGTATGTTTACTGTTACGTTACCATCGGCGAGCTGTGCGCTTTTATAATCGGTTGGAACTTAGTTCTTGAATACGTAATAGGAACTTCGTCAGTAGCTCGAGCATGGAGCTCGTACCTAGACTCTGCTGTGCTCAACGACGCCGTAAAAAATTTAACAATGTCCGCACTTATGAATCTTGGCGCAGATAAAGTAATATCAAACTATCCAGACTTCTTGGCATTTCTTGTAACTCTTGTGATCACCGGGACATTAAGCTTTGGCGTGAAGTTGACAAGTGTAACGAACAATGTCATGACAGCTATAAACATAGCTGTTATAGTATTCATTATAATCGCTGGAGCTAACTTTTCCGAGAGCGAGAATTGGACGGATGATTTCTTGCCGTTTGGTTTTCCCGGCGTGCTAGCGGCATCTGCTTCAGCGTTTTTCGCGTTTGTTGGATTTGATTCGATCGCTACTACTGCTGAGGAGTCAAACAATCCGTCTAAGGATGTGCCAATAGCAACGGTTCTTACTATCGGTAAGCATTGCTCTGATCACTTAAATTAAATACCCTGTATTTTTAAAGACGCAGGAAAATCATCTTCTCTGCGCTAAATATTAGAACAAAACTTTTGACTACGAGCAAACGGACGCAACATTGTTGGCCAACAACTCCCACTGACATATGTTGGACGTTACATGTTGTGTCCGTTTGCACATTCTGTTGTAATATGTTGTTGCGAGTTGTTGCGCAAAGTTTGAAACCTGTCCAAAGTTTAGCCAACGTGGAAAAAGTTGCAACAACTCCCAACAATGTTGCGTCAGTTTTCACGGGGCTTTACCTTGCTTTACGTACACTGAAACGTTTCAAGGCGTTTGCTTAGTGGACCTTAGTTGTACTGAAGAAAAAGAAAAAAAAGCCTCGAGGCTTATGAACATTTAGTTTCCGCAGTAGAGGATTTCCTTTGGTCGACCTTTGCAAACAGAAGCTTATTTCATGCGATACAGAGTCACAAAGTTTAATTGAAGCAACCATCATTAGGTGCAATACTGTTACTGAGTGTTTCCGTGGACAAAATCCGGGGAATGACAGCTTTTTGAGGGTTAGAGATGTTTAGTTTGACGGTGCTTATGTCCTGTTTTATTTCACATTCACACACTCACAACTGACATACATGAAGTCCGTTTCCGCCAGCAAATAACAGGTGCTAGCTGAGGCGGGCGGAGATAAAGGGGTACAGTAGTCAGTGATAAATTAGAACGGTTAATTAAAAATCAATAAATGAATAAAACGTAAACGTGAATAAATAACATTTGCAAAATGAACCGCTTGTAACAGTTACATACAGGTATATATAACTGCAAAACTGAATTAAACTGTTTCTACTGTGGAATTTGCTATTTTCTGAAGCACAATGGGCGTAATAGTCCTCAGCCTCTAATGACGAATATCTAATATCTAATAAGTTTAGTATTTTGTTCAAAATAAAAGCTATATTTTAAACTTTTAAGTTTAAATAACATGATCGGCTTAATATGGACACCTTCAATTGCCCCGTCAGTATTCGTATTAACAGAGTTTGACTGGATTAACGTTTTCGTTGCTAGAGTGTGTCCTTCAGTTGGGCGCTTATTTGAATAAATGCAGTATTTCGGAGCTCATTGTATTCTATAAGTTCTAGTACTTTTTTGTTACGTTGGCTACTGAAAAACTCTCTCTGAACGCGTGTTTTCCGCCCTTGATTTATTAAGAGTGATCAAAACGTTCCTTTATTTTGAATATTGCTATATTTCCAAAAAAAAATCGTTTAAATGTCTTTTTGTATATAAAACCTTGAACAGAGTCAGAAATGTTAAGAACAAATGAAAATAAATGTTGATGGTGTTGTTTTTTGTTGCGAGAAACTGGCTACGAATCATATTTCCATTCGTCAAAGACATTGACAGAGATTTTACAAAGTTCTGCATACGGAATCGCGAGCATGTTGTTTTCTTACCAATCAAATGACTGACTGTGCCGCTACGTAATGTCTGCAGTTAAATATAAGTTTACAAGGCAAGACACCAATTTTTCAAATTTATAAAAACACAACCTAGTTTTGAAAAAACACGGATCGAACCTACAGCAACCTGATTGGTTTTTTGCAAGGAACCAATCAAACCGCACCATTTTCGATCCTCCAAACAAACCAGGGTGGATATATAAACGCTTACCAAATCAAGCAATACGGAATGGTTTAGAGTTCACCTAAACCATCCCACCACATAGCAACTGATGAGAATCGTAAAATTCGAAACCGCCGGTCTTGCTTGTAAACTTATATTTAGCTGCAGACATTATGTAGTGGCACAAAGAAGCCAGTCAATTGATTGGTATAAAAACAACATGCTAATGGTATTGAAAAATATCGAGCTTTAAAATACTCTTTTCTGATATTAAAAGTAATAGTCACATTTACAAAGCGATTGAGTTTCAAAGCGACATTCAAAGGACACAGCATCAAAATGTATTTAAATCGTGCTTCTACTAAAGACGTGATAAATACACAAAACCAGTGTCAGATCTGGATATATTTAAAGACTACGTGCTGTGTACAGCTGAACATTGTTCTCTGATATCGTGTAAACCTAAACTTTACGGAGATATTAAAACCAGATACCCTAAGATAACAGCAGCTATGGAAAAATTATTATATTTTTGAGTAGACAAATCTCATAAACCGGCTACAAATTCAACAGGAATACGCGCGAACTGAATAAATTGTCTGCTGTACATTTGAAAGGTTCTGCTCAACTTACACAATTTTCCCTTGCTGAACATAAACTGTACCGAGCCGTATTTTGGTCCGCTATATAGAAGCTATATCATCGTTCAAATTTCAAACTGTAAGATCCCTGAAAGAGTTCTCCTCAATGGAGCAATATGAAAAAGGTTTTCAAACGTTTCACGCCGGTGAAGATGTGCGGCCTGTCAACTCTTGCAAGTTTTTACTTCATTAAGAATGATTAAAAGTTCCCTTAACTTGAAAAATGCTTTTACAGTTTGTAAAGTCGCAAAAAATGTTTTTCATAAAATAATTTTTTCAACAAAGTCAGAAATTTTTAGAACAAAATATCGATGGTGTTCAGTTTTTTTCTTTGCAAGAATCTGGCTACGTAGAATATTTCCATTCATCAAAGACATCATGAGAAAAATTTTACAAAGTTTTGCATATTGAATCGAGAGCAGAATGTATTTGATTCAATTGATTGAACTTGAAATCTATGTCACTGTCTCCAAGGAACAGAAACTGACATAATGTATGTTCAGCAGTGAGTCTCACATAAAAACATTGATACAACAGTCTGGAGTGTGAACATAGCATGGTAAATGACAGCAGACAAACCTATGACGAGATATTTATAAAAAATTTAATCTCACTATGGATCGGTTTGCAAGAGCGATCTCCAGGAAGAAGTTTGTTGATCCAACCACCGCACAGAGGACCAAATTTTTGCGTTGTCTAACCAAGTTCGATTTGACATGCCTAGGGGTTGGTTCAACGCTGGGAGCTGGGGTTTACATCTTCATTGGAGTTTTAGCTCGAGATGTCGCTGGCCCAGGATTGGTTATTTCTTTTTTCTTTGCTGCTGTGGCAAGTTTGTTATCCGGACTGTGTTATGCTGAATTCGCAGCGCGAGTTCCTCGTGTTGGATCGGCATATACTTTTAGTTATGTTACCATCGGTGAGCTGTGTGCTTTTGTAATTGGTTGGAACTTAGTTCTTGAGTATATCACTGGCGTTTCGTCACCCGCTCGAGCATGGAGCTCGTGTCTAGACTCTGCTTTGCTCAACAACGCTATATCTAATTTAACAGAGTCCGGGCTCTTAAAACTCGGTGTTGGTAAAGTCATCGCAAATCAACTAGACTTCGTAGCATTTCTTTTCACTTTTGCCATGACCGCGGCATTAAGCTTCGGCGTAAAGCTCACAAGTTTTACAAACTGTGCCATCACATCTATAAACTTAGCTGTTATATTATTCATCATCATAGCTGGAGCTACTTTTGCCGAGAGCAAGAACTGGACTAACAATTTTTTACCGTTCGGGTTTTCTGGCGTGTTAGGGGGGACAGCTTCGTCGTTTTATGCGTTTGTTGGATTTGATGTGATAGCTATTTCTGTTGAGGAGTCCCAAAACCCTACTAAGGATGTGCCAATAGCAACAGTTCTCACAATAGGTAAGCATTTGGGTTATGTTCACACTCTACCGGACAGCTTTCGCGCCGGCGCGAAAACCATACCGGACACGGCTTCTGTTGACGCTTACGACGCTGATTTTGGCGCAATTTCTGTAACGAAGGGAAGCTGCGCCCTGTCAATACCTAAAGTGGAGAGTCATGTATTGGATAGGCGTTCATACGATACTGGGTAGCTTTTCGTGTCGGCACGAAAGGCTGCCCAGTGTAGTGTGAACGTATAGAACCTCGGGCTGCCACAGGCCGTTCAGTTTTTATGCTAGAAATGTTTTAACGTTTAAAAAGTCTTTAAAAGCTCTTCCTAAAACGAAGCTTACGTCTAGTATAAAGACGGTCAATTTGACAAACGTATTTACCGACTTTAATTTCTTCTGTTAAGTGCATCGTTTTATTTTTTTAAGGCGCACTTGAACAGACCACTTAAACGTCTCAGAGATCAAGTGCGACTAGTATAAAAATGCAACACCTGAACTGGCACTCATTTATGCCCATCTCGTCCAGAAACGATGGAAAGAGTCAGTGTTTTGTCTTTTTTTCAGAAAAGTCGCTTCCATGCATTTTTGTTTTCCGTTATTACACCATACGACTTAAACGTCTCTGCATTTAAAAATGCTTCTAGACGACTTTAACGTTTCTATCATAAAAACGGCCATAAAAATGTTAAACTTTAGTGAGGCTCTGTTAGCGTCAAATTCCCACAAGCGGCGGGGATTCGAATCAACGCCATAAGACAAGATGAAATGATGACAAACGACACAAAGATGGGTCAAATATATTGACAGGGCCATGGCCTATTCATTAAAACGCGAAACAGACTGTATTTGAAATTTAGAGTAGGGACATACGTAGGGTACCTGACCCTCCCCCTCCCTGGTCTTATTGCAGACACGGGACCTCGACATTCTGTAAAAGCGAGAGTTTATCTTAATCTTTATCAGGATAATTGCTTTTTATCTTAGAGGTAACTGCTGTCCGTATTATCGGGTTTGATATGAATATTCCTTGTTTTAATTGCTTATGAATCGACAGCTTGTCGCCGAGCATCATTCTTTCAATATGATGCAGTTTCAGGTGAACTCAGTAGTTCGAGGCTATCTGTAAGGACTGAATAGCTTAGCTCTGCGAAAAAAGTCAAAATTTTTTTTTCGACTTTAATTTTTGCATGTAATTCTTTCGGTTTTTCTCATGAGCGTCGATCAATTAGAGAAGCGAAATTTTCTTTTGTCAGTAGAAATAATGATTTCTACCAAACGTAAAATTCTATTCAACGCGAACAAGAATATTTTCTTTTTATGTTAGCGTTAAACCTATTTAGCCAGGTTAGTATTAGGTGTCTGCCGGGAATGATGTAATGCAGGATTACTGGATAAGATTTTTAAAGTTCAAAAAAGATGTGTGTTTACACCCTTTATTTTTTCCCACTATGAATATATTTTATAAGAATATCGAGGCTAAAATTTGCAAAATTTTAAGAATATTTTAAGAATTTATAAACCCGAGGTTGAGATTTCGAAAAGGATGATTATTTTGAGTGATGAAACTCTAAAACTTGAAACATGTTTTTAGTTAACAGTATTAAATTATTACTTCCTCCCACGGCAAAACTACCTAAATGAAACGAAGAAACCTGCATTGGTTATAGCCAAATGTTCAGCTCTAATGACCGTTCGATGAACTGTACATGAAATACATATCTATAGCATACAGCAAAAAAAAAGAAAAAAACAAAAAAAGGATGTGATAAATTCTTTCTTTTTCAATTATAATTCAAGAATAACGGAGGGGGGGGGGGCGGTCTGAGAAAAATTTTTTTTCAGCCCTTCGGGCCTCCGTTTGGTCCAAAAATAAGGGGGGTCCCCCGGGCCCCTCCCCTGAATCCGCCACTGTTTCAGCCTCGCCGGAAAAAACAACATTCTTATGTAAATAAAAATAGCGTTTTATTCGAGATTCCCCTTTTCAGTCAAGAACTTTGCCGTTATTTGTTGAACTTGGGTTGCCGAGCCCTATCAGTCAAATGAGTAATAAATAGTTTTCTTACCTTAAAAATAAAAAAGGAAAAAGCGCTGTTTATGCGGTTTTGCTCAATTAACTTATCTTGCCGTTGTCCTTTTTTCCATCTGTTTGTCCTTGAAAATAATTTTATACATCTGGCCACTTTAGAGGCTTTTTGTGTTTAAATAAGACTGGTGGTTGAAGCCAGTTGCAGTAAGGGCAGATATATCAGACTAATGGGGTAACAGTTGATAATTTATGATGAATATCACAGATATGTTCTTTTTTTGGTGGCTAAAAATAACGCGTTAACGGCACGATTTTAAAACCAGGTACAGTTCCAAACACCCTGGTAAATCCCGAAACGGTCTGTAGGTAAAATATGAAAGTAACAAACCGTAACCCGTAATATGTAAATATTAAATGTTCTTTCTGTTCGTTAAGTCATTTGACATACAGTCGACCCCTGATAACTTGAACCCTCGCTAACTCGAACCAAAGTCGCTTTCCCTTGGATTTCCACACATTTACTGTAATCAGTTGTTTTGTTACCCTCGGTAAATCGAACCCTCGACAACTCGAATCGGCCCCGCTAACTCGAAGTAATTTTTGTTTCCCTTCAGATCATTCCTATATAATTTTACCCTCCGTAACTCGAGCCATGTTTTAAGCACGCGACACGTTCGGAAAAAAAACGTGTACTGAAGTCCGAGACAATGAATTTATTTCAAAACAACAGCGTCAATTCTTTTGTGTTTACTTTTGATCCCTTTTGATACTCCAGTTCAATTTCAGTGTCCATCTCTGTAAACTTTTTTTGCTTAACTACATTTTCACTGCCCATTCATTTTCTTATTTTCGGTTATCTATTGAAAACTCACGATAACTCGAACTTTTTTCGATTTCCTTGCAAGGTTCGAGTTATCAAGAGTTGACTGTATTTCTTCCAGATGTTCCGGGTGTTCAGTAGGACATGTGTTCGGTTCCTGATTTCCCATAAGTCCTTGCAAGCATTGCTTCACCGAGATCCGATCGAGTCTTGAAAATTCTTTGAAACCGCTCAATTTTCCTACTGAACAAATCATGTTTAAATTATTCGCGAACAAGTAACCATGACGCAAAGAATGGAACGGGCATTTCTTTAGCGCGAGCAGTATTGACTTGGATGAAGTGTTGAATGGAAATTCTATATCGATTCTATAGCATGTAACTTCCGTTGGTCTTACGACGGAACCAACAAGTTCAGTTTTCGGCCGGATATATTTGAAACTGATTGTTCACCTTGGCGATCCGTCGACCGACGCTAAACTATGGCTAATTTAAACTGATCTACAGCAAGTCAATGGTTCAAGGAATATCACATCCGAAAATGGCATTCTTGCTCAAACGATTTACACAGAAGAAACACATCGATACTAAATCACTCTCTCAATCAAAACTGTCTCGCTGTTTATCCATATTCGATCTAACATCGCTGGGGATAGGCAGTACTCTTGGTGCTGGAATTTATGTTTTAACCGGAGAGGTCGCTCGATCGATCTCCGGACCAAGTATTGTTATTTCTTTCTTCATCGCAGCTGTTGCTTCCGTTCTCTCAGGATTGTGTTACGCCGAGTTTGGTGCCAGAGTACCTAAAGCAGGCTCGGCGTACATCTACAGTTACGTGACTGTGGGCGAATTATGCGCTTTTATAATCGGTTGGAATTTGTTTTTAGAATATGTGATCGGCGCCTCGTCCGTTGCTCGAGCGTGGAGCGATTATTTTGACTCCATTCTCGACGGGAGAATTCGAAATTTTACTTTGGAACATTTTGGTGAAATTCACGCCGACGGCCTGTCAACATATCCCGATTTTTTTGCGGTATTACTTCTGATGTTTGTAACTCTTGTCCTTGGGATCGGTGTCAAAAACTCTTCTCGATTTAACATAATATTCACCGGCATAAACTTATTTGTTATTCTGTTTATAATATGCGTGGGGATATATTTCGCCAAGGGCGAAAACTGGACACGAGATTTCGCTCCATTTGGGATATCCGGTGTTTTCTCCGGTGCAGCAACTTGCTTCTACGCTTTCGTTGGTTTTGATGTGATCGCGACGACCGGCGAAGAAGCTAGAAATCCAAGCAGAGCGATACCGATTTCTATCGTGTTGGCTTTAGGTAAGGAACGTCGCTCAGTCGAATTTGTTAACCTGCTAATTTGTTTTACAAACGCAATGAATAATTCGGTACCGACCGCTAGCCGGTTTAATTTGTGAGCTCAGCTGCGCCAATTTTATAAGGCTAATATTCTGACTAGCCTGCGTAGCAAGCGTTTCCGTGCGGTTTCGGAGAAAAGAACGAGGAACGTGAGTCAAAGACCGCGCGAAAAATGGCGAAAAAATGGCGCGAGTAAAAGAGCGGGGAGGGGGTGGGGAAGAAAGGTAAGGTAAGGAGTTTCCTTCCTTTCCCTCCCCCTCCCCCCTCTTTCATTTTTTGGCTCTCGTTCCATTTTTAGCGTGGTCAAAACCGAAAATCCCATTCCTCAGTCTTTCTTTGCTCCAAAACCGAACGGAAACGCTTGCTAGGCAGGCTATATTCTGACAATCTCTTTTGATTCTATATAATACTGATTTATTGTGGAGAATTATTTATCGTTAAACAGAGTTAAGTAGGTATTGAGACTTTAAATTATGCCATTTATATCTTTAACACTATTTGTCACGACACATGTTCCGTTTTCATTCAATATTACTAGTTCTGGAATTGTTTCTTAGCCAACAAAACCCCAAAGTATTTAACCCTGTAAAACCCTAATATCAACATTAAGATTCTCATTTACAGCCCCTATACTTTTCAATAGAAGTAGTAGGGAGAATTTATTAAAAGTTTTGCGTTTTGTTTGGTCACGAAGCTCCCTTAACCTTTTTTACATACCGTATTATTCCGAAAAAAAGGCCCGGGGCATATATTTTTTTAAAAGCCCTTTTTGGAGGGGCTTATATTCAGAGGGGCTCATGTACGGAGGGAAATTTGCGTTTCAAAATCGGCTAGGCATATACTGGGAGAAATATGCGTCTCAAAATCCATTACATTAGCTTATAGTTGGAAGGAAATTTATGTCAGTAATTTGCAGCAACAAGTTTTTACTGAAACACGCCTTGAGGACGTAGATCTTTCTAAAACTCAGCCATGTAAGTACTTTGTCTATATGGACCGAGGAAATCCAAGACAAGATTGAAGAGTAAACTGCGCAAACGGCAATATACTGTGACACTTTTTGACTTCAATCATTTGGCGGACGTAATAGTTCTTTGGCAAATGCAAAAATTTATGTGTTACTCTACAGCTTTTGCTTTGTTTTATTTTGAATTTGAGAGCAATTTCCCAGTACAAGCCCCTGGGGGCTTGTATTTGGGAGTGCGATTTATCGGAGAGTTTTTTGCGTTACGAGTTTGGGGGGCTTATATTTGGAGGAGCTTATTTTCGGAATTTTACGGTATCAGATTTTGTGTGCTATAATGAAGCGGCTCTCAAATTGAAGACATCTGTAGCTATACTTCAGTGTATTTATAATTCAGTCTTCTTGCACATAGTAAATCGAAATGAGTTTCTGGTTTTCTCTGCTTAATTTATTACGTACCAGCAGTTAACTATGAATTGCACCTGTTACGGCACCCGTCGCCAAGACGGTGATTGAAATTTGACGCCGCAAAGGGTCTATTGAATGCGTGATCTTTTTTTTCTTAACTTAATGTCTCTCTTGCCGTAATTTAAATATCTGCATTTTAAATGTATTTTTTATGTATTTTATATTCGCCGTTTTGTTAGTTTCAAAATGTTTAGATTAAACTTCTGCCACCTGGTTGCACACGGATTGTACCAGTTCCCGTACACCGTGTAGTTTTGATACATGGAGACAAGGATCGTTTCTTTCAATACTGCACGGTTCATTAAGTCGAGAACAATAAACAAGAGAGATGGAAAACAACTTATCTAGTATGGATAGTATTGATATAATATCTAATATTTATCTTGTATGTGGTGGGAATCTATGAGCAATTATTCAGTCACCAACGGCAATTCAGTTCAGCTGAGCTGTCTAACCTGGCTCCTTGTTTCCTATTAAACCTTTGCGGTTCTTTGAGAGCAGTTAATCACAGAAAAGCTGGAAAAGCTGGAAGACGGACTGGCCGGTGCAGCATGTTCACACTTTCACCGAAGAAATCGCCAAGCGCGCGTATGAAAATAAAAACCGTGGGGGTTTATTGAGCACTAGGCAAAAGAGGGAGGGCAGGGTGCGTTGAAATGAGTTCTTACATTTCGAGCTCCGCGTTCTCACGCTTTGCGCTCGCTTTTGCCTGCTCCCTTGGCTCTTGCACTCGCAAAGTTCGTCGAAAAAGAAAGAAAATCTCCTGTGACAGGCTAATGCTGTTGGAAACCAAGTCTCGGTTTCCGTTTTAAAGAAATTTTAGTCTAACAGGGTCTGCAGAGGTTCGCGTTGAGACAGCTCTGACGGTATTGCATGAACAGATCTTAAAGTGTTTTTACTCAATTCACATTTGTAATTTATATCTTTTGCAGGTATCTGTTTTCTGGCTTTTTTTGGTGTCTCAGCCGTGCTGACACTGATGTTGCCCTACAATGAATTATCCAATAGAAGCGCTCTCCCTGACGCGTTCGCAACTCGAGGAGCCCCGTGGGCCAAATACATTATAGCTGTCGGTGCCCTCTGCGGATTGAGTGCCTCCTTAATTGGATCCTTGTTTCCTTTACCCAGAATGCTGTATGCCATGGCTAGTGACGGGCTAATCTTCGAGTAAGAAAAGAAATAATTATTCTCCGTTATAAGTACTAGGATTTTTCATTTAGATTTTGTATCCCGCATTCGGATGTGTGTCACACATATCGCTCGTATGTGGTTTAAGTTTTCTAGTGCTTTGATTAAACGATACTGACGAAATTGTGTAAAGTTAAGATGCAGAGGGAATATCACGAAGTCTAGAAAAACACATTTGAGCATTATCAAATTATATTATCTCCGGGTAATGGTAAAATAAGTGGCAAAATGTTGGCAAAATCACCGAATCACGGTACAATGTGAAAGAACGTCGACAGTGTTTTAATTAATTGAAATTGTTGGGTTCAAACTGTAGAATTTGGGGGGTGTCCTAGCTTAATGTGCAATATAACTGAGTCGCATCTGACGGAAAAGGAAAATTTACGAACGGACGGACTAGGCATACAAACTTGACAGATGGACGGACAGATCGAAAGAAAGAAATACTTTTACCTATCTTAACGGACGGATGGACAGACGGACTGGACACACAGACGTAACAGACGGACGAACAGACCAGACGAACAGATGGACAAAAATCTGGTAGAAGAAATGATCTTACTTATCCCGACGGACGAATGGACCGAACAGACTTAGGGAAGGACTAAGTAAAGAAACTGGACGGACGGAAACTCTGACAGAAATTTTAGTTATCCCGATGGACAGCAGGACTGGATTGACAGACAGACGTACAGACAAACAGACTGGACGGACGAACAAATGAACAGACGGAAAGACGGACAGATGGACAAAAATCATGTATAAGAACTGATTTTACCTATCCTGGCAGACGGACGGATTTGTTGGAGGGACTCGACGGACAGATTGAAAAACATCTTTAGGAAATGATTTTACGTATCCCGATGGACAGAACGGACTGGACAGATGGAAAAACAGTTATGAGAAATGGTTTTACCTATCCCAACGGATGGAAACCCAAAGCGTAAACAATGATACTGACTTTACAGTTAATTTACAATTATTGAATGATGCTGAGTATGTTGTCAAAAATCATGCAAAACGAGTTGGGCCGGTGCTTATAACACCCTTCGATATCTGCATAATTCTTCATCTGTTAGAAAAGCCGAATTAAATAATTGTTTTGTTATTCATGCGAAATATTTCTACGTTTTTATCGACCTCCTTATTACCTCTTCGTATTCTTTCTTCAAAACATTTGCCTGTTATTTCGGAGCGGTTTCAGAATATAGACAATGTTGCACTGAGACACTCGTCGAAAAGTAGATGACATCCATCGAGCAATACTTTTTGCGTTTCATTGCATTTCTTCTGTTTAGTTTTTGTTAGGAACTGGGCTATTTCGTCTTTGGATCGCCGTGAACGCATTCACTGTTTTTCTTGATTTCATTTATGCCATAACAGCTAGGCTGCTGCGCCGCTGTCTGGAAACGAGGTGACGATGTTATAGAGTGGTAATATGCCATCGAATCGATGGTGTAATGCTCGCGTCTTCCAAATATGGTCAGCGCAAGCTGGTTATGAAGAATTAGTCGGGGGATTAAAGCCGATCGGAAAAGGCGACTTATTTTGAATGAATACTAACTTACATCCCGCTGTTTTTCTTATTTGTTGTAGGTTTCTCGCCAAGGTGCACCCCAAGACTGAGATCCCGGTAATCGGTACAGTCCTATCCGGGTCACTTGCAGCTTTCCTGGCCTTAATATTGGACCTTGAAGCACTGGTAGAAATGATGTCCATTGGTACTCTGCTAGCCTATACAATAGTGGCATTGTGCGTTTTGTTGCTCCGCTATCAGCCTGGTAGTATAGGCATTGTAAAGGGAGGGGAGCGAATTTTCTCAACCAACGACGAAAGCTTAGAAAACGAACAAGAAATGGCGGAGGAAGGCACTCGACTCACAGGTGCATTGGAAAATAACGGCCCAACTCTACAAACTGCCCAGCTTGCCGCCATTGCAATTTACTGCAGCCTCACCTTGTTTTTCTTCTTAAGTGTCTTTCTCATCTGGGGAACCGAGGCTCTTTCGAAGGGTCAATCATGGGCTATCATTCTGGCTATTATCCTAGGTGTTCTTGTCATTGCCTGCATAGCCCTCCTCACACGTCAGCCCCAGAACAAAACGCCCCTGCCGTTTATGGTGCCTTTTGTGCCTGCAATCCCCCTCTTCTCAGTATTTATTAATGTCTTTCTGATTCTGAAGCTTTCTCACCTGACGTGGATACGTTTTGGCGTTTGGATGGCTATTGGTAAGTATCAGAGTAAAGTCAAAACTAAAAGTGATATGAATACTGGCCCCATTCATACCTATCCGTTTTTGTTTGAGAACGGAGATTTTTTTCTCCCCTTTGGCCTACCATCCACAGGTATCCGGTGAAGACGGCCACCCAAAATGCATGTGAAAACACCGGCTTATCGTTTCCGTCTTGCAGAACGAACTGAAAACGGAGGGTTTCAAATACGATGATGTTATAAATCATACAGCCCATGCCTTGTATGGCATGATATTGTATTTCCATCTTATAAGCGTTTTCCTGTGGACGGGCGAAAACAATTCGCCACGTGTGGAGTGTAGTTTTTCGAAAACAGAGCAAAAAACTCCGTTTTTCGGGCTTATGTGGACGAGGCCTCATTTTGCTCCTGTTGGTTAGAAACATACAATAGACTGTTAACTTTCCTTGCTTATATACTAAGCATTAATTTAAAGTTTTATTGAAAAGCTTCACTTTTCAATTCAATTTTCTACTTAGTGATGGAGATGGAGAAAGGTGGTTCTTGGGTCTTCTGATAAAATCCTTTGTTGTGACCATTCAACTGAAATGTTTTTAACAGCACTTTCACAGGGTAATATTTGATTTCCAGCATTTTCGAAAAAAAAATGCGGAAATTTTGTGGTATTTAGACTCTGGCCACTATTGGGGGGAAAAGGTTAGGCCGATCATTGCAAAGTGTTGGTAAGTATTATTTCCAGATGAAATGTTTTTCCTTGACGCAAACGAACGTACCACTTTGTTATTCTTATCTATATTACTCTCAGCTTCGGTGTTTTGAAACGCGCCCTTTTAATTTCTCAACATGAATGAATTTATAGAAATCGCACTCTAGTCTGTTACTTCAAAGTTTTTTTTTTGTAAAAACGACATCGTTTTGTGTTTAATGACTGTCTGTTTTTTAACTGCCGGAGCTTAAAAAATTGGTTAGATGCCACGAAGTAAGTGGCACAGCCTTAACCATGTGTTGTAGGTTGAAAGTCCGAAGACTTTTCTCGTCCTTATCGAGGGAGATGCTAACCTTCTCTCGGCTCATACAACACGATCTACAGCTGGCCCTTTCTGTTTATATATACAACACGGCTTGTTCTTTCTTTCGCTTGTGGTGCAAACATTTCTACCCATTTTTCGTTTCCGGAGTCTAACGAAATTTCGTTAAATACCTCTCAAAAAGTTTTATGATAATTATTGTTGATATTGTTCAGTATTTTTTGTTTCATTTTTAATACATTGTGCTATTTGTTACAAATTATAGCGTTTGATGTACGCATGCGCAAAGACGGTAACTAAATTGTATTCCGTTGTGAAAATGATTTAATTTCGGTTCACCTTTGTGAATTATATTTAAAGCATTAATGTAAAGTATGCGATGAAGAAATGGAAGGATGTCTATAATTTGTTATAAAAATCGGTCTTGTCATCCGCAGCAAACTCTTTCTGCTGCCTCAGATAAGTGAACGATCTTTCAGTGAAATTTGTCCGACCACTTGCTACCGGTAACGTTGAAACCATATCAAGGCTCGGTTTCTATTATCTGAGAGTTTCGGAAGGGGTGACCTGGCTGGAGCTCTTTGTTCCGTGGTTCTCTGTTTAAAAGTCTATTCTACTGCTGAAGAGCCTTCGTTTTTTCTTTCGTTTCGAGGTAAATCTTGCCGGAATTGCCGATTGAAAAAAAACGACAACAACAACAACAACAAACAGGGGAGAAACCGGCAGAAAATCCGGGTAGGAACCACAGATCAGGCTCTGTATGGCTCATTTTGTGAGTATCCTTCTCGGTCCGAACATCCCTGTCCTCGTTTATTAACTGAAGATCACACAGGTATAATAACGACCAAAGAACGACCTACCAGTTTTTTTTGTCATTCTAAACTTTTTAAAAAAGTGTTACATTACTAACTCGAGGAGGAACAAGGGACTGTCTGAACCCTAACCGGCTCTAAGTCCAGCTATATTAGGGACCTCAAGATGCGACGACGACGGCGGAGAAAACGAGGCGTAAAAAGAGTATTCGCAGTTTTTAAATCTTCATCGAGGTTATCCCAACTCGCTTATTATGCCAAATGTATGCAACCTCTCCAAGAGTTGAATTCCTAAGAACCTTATCCAAGCTCAGAAAGGGAAAAAAATTCCTCGTTGCCTGTTTACGTCCTCCATCAAACATGAAATTAGGCATTTTCACGTCGTCGCCGTGCTGTGGTGGCAACGAAATGTACAAAAAAGAGAGATGCACGTGCAAAGTTATTGTTTTGCCTATTCAACCTATTTCATTTTTGATTATCTCGTTGCCGCCGCCGTCGTGGGATCTTGAGGTCTCTATTCCGGTACTGCACCGCGGCGAATCTTAATTAATCTTAATTATTGCTAGAACTCTGTTTTATGGAGCCTCCGCGTTCTTAGAAAAATGTACTCACGTCTTTGCAATCTTATGCTTAGTTCTGCCTTTATGGTAATTTTTATCAATTCGGTTATACTTTTTAAAGCAACAGTATAGAATGCAAGTAACAAAAATACATCTATAGAAAATGAACGAAATTAAAAAATAATCAAAATAAAAAAGATAAGATATCACTCTATTTCAGCCAAGCATTATCCTCTGCGTCCACTTAACTTTAAAGAGTCTTGCATGTATTTATACGCATGGGCGAAGATGGACTAACACTTTCTACAATCAAAACTGTTTGTAAATTTTAATTTATTTACTTGTTCCGTCGTTTGGTTACGATTTCTTAGTAAGGTAAATTAAGAAAAAAATATGAACTATCTCGTTGAAATGTCAGATTTTACCGTTTTGTAGGCCCTTTGTTTGAAACGAAAAGATTAGAGTAATTAATTGTCTTGGGCAAACAATATATTACCCACATGTATATTATTGTCAAGGTCTTTCGATCCGTGGCATTACCTGCCGTAACCGGCCTTCCTGTTTCCAATGAATATAAATGACAGGTCCTTTTCACCAAATTGTCAAAACATACATTCTCCTTAACATTCCTATAACATTGTGACAGAGTAAGTGAGGAGAATTGCGGCTTGATCGATGCAATACACGACGGGGGGAGGTTTGTGTCGTTTGACGTGTAATCGTTGAAATATTCGTTGCGTTTTAACCTTCGAGTCGGAGGGGTTTATAACTAGAATGCCGGTTCTTTTGTAACAATGGATCTTTGATTTACCCGAACAAACACAAATACTTCTTCTCATAAGTTCTTCTAGAAGAAGCGGCTTATTGAATCAAGAAGACATGGGTTGTTTTCGTAAATTTTCTCGACGAAAGTGCATAGATCTTGCGTCCTTGGCGGAAACAAAACTCGCCCGGTGTTTATCTCTTCTCGACTTAACCGCGTTGGGAGTTGGCTGTACCCTCGGTGCCGGTGTCTATGTGATCGCTTGTGAAATTGCAAGAGATGTGGCCGGACCATCTACAGTTATCTCCTTCTTAATCGCTGGAATAGCATCGGTCTTGTCCGGACTTTGTTACGCTGAATTCGGCGCCCGCGTACCCAAAGCTGGATCAGCGTACATCTACAGCTATGTGACTGTTGGCGAGTTGGTGGCATTTATTATTGGATGGAACCTTGTCATGGAGTACATGATAGGAGCAGCGGCTATTGGCCGAGCGTGGAGTGCGTATTTTGATTCCATGATACATGATAAAGTTAGGCACTGGATAGTGGACAATGTTGGACCAATAAAAATCGAAGGACTTGGCAGCTACCCTGATTTTTTATCAGTGGGGATTATTTTGATCCTAATGACTGTTCAACTGTTCGGCGTTAAAAAATCGACTGTGTTTATATTTGGTGTGACATGCATAAACGTCGTTGTCATCGTCTTTATCATCGTCATGGGTGTCATTCTAGCCAGACCTGAGTATTGGTCAGACTTTATGCCTTACGGTCCATCGGGAGTTCTCGCGGGCTCGGCTACTGCATTTTTCGCTTTCGTTGGCTTCGATGTTATTGCAACAGCAGGCGAAGAAGCAAAGAACCCGAGTAAGACAATTCCTTTATCTATCTTATTGGCATTAACTGTTTGTTTCTTGGCGTATTTCGGTGTTTCTGCTGCGGTCACTTTAATTTGGCCATACAACAAGTTGGATTATGGGGCGGCCTTACCAAAAGCCTTTGAGCACCGTGGTGCTTACTTTGCTAAATACATTATCGCGGTGGGAGCACTTTGCGGAATGACAGCCGCTATCAATGGCGGACTTTTCCCACTACCACGTCTGCTTTACGCTATGGCCTCGGACGGACTTATTTTCAAAAGTTTCGCACGCGTCAGTAAGACCACCGAGGTGCCCGTTATTGGGACCCTTTTTTCAGGAATTCTCGCAGGATTTCTAGCAATGATCTTTGAACTGCAGGCCCTTGTAGAGATGATGTCAATAGGAACTCTCCAAGCGTACACTATCGTCTCCACTTCAGTGCTTATTCTTCGATATCAACCGGGAACAATCGGCTTCGTGAAAATCACCGAGGACGCCGCGAAAACGAAAACCGAACCCTCTAGTCCTGTTTGGGAGCCAACTGTGCGATCAGGAAACATTTCAAAATGCGTGATCTGGTTCTTGTTCTTTTATTTCTTTTGTTTTAGTGCATTTTTGATCAATGGGCTCATTCCAATGTACCAAGGAAAGGCATGGGCCATTATACTAGCAGTTATATTGATTCTTATTTTTATAGCCTCAATCGTTGTGTTGAGCATGTTGCCCAAGAGTGTAACGCCATTGCCTTTTAAGGTACCGCTTGTTCCTTTCCTTCCTCTTGCTTCGATGTTTATTAACATTTATCTCATGATGGAGCTTAATCCGGCCACGTGGCTTCGATTCGCGGTGTGGATGGCTATTGGTGAGATATTTATTACTGCAGCTGTTCTTAATGTTTATTTACCCTGGTACTACCAGCTAGAATTGGCCGAATTTAAATCAAATTTAAATTTCAAATTTCGCCTTGTATACTATTGTAAGAGAACGAGAGAAAACTTGCTCATTCTTCATTGAAGGGAAATTGTACCATATTAAATAGTGCTAAAGACAATCCCGTCCTCAGAGCTTTTCCCTTAAAGCCCTGGGGACAAAGTTGTGCCAAAGAACGGCCGCAATGTAGGATTGACATTCTGTCCACTGACCAAATAATTACAAATTTATACAAAGCAATAAGACTAACCAAAGGAAGAAAAAGTATCATGTTAAAGCATTGTTTAAGGGGTTTCATATGAATGGTCACACCATAGGATTTTGTAAAATAGTAACATGTGGAAGTACTGCTGCAGAGATTTCAGCTGAATGGTAAAACCATAAGATTTTGTCGAGGGACTTGAAAAGTAGAAGTACATACTAAATAAATAGTACCATGTCAAACTGCTGCAGACTAGGAATTAGGTTTTATTTGAATCGTCACGTCATAGGATTCCAGAATTAGAACTGCGTTACGATATGTTCATCATTTTCTCTGGGAGTGGAAGCGATAAACTTCATAAGCCAGTAAATTATATACTTTGATAACCTGCAAAACCTGCATCCGTCTCGGCTTGGCAATGGAAATAGTACGCTTCTATCCTGTTACACTGTTACATTCATGACTATAATGGCAATCAGTTCGTAGTTGTGTCAGAGATGAATTTATCCTGCCAGTTTACTGCCTACAGTTTAAACAGCTTTTACATTCTCTAGGTAATTTCCATTTTAAGACCGGTAAACGGCTTCGTCGTCTTTGCTAATTATTGGACGATCTGCATCATCCGTGCCGTAGTTATTGGACGATTAGAGCAAATCTTTCATTTGATCAGTTCCCGCGTGTTACAAAAAATTAGGCGGGAAGTTTAAGCCAATCACAAACGTAGAAATATTTTGATTGGATTTGAAAGATTACAGCCTTGGTCTTGACCAATTCTAAGTTAACTTATTCTTTTCTTTTTCTTTTAGGTTTGGCAATTTATTTATTTTATGGTCTGCGGCATAGCGTGGAAGGAAAGCGCCAAAAAGAACAAGAAGGCTATGTACCTTTAGAACAAATGGACGCGAAAAGCGAGGAAAATAAAGCACCGGATGGTGAAGAATAACTCATCATTGCATATGAATTAGTAATTAAATATGAATATAAGAGATGATACCGTAAAATTCCGAAAATAAGCCCCAGGGCTTATATTTTTCAAAGGCCCTTTTTGAGGGACTTATTTTTGGAGGGGCTTGTATTCGGAGGGGCTTATCTATGGAGGGAAATTTGGGTTTCAAAATCGACTGGGCTAGCCTTATAGTTGGAAGTGCATTTACCGTTATTGCTCTGTTTTACTTTGTATTTGAGGGCAATTTCCAAGTACAAGCGGGGGCTTATATTTGGAGAGGTGATTTAAGGGAGGGTGTTTTGAATACGAGTTTGGGGGGCTTATATTTGGAGGGGCTCATACATGGAGGGGCTTATTTTCGGAATTCTACGGTATATCGACAGTATAGATTAACATTAGTGTGGAAATATAATGTTTTAAACCGATATTTGACTTGTCTGAAAGGACATTGTCAAGAATTATTTCTGCAATTTAACCCATTTCCTGGAAATTTGACTAATATAATCAATTACTTTGAATGTGAAATTACAAAGCAAAAAAAGGACATGGCTGTGACCCCGTACTAACCATCCTTAATGGCAAAGTTAATTTAAAGCTTGCCCTTCCTTCCGGGCATTTATGGGACATTTGTCTTTTTTCTTTGAAAAGCTGACAAAATGGACTCTTCTCTGATAACCTTGCGCTTACGTACTTTGAGCCTTTGTATGGGTACCTAAGGACGTCGCTTTCGTGGCGCGTTTTCCATCAAGTCGTCGATTTTTCGGGCCAAATCGTCGCATATCAAGGATTGCTTAGCGTGGTAAAGTTACTAGCGAGCTCAGCGCAACCACAATCATGAAGGAAACGAGAAAATAAGCAAAACAAAAACTCTGAACGTGCAGCACACTTTTTGGCAGATTTCTTTGCCATCATTACCCGATTAATGCTGTCAAACTTTATTATAATCGCTACACGATCTAAGATGTAAGATCGTCGCTTCATCAATGGGGATCTTCGAGACGTCAATTTTGTCGAAAACACCCATACAGAGGCTCTACTTTCCATTTGCGTTTTCTCTTGAAAACGCTTACATTTCGATGTGTTAAGGCCTTCCGTCCACACTAATACGCTGAGCATTTTCATCGAAAACGTATTGATTTGAAAACGGTCTTGAAAGTGGAACAAAACGAAAATGCATACATGTTGTATTAATGTGGATGGTTGAAAACGGTCGAAAACAAATCAAAATGAAAACGATGACCGAAAATATCGCAGACGCGTCTGTTTGTAGCGTGCGCGTAGACTTCAACTTACGTCACAACGTGCAATTCAATCGTTTTCGAACGTTTTATTGAGGACAGTCGAAAACGCATCAAAACAGTAGTGAAGACGCGAATCGATCACAACGAAAACGCATACTTTTGAAAACGCATTTGTTTCGAAAGGGCCCTAGTTTACCGTCATTAAATTTTCATGATGTCAATTCTCCTTTGGTCATATTTATCGTTACACCCCATTACATTAGCCTTACTTTACTTCTCTGTCTACTTCTTTAATTTATTCTAGTTACTTTCTATGACTAGGTAGCCTAGGCTTTAAAAAGCCTCTTGGTTTCTTCCGGGCTCCCATTCCAGCTTAACATTGTAGTTATTAAATTCTGTAATTGATTTGGCTAAATAAAGAATTGAGCTGAACCGAACTGAAAAAACGAATGTTGTCACCTTACGTCCTACAATAATAGCAGTCCCGCAATTGATAGCCCCATTTTGCAGGTTTTTTTTCATGAAGTGATCGCCTTCTTTGAATAATCGCTTCACCCCCATCTACTCCTTGCAGTATTTGCAGACGTGCACCCGATTCCTTTACAGGCGATCAGCTCAACCAGTCATAGCGCTCGGATTTCAGGTTTCACAATGTTTTTTAACCTCCATTTACACGTTCCTAGACGAGAAACCTTTGGATTGAACTTAACCCTGAGACCCGTTTCTGGTAATTGTGGGATAGGAATGCTGCTGTGGTTACCAGCGTTAAGTTTATTCAAGGATTAAGTTAAACTTGAACCACAGTTTTCTGCAGGCTATGTTATAACACTATCAGTTAAAATAATATGGACTCGCTGCTGAAGTGGACACCGATCCAGACTGACTAATAACCCGACCTCTTTGAAAATTAAGTCAAAGAAACCAAATTCCAATTCCTAGATTCCAAGCTGTGGATACCGGATCCCAGGAACCGAATTCCTTGTCAGTAGAATTGGGATTCCGGATTCCAATCATTAGCAGGATTTTGGATTCGAAAGCCCAGGATTCCGGATTGCAGAAGCAAAATTTCCCGGATTCCGGAATCACGATTACCGAGGAGGAGGATTTATTCCTCAAGATCACTTGGATCACGGTCCTTCAAAGAAACCGACGACTTCTTTATCAGATGGGATGAATTGTTGATGACTCCTTTATCAGATGGGATGAATGTTTCTTTGATACACCATTATCCGAGTGATCCTAACTCATAACTCCTGATCTGGATCATCTGAAAGGAATTGTTCCTAAAACATCGAGGGAACAGCTCACCCTCCTCAATTATGGTCGTCCCTTGTATAACTGTCTACTTTTACAGTGAAAAAAAGATAAAGTCACCATCGAATATTGTCCGACGAAATGCAGTAATACGCCCTTTGAGACTCGAGGTCAGGTGACCTATATTAAATAAATAGAATAGAATAGTTCTCTATTTAATTAAACAGGGTTAAAATTCGCCAGGAGTATAAAAATTGTAAATATAATCTAACTACCCCAAACAAAATGGAAAAACTAGCTACAACTAACCTAACTAAGACCTGTTTTTCATGAATGCCGTGTATACTTAAAAGTCAGAAATTCAGATGAGCCAATCGTTGAAATTGACTTAAAGTTTTAGCCTCTTTCATATCACAGCGGGAGAGACTGTTCCAGAGAACTGCTCCGCTATAACTTAAAAGCTGTTTTTCACGAACTTAGTTCGCGGCGAACGCGACAGTTAGTTTGTTAACAGAGTCCCTCAAGGAGTAGCGCGTTTCATTTCGTTTAACAAATTTAGAGGATAAATATTCAGGAAAAGACCATTTAAAGAATTGTAAACCATTTTAAGGCTTTCTATATTTGAAATAGCAATTATGAAATTTTGAAGTCACAATTATGGAATACAGCGTTAAAGATATCAGACAAAGCTTAACAGAGGATGAATTAAATCGTAGGCCTGCCAATTGAATAGTTTTTGAAAACTCTCAAAGATCAGTTATATGGTCGTTTGAATGAATGTAGTATGTATCAATGGAAAATGTTGCTGCGTGGGTCGCAGGTTGACGGTGCAGGTTTTCGACACAAACCTTTATGATAATTTTGCAGACATTTTAACATCCATAAAATCTTGAATTTGTGTGTCGGTCACCTCACCTCGAATTGGCTTTGGAGCAAATATTTTCGTGCTCTTCCCGTCTCTGTTACTGTTTAAATTGTAACCCGTTTTTTTTTTTTTTTTTGCACTTAGTAGGCCACGTGACTTTTAGCTGCAAATGGCCTATTTCAGGCTTTCTTTTCGCATCTGGATAATTTGTGTCTTAAGCGACGGTGATCTTCTTCACATTTATTTCTGTTACACATTGTCCAAGTTCTTTAAATCTAGTTTTCTTTGCTCGACTTCAAATTTACAGTGGAGCCCCGTTAATACAGTCACCAATGGGCCAAAAAAATGGCCGTTTTAATGGGTGACCATAATAACGAGGTTTTTTTTTGTACAAGAAAATTTATGGCCGTTTTTCCCGGCGGCCAAAACAAGTGGCTGTAATAACGAAGTGATCGTATTACCGAGGTGACTGTAAGGCCGGGTTCCATTGTATTTGCTTTGCAGTAGCTTTTCTTTTCGAAAGGAATACAGCATCAGGAGGCGAACATTTCATGGAGTTGGTTTCTGGATCTTCATTAATAGTACAAGGTGCTTTCATTCAGTTCGCTTCACAGGGAACCCAGTCTTCCCATCATTCCCCTCGCGCTGGCTACTCTGAAATGTACTCAGCGGGAGCCTCTGATCAGGAGACAGAAAGGAGGAGGCCAAGTTAATTATTTTCAAATTTATTTTGTTTTAAAGCAAAAAAATAACTCCATTGAATGTGCCCTGTCAATTTTAGCACAACAAAAGAGAAAGACTATTTAAATCAAAAGACCTCACACTCTCCTTTTTGACGAACATCAGATATACTAATGGACTTTTAATTAGTCTTTTCACTGTAAAGTGACCATGATTAAGGCAAATACTCAAAGCGAAATGTCGTCCTGCAATGATTAAGAAACTTACAGAAATTACCAAAAAAAGAAATTGCTTAGAACAAGTAAGGTTTTTTTTGGACAGGTTTTACTTAACGGTAAATCTCAGATGTCCACCTACGCTATACGGAATAAGAAATATACGGCAGAACTACCGTTCCGCTAATAGCTTAAATCGTTTCGCTGCTTTACCAAATTCTTTTTAAACGTTTTTTTTTCTATAAGACTGGAATAAGAGCAATAAAAATTCATTTGTGAGTTCATTTAAGTTTCAAGATATTGACTTAGTGATTTGGGAAAGGAAAAAGTGGTGTAAAGACTAATTAACTCTTTATTTACTTTTAATGCTCATCCAACAAAAGGCAGTGGAATCTAATGGAATATGAGTGCCATTAACTTATCCAATTAATTAGCTGTGAATTGTCAATCGTGGACATTTCGCGACCTAGTGTAATAGGAAAACACACAAGCTTCGTTTTATTTTGTGGAATTTGCATGTGATTTTCATAAAAGACTTTAATGGCATGTGACAACTATTATGAGGCCATCAGGCCTTTGTCGGTGCAAATGTTTTTCGCGGTAGTGACAAACCAAATGGAGGAGAGAGTTCTGAAGAATAAACTTGGCTCCATCGAGCAAGAGCAGAAGAGACTGATGAAAAGATATCGTTCAGAAACCAGACTTCTCAAAATTAAGCAGGAACAGCGAATTGGAAATCTTTCGCTCAAGAGACAGGATACAAAAGGCGCTCACATCAAAGGGAGTCCAAGTCCTAAATCGTCTGAGGTTTGTAAATAAATAATGCTCTTTTTCTAAGCTTAGTAGGGGGCAAAAGTTATCTTCAGAAACACAAAAAATAATTCCACAGTAAAACGCAGTTTAAAGTGCCGCTATTGTTGAAGCGTTGCAATCATTAGCGATGAGCTATATATCTGGAAAGTAGTTTGAAGTTCTTTTACTTTGACGTTTTTGCAATCTACTCTTTTCACGTGAATTTGTTTGGTTACTGTCTAATCAAAAGCCTAAAACATTGGAACAGAAATGAGACGAAGTTCTGATTCTTTAGACAAGACAAATAGACTACAAATAGATCGAGAAAAAGACCCAGCTAGCGGGCTGGAGTTAAAAATCGTGTAGTCAGTTCGTCAACTGGTTTAGTTACGAAGTAAGTTTTTTTTTAATGGTTAAATTTGCCGTTTGCCCTTGCTGAAATAATTAAACGACAGTAAAATCTATAAAATGCTTGCTTGCGTGCTTTCATTTAACTTATATCAGCCCATGTTGATGAGCCCAGCTGCATATTATCACGATATATAGCGGGTTTAGTCTCTTTATTACTGAAGTAAAGAATCGTTTCATCAGGTCTGTGTTTGGTAATGACGTCAGGGTTTTGTTTCCTGTCGTGGTGCATACGTAGTATTCGTATCTACAGTATTCGGTCATCTTTGGGCAACTTGTCGAACCTTTTGGAATTTACAGGGTCGTCAATATAATTTTTCAGAAAATTTTAGATGCAATTTGATGCTTTACGACAGCAAAGTGAGAAATTTTCTGATTTCTCGATTCCGTTACATTTCCGAATCCAAAACATTCGAGGCCTCTTTCCTCACAAATAATGTGAAAAATTCAGCTTCAGAAATTCCTAAAGCGCATTTATTAGAAAAGCTTTGTAAATCGTCCTCAAGCTTTAGAGAATTCTAGGCAATATTTGTGCTTCTGCGCTCAGATATTTTTTAAAAAAATAATGCTCAAATATAGTCCTTTGGTTTAAAAACATCAGGCTTACCCAAAGGTTCTAATTTAAGTTATTCTGTCTGTCTTCAAATCGACAAAACTTTATTCTTTTGTTCAAACAAACGATAGTTCTGTGCAAAAGTAAATAAGGACAAGAAAACCGCTTTTATGCCCACCTTAATGGTATAATTGATTGCCGCACATAGATTTACGCGTCAAACCAATTAAAATTACCCTCATCTATGCTGCAATTTGGCTGGTAAAATCATCAACATTTTGACTTTATGATTCTCTTTCTTTTCTAATATGGATCCTAAAAGACTAACGGCAATAAACGTCATCTAAAAATCTGTATCTTTGCAATAAACCTAACATGGAAATTGCCATGTTTATTTCGGCCGTGATATTATAGAGTTAGAGCTGACTTAACGTCATACCTCGATAAACGCTGTTCACAATAGATACAACAGTAAATGAAAATGACCGACATCGATTTGTAAAACTAAAGATGTGACAAGTTTTATTACTTTGCTAACTAAGCAAGCGTAGCCATTGTCAACTACTAACAATCAGATCATCAAATGGTGCTGGGTATTATATGAAGAATTATGCTGATTGAATTGGCGGGCGTTAGTTTACAGCCTCCTTAAATCTGTATAATTTTTCATATCATACGAAAGACGAATTCAATTATTGTTTTATTATTCATTCAAAGTATTTATAGTAGTGAACTCTTTCGCTATTTTCTTCGGTTCACTCATGCCAAAACAGCAGGGCTGCCTCTCTGCTGACTAGGAACGAGGTTGCGATTATATATTGGGACAATATACCATCATAGTTCCCCTCAGGAAACATTTACATTCTCGGGAAACAAAATTAACTGTTCCCCTCGTGTGTGTTTTTTTTTCTATCTTAAAAGGTTGAAATGTGTTTCTCGTATGAAAAACGGCAAAGTCCAAAGTGCTTTTGTGCCTCCAAGACATTCCAAGAGAGTGGAAATCCAGTATTTTTAACCCAGGCAGATTCACCACAGACAATCGAAAGGTATGGATATACATGAATAGTGCGTGAGTAATTAACGGTTTGGCAAGCACAGTTCAATTTGCAATTGCAAGTTTAATATTTTATTTAGTTTGCTTTTATAGAGAGCAGTTAAATTTACAGGACTTGCTGTTGAACTATAGCTTGCGTGGCAGGCGCCGGTTTGTTTATGCGGTTTGCTTTTATAGAGCGGGCGCATCCACGAAATTTCTTCGCCTTAAGAAAAAAAAAAACAGAGCCTGCTAAGCATCCTGCTACTGAACTATAGTTTTACAAATTGTACCTGACTGCTGTGAGTAGTTATCGGGCGGTAGAGCATCATTATGAATATATTGTTGCATGGAGGTTTGTATGGAACTGTCCTCACCCAGCCAAAGTAACGAGTGGTACCAGAAACTCATAAGGGGTTGAAACGTGTAACTCGAGTTTAATGCTCGTGACTTTTCATTTTCCTAAGTACCGTATTTGGAAACCCTCGCTGGGCCTCAGTTCCCTCAAAGACAACAACTTTGCACGGTTTTTTGTACATATCTTTGCCGTCACTGCACGACTACGACGTAAAATTTCCTAGTTTCACGCTTTGTGGAGACTGAAAACACAAGGCAACGACTTTCTTTTCCTTTTCCTCGGCTTCGATACAGTCTTAAGAACTCAACTCCAGGAAAAATTTGCTAACATTTTAACGAAATGGAATAAGCGCGATAAAGTTTGGAGCAGCGCTAATACACAAATTGTGTACTCTCTTTTTTTTATATAAGAATATATTTTATAAGAATATCGAGGCTGAAATTTGCGAAATTTTAAGAATATTTTAAGAATAAAGCCGAGGCTGAGATTTTTAAAAGGATAGATATAATTTTGTGTGTTGAAACATCTGTAAATACAATACAATTTTATGTTTTTAACTCAACCGTATAAAATTGTTCCTTTCCCTGAACGGCGAAACTAGCCAACAAAACGAAAAAACCTGCACTAGCTATAGCAAAATGTTCAACGCTAATGACAGTTCGATGAACGCTACATGTAATACATGTACATATACCCCAATAAATTCTAAAACGGAAATGTCATAAGCTATAATTTAAGAATAATACTTAGTTTTAGGTGTTTTATCGATTGAAACGGTATAGGGATGGTAGTCTTGAGTTGCGAGAACCGGAATTCGAATTATCGGGGTAAATTTCAGTGAAATTTTGATCAAAAGAAACGAAATTTAGTTCGAGTTAGCGGGGGGAGTTAGAGTTATCCCAGTTCGAGTTCCGGGGTCCTACTGTATTAAATAAACCTTTTCCTTTCTGATTATAAGGCAACAATACAATTTATCTTCAGTTGCATTCTTCAGTAATGCTTTTACTTTGCTTATCATGTCTTGATTTCATCAACCACTGAAATCTGACGTTGATTTCCTTAACTTTCCAAAGTTGACCTTATGTTTCCGAAAATGATATAAATTAATTATTCTAAAAAGCACCGAAGCATCCCGAAAGACTCCGAACTGAAACGTTCAAATTTGACTTTTGGTTCGTTCACCCAAATGGTTTTCTTTCAGGCTTCCAAGACTGACCTGTCAATTACCAACCAACCAAAAGGAAGATTCCCTCTCACCACACAGAATATCCAGTGAAACTTCGACTTGTTTTGTTACGGAGGAACAAGCAAAGCAAAACAGGGGCCCTCCAAGAAGGCGGGAAACATGGAATGGTAAAACAGTAACAAAACTATGTGCTTCTCTGTCACTTCCTCCAAGGATACGCAGCTTTTCCGAACAAGACGCGAGGTCTTCCGAACAAGAAGCGAGGTCTTCCGAGCAAGAAGCGAGGTTTTCTGGACAAGGCGCGAGGTTAAGTGATGATATGCAAACTCATCTTGCCCACCAAAAAGACGCGTGTGCTTCTGAAAATGATTCAACAACAACGGGAATGCAGCAAAATAGAATTTGTAAGATGGCCTTCCCAACAGCTGAAGATGTGCAACGTGGAAATTTTCTATCTGTGCCAAAACTTCCAGTTCGTAGAGCATGCTCTTTGAATTCTTTAAAATCAGTGGAGAGCCTCCCACCAGTTTTCAGGAACCAGGATGGCCTGATGGTGACTAAAAGCAGCGAGGTAGACTGGAATGAAGAAGAGGTTGCACCTTATCCTTTACCTATTTGCAGCAAACAAGCAAACAAAGTTTATCAGAGTCCTGACGGCACTGCAACTAATAAGGACTTCCTACAGCGCCGACATCGTCCCCTGAGAAGGCAAGAAAATCTTCTTGAAGATACTGCAAGTGTTGATGCTATTAGCATCCTTTGTAAAAGTCCCATCAAGTCGCCGAGGGCATGCAGTAGAAGCGAAACGGATGCGACAAGAAAGATGTCCCTTAGACGCCAGTCATCTCGTATCCAAAATGGCCACGAGGAAGAAGGCCAAGAGACAGCACTCGTGAAAGACACCTCCCTAAAAAAAGGAAAAATCACTGCGAGATCAAGTTCTCTGTCTTCTTTTTGTGCTCAAGAGGACAAACCAAGAATGAAAGTAACAAAGAAAGGGAAGCAAGAAAGCCTTGAAGCTCGGAAAGAGGACCTCCCAGAGCCATTGGACAAGTCAAAGTGGCTGATAGCCCTGAAAAAGGTTTTTAACGTAAACATGTTTTTAGGTGGAATGGTGGCTCTTCAGAAACAAAAGGAAAGGGATCGTTTGGCTGTGGAACAAAAACAGGCTGAGCTGGAGAAGCTTTACGAAGAATTGAAGCATTGCAGATACCTACGATTGCCTAGCGGTGAAGATGACAATAAACTAAAAGATACGGTAGCTTGGGTGTTTAGCAAAGAATAACAACCTGACGTCAAAAAAAAGTTAACCAGGGCACTAATTACTGATTTTCGTATAAATTCTGAAAGCATTTGACCCTTTTAGCAGTGTATTTTCTAAAGGGCGCTTTCAAACTTCTGAACTATGCCTTACTGTCTTCACATTAAACTAGAAGTTTTTTTCTCTAACAGCCTACGTTTAGTTTTTCGGTTTTTTTTTTTCAATACAGTATATAGCGTTCAGACATGATTTGATTATTCCGGGTTATCGTAAATAGCGATTTGGCCCGTACTAAAAAAATCACCAAATAGGATCTATATGGGGCGACAAAATTAACGATTGCACCGACCGTATTGACTATCTACATCCTCTATCTGACAATCACATGGTGAACAAGCATTTTTTCGATTTTTAGGTGTGAACAACATTCTTAAAAAAATATAAATACAAGCCAGTCAGACGAAATTTCAAAGCCAAGGAAATAAGCTTACGTGATGTACAACTGAAAGCAGTGATGGTTATACCAACAGAATTAGTCCTAATCTTTTTAAATGTAAATAAGCACACGATAAAAGGACATTTCTTGTTAATTAAAGCCTTCATTAAAAGTAGGCGTCACGGCCTTTGTTTTTTAATGTGTGCTCTTTTGGCATTTGTTAGCCATGTATTACTCGACTATATGATTTATGAGTCATGGCCGTAAGCCAATCACCATGCAGTACTGAATAGCTAAGTAATGTTAACAAGAACGATAACATTTGCTGTACTTTACACTGTTAAGCCAATATCTCATCTTCACCCTTTGAAATAGAGTTCAATACTCGAGTAACTTTTGCTTTGTGAATACTTTTTGACGTCGTTTAAAATATAATGGATGTCAAAACAGCAAGGGAAGTGGCGACGTCTAATTCATTGGAAAGAGAGGACCAGGGAATTCTGAAAACATCTGACAGCAAAGCTTCACAGTTGAAACAGAAGAAACCTAACTTGGATGTACATCAGAGGAAACAAAGAGCTCCGCGAAGCCAAGGAAGATTTCAGCCTAAGGTCAGTAAACTGATCTCAAGCAGCGTTTTCTTAACTTGCTTCAATATATAACGCGTCGGATATCAATGGAATTAGTTGTTGCATGATCGGTTGTTTATTTAGAAGTCATTAGCTGTATGATAAGGTCCAACATCATAAAACATTTTGGCCAATTGGCCAATTCATATGGTTATTATTTTATAGTTTTTCGACCAGTTGTCGCCGCTTCATCTATAATGAGAGACAAATCACAGGTTAAAGTATGAAACTTTGTTCAGTGTCAAAACACGATCGTCTTTCCTTCTCAACCGGCCATCATTTTCGGTTCTAGCTGTTGTTCTTCCTACTGGAACTGTTTTTGTGGGACTGTTACGTTTGTCTAATAGTATTTGTAAACGTATTTTTAGGTGAAACAAAAATTAAGACTTTGCTTATTAAGTCTCGAAAAAGTAAGTTAGATAAAGTTTTTTGCAATCGTCTACTTTACATTTTGGCCTATACGTAAAAGGAAACTGAAAGACCTTTAAAAAGCTCAATTCAGCCTCAAAAAGAGACTACCGATGGAGATATCAGGCAGGCTAGGTATTTTTCTGAACACTTCATACAAGACGCCCTTCAACATAATAGCAATTCAGGGGTTCTAAAACCGGGCCTCTTCGTTGAAACATTTTTCAGTATGAAATGTTCACCTAAGTCGTTCGCGATGTTATATGTTAAGATTGGTTGAAAAGTGAGGTGAGGGAATTGAAAAAAGTACTCAAATTCAGTGGATGCCAGTGCGTGAAAAGGGTCACTGAAACGGTGTTAGCAACCAAGAAAACGTTGGACATTCTTTGACGATTAGCCGCTTTGGCATGGAGGTCGACTTAAACAACGCATCAAAAGCTTGTTCAAACAGTAACGATTAGAAATCATGTAGTACTGGATAAAATCTTTCATAATTTGTCAGGGAGATAAAGCTTGAATTTAAATTTTGATGTGCGGGCGCTTTGCGTATATTAGTGCTAGCTAATCGTACTCTTTTGTTGTTTAAACAGTCTTTACTTAATATAAAGGCGGTTCAAGACTTTTGACAAATTCGTGGATTAACGATGAGCCTACCTGGCGCCTATTTTAAATGAAGGATTATTTAATATTTCTTTCTTTTAATCATTACAAACAGTAATTAATTTTTTGTCAAAGAATGATGTGAGTATTTTGATTTCACCAGCAAATAAACGCATGGACTGACTGTAGCGTCAACCATTTGAGAAATTTATGACCAAATATTACATAAGGGGTGACCCAATCACAGTTTTGTTAATTTCGAGGTCAATAAGTGCCGCAGCAAAGGCTCATATTTGCGGGTAATTCACGAATAAGAAGCTTCTAAGACTTTTGACATTCCAGCTAGTAGCAAAAAGTTACTATCATACGTCCAAAAGTGACTCAGACACTTGGAAATGAGCTTTAAGTAAAAAATATATCGTAAAAGTTCACAAAGTTTATAAAACGGTCGCCGGGGAAGAGGGGAAGAAAGAAGTCATTAAAGAGCAAATTGTAAGCCATCAACTCACCGTTATAATCAACCAAACGCGGAGATTGCAACTAATACACCAACATTTTTCTCTAAATTTGCTTTCTTTTAGAAGAAAGGTACCCTTAACTCACCTAAGCAACAGAAAAGCACATCAGGAAATGCAATGCAGTTGACACCAGATTTCCATTCAAAGACTGCTGCAACTGCTGAGCAGAAGGAAAGTAAGGAAGAAGAAAGGTAAGTTTGCATTCTATTCATATGCTTCAAGGACCCTGGACTTGTAAATGGTAACTTAAGCTTCGGCTTCTCGCCGGCGGGTAGGGCTATATGTCCACGCATGTTCCTTTCTTTGTTTTCTGTTACTTCTCTCTTTTTAGCAATGCAGCTTTTTATCTGATCTGTGTTCCAATATTTTTCTTCTATTACCCATTTTGTCTCAAAATGAACGATATCTCGTGCAAGAATCCAACTGACTTAAAAATATAGACTTCCGAGTTAACAATTTTATCAACTTGTAACGAATAATGTACACTTTAATAGCTTGTGTATTGCCTCTGACGACAGGAGAACGCATACCTAAACTCAACCCGCGAGAGATTGTGTTTGGGTCATGTACCGGAAACGGAACTACGTCATAGACCTTAGGGCTCTCGTTCCCAGAGCAAGTCGTTTGTTTTAGCTTGCGAATACAGCCGTCTCTCGTACCAGCAAGATGCCTGCTGTATTCGCAGGCTACCCTTTTTTAAGACCAAGATTGCTTTAGAGATAAAACATAGTTGTTTAGAAATGCTACTAGGGAAAACGCCCAAGTCTGGTCCCTCCGGCTTACTTCACTAATTAACACTAAGAACGTTCTAAAAATTTCGTGAACCAGCGTCATTTTGGCGGCAAAACGTGGTAGCCGGCGTCATTCTACTACGAGTTTTTGCGAGAATGTCGTACTGGCGGAAACGAGTTATCAAATGTTACAAGTTTTATCACTTTGCGATCGGGAGAGGACAACAGTGCTAACTTTTCTGGTGAATCAAAGTACAATGAAACTTTCCGGGGTGTCTATTTTTGAGAATATGCAAAAAAAACTTTATGTCAAATCTCGTACTCGTAGGCGTTCTCGTCCTCGAATCGAAAGGTCTCTATACTTTATAGACTTAATTGGCGCTTCTGTTAATGAGTCGCTTATCTTAAATCCAACTAATATTTCGGAACTAAATCAAATATGCAACTCTTTTAAATCTGGAAAGTCGCCTGGATATGATAACGTTTCAATGGATATAATAAAAAGCACCTTTGATCTCATTTCTCAGCCTTTGGCCAATGTAATCAATTTGTCTCTTATTAAAGGAGTATTTCCTGATGAACTGAAAATTGCTAAACTGATTCCGGTATTTAAAGCTGGTGATTCCCAGTATTTCACTAACTACCGTCCAATTTCGCTTCTTTCTAATTTTTCTAAATTCTTTGAAAGAGTTATGCACAATCGTATTACAAATTTTTTAGATCGTTTAGATATCTTATACTGTTGCCAATTTGGATTTCGTAAAAAATATTCTACAGCGCTGTCTTTAATTCATCTTATTAATAAAATTGCAACTGCTATTGACAGAAGCGAATATACAGTTGGCATATTCTTAGACTTATCAAAAGCGTTTGATACTTTAGACCATCAAATACTCTTGTCTAAGCTTGAGCATTATGGGATTCATGGGCTAGCACTTAGCTGGTTGAAAAGCTATTTGTCAAATCGCGTGCAGTTTGTCCAGTACAAAGAGACTTGTTCTATTAGGCTGACTCTGAGCTGTGGAGTCCCTCAAGGTTCTATATTAGGACCATTATTGTTTGTTTTGTATATCAATGACCTCCCTTGTGCTACTCGTCTTGCTGAAACTATGCTTTTGCAGATGATACTAGTGTGTTTTATTCTAATCCCGATTTAAATTGTGCTATTTCTGCCGTAAATAATGATTTATCTCAAATTGATCTTTTTATGAAAGCAAATAAGCTCTCTGTTAACATAACGAAAACTAATTATATCATTTTTGCAGCAAGGCAAAAACCAGTCGGCTTCCCAATAAATCCTGTCTTGTACGATGAGGTTTTATTAAAACAAGTAAAGGTAGTTAAATTTTTAGGGGTTTTTATCGACGAGCATCTAACGTGGAAGCCGCATATTACTTATATATGTAAGAAAATTTCAAAATCTATTGGCGTCATGTTTAGGTCTCGTTTCTTTCTTTCTGAAACAACAAAAAGTCTCTTTATTATACCTTAATTTATCCTTATTTAACATATTGTACCACAGTTTGGTCCTCCACTTATGTAACAAACCTTAATAGAATTTTTCTTCTACAAAAGCGAGCAGTACGAATTATTACAAATGCAGATTTTCGCGCGCACTCTGAACCATTATTTTTCCGTTTAAAGATTTTGGACATATACAACATTAATTCATTCTATACTGCACAATTTATGTTTTCATATTATCATCAATTACTGCCACCGCTTTTTTCGAACCTTTTTGTTACTAGTAGCAATATTCATAATTATAATACTAGAAGTTCCTCGCATTTCCGTTCTCATGCCTGCCGAACTAACACCAAACAATTTTCTATTTTGTTCCAAGGCCCTAAAATTTGGAATTCTTTACCAAACTCAGCCACTTCGATTTTTACATTGCAATCGTTTAAAACGAAAGTTTTTGATTTTCTACTATATCGATAATGCGTCTTGTACTGTCCGTTGTTGTGTGTTGTTATAGTTCTATTGCTTAATATTATTGTAACGAGGGGGCCTCCTCGTACAAGCCTTGTGGTTTTCTGAGGTCCCCTCGCCACATCTTTGTATAATGTAATGCTTGTGTAATCTTTATTGTGGGAAAATAATAAATAAATAAATAAATAAATTGTTATGTTATAGTTAATCATATTTCCTTCGGCCTCATGGGCTATTGACTCAGAGCCCATGAGGGCGAGAGGAATAATTGTTTTAGTAAAATCCAACTAGTTGGTCAAAAATATCGAGAATAAAAAAATTTTAGCTAGTTAAAGGTAGACGTTAATCCTTTTTTGCCGCCAAAAATCCCGCGCTTTTCGCTACTAGTGGTCTATAACATATAGCCTAGTAGTAGCTCAACCAATCAGAACGCAGCATTGATAATAGACCACTAGCTGAATTCTAACAAATTCATTTATTCATGACCTTCAAAATGCTAAGCTGTAATGTTAAGTTTTTTTTTTAAATTATATTTTATTTAAAAGCTACAGTGTATACTACCATGGTGACCGACTTGACATTCAGGCAGCGAATCGTGAAGCTAATTGTAGGTTTTTGTTTTTAGCCGCAGCCAGAACAACCCGAACGACAGAAAAGTGGAAGAAGAATATCAAGATATCTCTAGATCATTGTCAGTACCTACTGTCTCAGTGTCAAGTGAGATGTTGGAATTGGCCCACGACAATCGACCGGTTGACGATTCCATTCCCAAAGAAGATATACAGCACCCGTGTGATCCGACTACTGGCGTGGAAAAAACTGAAAAAAAAGCTTCTGGTGAGATAGAAAATCGAACGCATTTTGGCGCTAGATCCACTTCACCTCCCAAACTACATTTAAATCGCATGAACGCTGTGAAAAGAACTGTGACGAATACTGCAGAAAATTCAATAACTGGGCAATCTAAGGAAGTAAAAGAAGGTGGTAAATCATCAAGAGATTTTGTCTCAAGCAATCTTAAAATGCATAATGGAAGCCCTCGCCTTCAACGTGGACAAGGAAGATCAGATAGTGGAGACAAAACGAAGTCTACCAGGCCATTATATCCAGTGCCAAAGAAACAGTCTGTCTTAGATAATTACGCAGGAGAAGGACGACAAAGCATTCAGGCAGAAGGCTGGAAGGATCAAGTTCCTGAACAAGAACATATCTACGATAAAACTTCAAGAACTCATTTATCTCCAAGAATGCAGCATAAAAGCCGCAGCCCAGTTCTTCAGCATTCCGCATGCCAGCGTGCTCACATCGACAAGAGCATTGTCACTCCTCGGCTAAGTCCAAGATTACAGAGACATAACTGTATACAGATAGAAGAAGAGGGTTTTCGAGCTCACAACCAGGCAGCTATTGAATCAGAACAAAACGGATTTGTTAAGATATCAAAGGAAAGTTTTGGTGTTGAAAAACGACCAAGATCTCCTTCATCACCTAACTTGCGAGTGAATAACAGGCCTGGTTTACGTGGAAGGAGTTGGTCGCTCACAAACCAAATGCCAAAAATTACTGGCGAAGTTGAGGTCAATAGTTTGAGCACAAACCCCAGACGTACACCTTTGAGGAAAAAAAGGGATCTTTCCAAGCCTGAAAGCTTGAACTCTCAAGCTTGGGAGACAGAATGTTTTTCAAAAGAAAAGGAAAGGGTTTGCCTTAGCAATACCGAAGAAATCAGTGGGGCTACTTCTCCCAGTCCACAATTGAAACACAGAGGGATATGCATGCCTTTCTTAGATTGTAAAGTCAGCCAAATTGCCATGAATTCTAGAGATCGAATAACAAAGAAAGACCAAGGAAACAATGGACAAAGTGTTTCACAAGCAGGAGCTATCAGTAAAGGACCTAAAATGCTGCAGAGAAGAAGTTGTGAGGTTCCAAATTCCTTGCCTCAATCCGAAAAGTTAGAGATGCCAATTGAAGCTGCGGATCAACACAAATGCCCAAATGTCACAATAGAAGTTGTTGCAAGCGAGGGTGAAAATGAAAAAGTTGGTTTTTCGGACATCGAAGCACAGCGTTTACTTCCTGTGAATCAACCAAATGGTCATTTGTCGGTTATTAACGTCAGGCCACTGCATCGACGATCCACTGGAGATATACACGAAGCATGTCTCAGAGATGAGTTACCAGTAAACTACTTAAATGGCTATGAAATGAGATCTTCTCCTGAAATTCGAAGATTAAGCGTCGAGAACAGAGCCTCTTCAATGTCAGAGCTTCATGAATCATCTAAAGAGAAAAAGACTTTTTCAAGCATAACTGCTTTCAATCTAGCGACACAAAATCCTACAGGTCAAAAGACTGCGGTGAAATTTCGAGAAATTACGGAACCGGTAAGAAAATCGAAATGGTTTCATGCGCTGACAAACGTGGTTAACTTAAACTATTTTCAGGCTGCCATGATGGAAATCCAGAAGCAGAAAGAGCGAGATAAAGCTTCAGAAGAAAATCGACCATCTATGGAAAAAACATTCGAGGAGATTAAGAACTGCAGGTATTTGAGAGTACCGGAACACTATCAGTAAGGAAACTCATTTGTGTGAATGATGGCACTTTTATGCACTTGTTCATGTACTATACTATCTAGACTGTGCCAGGCTCTCAGATAGTATAGCGGGGACGTATTAAACGAGCAAAGCGAAAATAAGACGCGCGCGACTTGGCAAAGGGGCGTTGGCGGCGGCAAAAATGTCCTGTCTCCCCCCAGCCCCCGCGCGTTTTCTTATTTTTGAACGACTTTTAACTGTCACCACTATCTCGGAGCCTGGAACAGGCTATATACTATCAGACAGGGAGTAGCCTACGGAAACAGTCGTTTTTCCTAACTTTTCTCTGCTAGGGACGTATCAGCGAGAGTCCGTAATAGCGGTGGTTTATTTAAATCGAACGCCTGTGATTTGTTTCTTCTATAATATGTAAGCTTGCAGACATATTTTGAGTTTTCTAATTACTACTGAAGCGACTAACGTACTAACGCTTGACTGGGTGTTTAAAAAATTGCTACCTCGTTCATTAAATTTGATCTCTACGTGCAAAAACAAAAATATACTATACATCCTTGTAGCTGTACCAGACGTCGACTTACTATCTGAAAGAGTTAACATGCTCAGCACTACAGTAGCTACCTACGATCTCTCAAATTGTCTATAGAAGGTTGCCTCTAGAAAGTATACTGATGATACTAATATTACTTTGGCTGCGTCGGACATGAATGTCCTTGGAAGGGAGATGAACAACGAATTAAGAAACTTAAACATTTGGCTCATGGCGAATATGTTAAGTCGAAATATTGCCAAAACTGAATTCATGTTAATTAGCACTCGGCAAAGATTCCGGCTGCGAAGCAGTAAGCAAATCCAAATCCAAATTATAGGGGAAAATATCAGCCAAGTTGAGAAAGCTTAATCATTGGCTGTTCTTATTGATGACAAATAAACCTGGGAAATTTTCTAAGAGGGTATCTTCTGATATTGGCGCCCTAAGAAGACTTAGGCCATTCGTATCATTGGATACGGCTAAAAAGATTTATGATTCCCTCATCTAGCCACTTGATTATTGTTGCTAAGTCTGGGATGGCAAAAAGCACAAGGCCATCACGGTTTTTAAGTCATTACCTTGCTCCAGTGTATCACTGCTGAATATTTTGCAGACTCAGCGTTAATTATGATTTATTAGAAACTCAGTTAAGAAATAAACTTGCATCGTCTAAACTTAGGGCAGAGTACCTGAAGCGCAGTTTTTCGTATAGCACTGCCGCCTTGTGGAATTCTCTGCCCCAGGATCGTAGGAAATGTAACTCTCTGGAGGTTTTCAAAAAGAAGCTTAAAACTTACTATAATTCTTCTTTAGCTTCCCACATTACAATCATGTAAATCATTTTGATCTAGTTGTTTACATTTATTTAGCTTATATTTTTTTAAATGATGATTTCCATTGTATAGGTAAATAAATAAATAAAATTGATTTCCAATGATTGCATTACAGAGCAGAACAATAACAACAACAACAACAACAACAACAAAAACCTTTTTTATTTACCCAAGAGAGAATATGCTATTTTCTCTTGATTTACCCTTATAGTTACTAAACAGATTACGATTTTAACTTGGCCAAAAACCTTAGGGTACCAACAACTCGAAAAACCATAAAGTTAAAAATGCTCTCTAATTGACTGGGCTAATTATGGTCAGACACAAACACAAAACACAGAAACAAAACAACAATATTATCAATTAAAACAATTATTCACCGAAGTGGAGGTGGCTAGTGGTGAAAATTTACAGGGGCCTCGAAGCGGCGAGATAAATATCACCACTAGCCTCCGACACTGAGGTGAATAATTGTTTTAGTGTATACTAAAACAGTGAGATAATTGAGCACAAAAATGGTGCTTTTTAACTCATTTACTGTTGCCAACGATTACAATTTTGGCCCGCAATGTTCTTTGTTTGTTACGGCAGCAAACCGGGAAGGCATTCTGCTCGCAACTTACTCGAGTTTGGCGTCGCTCGCTCGGGGGAACTGGAAGATAATCAGTGAATAGTGCAGGATATTCACTGATTCAGTAGCCAATCAGAGCGCGCGAAAAACACTATCTACTGTTTTAGTATATACTACCAGAAAGGAAAGCCAAAACAACCATTCTGCCAGACACAGCACCATGACCATTCCATTGAAAACTGTCAACTCTTTCCCTTGAAACTGCTGATTTTTGAGATTTGTAATTATGATTTCATTGCTTTGATTTGGGCGACATTTGAGACCGTCAACGTCCCTCTACACTACTTTTAGGTAGCTCACAATTTTGTTTCGCTCTGAGATCCGTCGCATAAGACGACAACGTCGCACAAGGTGAAAGATGAATGAACTATCGCAACGTTGCTGTCCTATGTCTCCATTGCTGCAACGAAAACGTTTCCAATCGGGAAGGGGGATGGGTTACACTAGCCAAACGCCACAACTTCTGCCCCTAAAAATGACGACGCATGTGGGAAGAAAACAAGCCGAGATCAATGGGGCCTCCAGTAGTAAATTGTTGGTTGTTCATAAGCTGTCCCATTTGAAGAGACTTGGTGCTAAGTATTCTGTATCGTCCCTATGAGCTGGGATTGTTTCCATTTCATACTCAATGTCTACGTAATCCGGGTCATCAGCGAGAAGAACCTGTCTGTCAAACATCCCCTGCCCCAGATGTGATCTTCTATGCCTTTCACCGCTATTCCAGATGCTGTATCCAAAGTAAAGTAACATTCCTAGTAAAACAGGAAAAGGTTACGGTTAAACTTGGCAGGCTCCGGGAGGTATTACAGAAATTTCGAATCACGGTTACCGAAAACGGCAAATGTCAGGTTCAAAACGACAATTTTTCATAAAAAGGAAGTAACGGTATAAAACCTGTGCGAACTAATTCTTATGGATAAAATTGGCGTGAAACAACTCGCTTTTAAACGGGGAACAACAAGTAAAGAAAAAACTTAGTCTCGTAGTACAAACTGGCGTTTGCCTACGTAAACTTGATCGTTTGTATTACTTTAAGCTGAAAACAAGGACAAACAGTTCAGTTCTGATAAAGAAATAATGAGATAATGTGGATAGTTACGATCCAAGCCAGTTTTAGAAGGATTTATGTGGAGTCATCAGTACTCAAAGTTGCTTATATCCGGCCTCACTCACTTACAACACTGACAGGCTGAATTTTGGCAAGAGGGTTTTTTCATCTTGTTCTTCTGAATATGCTTACTAATCCCATAATTTCACAAATCTGATTTTTTTTTTACGTCACACTTCTCTTATCTGTCGTGTTTACTTACACTGAAAGCACGGTCAAAATGTTCTGTGCTGATAAGAGAAACCCACATTTTTCCATATTGGGCTAAAGGGATACTGGGATTATTGAAATTACTTTTTTTTCAAAATTTTAATCAGTTGGATCATCGACCGTAATTGGTACATATAATCACCAGAGAGGCCAAAAACATACACAGGTTGCCCTTCCAAAAGTTGCACACTTTTTCCGCAGGTCGCTGGCGAAAGTTTTCTGTGCAAGTTTTTGGGGATCAATTTAGGTTTCTAGGAAACTACCCACCTACCCCTCCCATAAGTTAAGTCAACATTATCACTTACTTCTCAGTTAGGGCAAAATGTTGGGTTAGGGGAGGGGTAGGTGGGCAGTTTCCCAGAAACCTCAATTGATCCGTTTCTGCCCGGACCTGTGTAAGGGTTGATTTCCAGTGTCGCGCAATTTTTACAGGCGTACGTGAGTAAAATTTACATTAGCTAATAAAATAGAGGCAGTGCATGAAGGGTCGCTCGTAAGCGTTACCTTCCTTTGCATTTCTTAGAAGTAACATTTTGTGTAAATCATTACTGTGTCTCAGGGTTAAGGGTCAACAGTATTTTTTAAGCTCGAGTTACATGCTGTTAGCAAGATTATACCACTACATGAGAAATTTCTGCAATTTGATTGGCTTAGAGCAGTGGTATTTAAAGAAATACCTACATGAAAAACATTTTGTGTAAATCAAATTACATGTGTCTCAGGGTTAAGGGTCAACGTGATATTTATTGTTTTTTAACGGCTCGAAATTACGTTAACAAATTGCTGTATTTATGCCAAATATCACTAAAATCGAACTTACAAACCGAACTTAAATTTTCGCTTAATCCTGCGTTAAACGTAACCATCTTTCTAGGAACTGGGTCCAGCACTTTTTATCTTACCGCTATTTTATTTACGTGATTCAAATTTACGTGCGTTAACGTGCGGAGCCAAAAACGCCAGGGGCACCCAACGAGGATATAGTTTAAAACCACTTAACATAGCATTGTTAAACGTATTTTAGTATTCAAACGGTAGATATAGGCGTATTTTTATCCCCTAAAAACTTTTCATCTGTTCGGATTTCCTAGCTGAAAGTCTAGTGATCCGAAAATTATAGGGATGAAAACTTACCTTCTCGAAAATTTCAACCAGGAAAAGGCTCCCGAAAATTCTAGGTGGCCTTTATTGGGGTCAAAATCCGTTAAAAATGGGTAATTTTACCATTTTGTAGATGTTCGAAAATCCTAGGAGAGGGAGACAAGCAAGAAATTTTACAACAAATGCTCCGAAAATTCTAGATCTCAAATCGTTTTCCGAACAGATATTTTCTCGAAAACTGCCGTTGGGTGCCCCTGAAACGCGTCAGTGGAAATCAACCTTAAACGGGGTTTCAAATACAAACCTAATCCCATCCAAACTCCAAAGCGAATCCAGGTCAGTCTGGATAACTTGAGCATGAGAAATACATTGAAAAAGATGGCGAGAATTGGAAGTGCCGGGACTAATGGCGCCTTGAAGGATATTTCCTTAGTGTTCTGAGGCTGTAAACAAATCACCACAATAGCAAATATACTGAGGACTCCAAAAAGTACGAGAAAAAGTATGATTACAAAGCTGCGTCTCTGTAAGGCTTCTAAACCATAAACAGTAGCACTGCAAAATCCAATAAACGAGATGAATAGTAAGGCCACTGCCCAGTTCACTAATTTTACACTTTCCGCCGTAGGACCTTTAGTAAGTTTATTGCGAGGAATCTGCCTTGATGTTTTCTTGTTTGCTGTTGTAAACTCCTCCCAGGATAATTCATTGTCTTGATTTTTATCGAAATTGGGGGAATCTAGAAAGTGTAGATGGCCATTTGGAGACATCTGATATTCAAATTCCTCTGCTGTATGTTCGTATAAGGAAAGTTGTTCATAAACATTGTGATCTTTGTCTGGAAGGTTTAAGAGGTCCATGGAATGGGCGTCTGAAAGATCCGGCTGATAACGGAGGATCAAAACACATAGGGACACTAATGTGTACGCCAGTAACGTGCCTATAGACATCATCTCAACCAATTCGTTCAAATCAAATAACAAAGCGACAACAGCCGTTAAAATTCCTGGGTACACTGTGGCAACAACAGGTACCTCGGTTCTAGGGTTCACACTAGCAAAGCATTTGAAGAGCAAGCCGTCCGAAGCCATGGCATAAATGATCCTTGGCAGAGGAAACTGAGATCCCAGAAGGCTTGAAGATAAGCCACAAATAGCACCTACACCGATAATGTACTTTGCGAAAGGAAATCCTCTCTGAACAAAGGCGTTTGGTATGGGCGATAGTTTGTCCAGCTGATCAAAAGGGACAATGAGTGTTACTACAGTGGATACTCCAAAATAACATAGAAATATAACAACCAGTGAAGCAACGATTGCTGTTGGAATAGACTTTGGAGCATTTTTAGTTTCTTCTCCTGTCGTAGCGATGATATCAAAGCCAACATAAGCGTAAAAGCACGTCGCCGCTCCACTTAGTACTCCAGAAAATCCGTACGGGAAAAATCCTTTCCCTTCCGTCCAGTTCCGGGTGTCCACGAAAAACATCCCCGCTATCACGATGAAAACCACGACTAAGAAGTTTAAAACATTAAAAATTGTACTAAAAGTTGAAGATTGCTTGACACCAACTGCAAGTACAGTTGTAACGATGATAGTTACAACGAAAGAAAGTATATCTGGGTATGTACCAAGACCAGGAATTTGCATCTCACCAACGTACGTTAGCGTTAAATTTCGAATGGCGTTTCCAATAACATAATCGAAGCAAGCGCTTAACGCCCGAGCATCTGCTGCTGTACCGATCATGTATTCTAGAATTAAGTTCCATCCGATGATAAAAGCCCATATTTCCCCGACCGTGACATAACTGTAAGCGTAAGCGGATCCAGTTGTCCTAGGAACACGTGCGCCAAATTCAGCGTAACATAAACCTGACAGTATGGATGTTATTGCTGCTAAGGCGAATGAAATGATTACAGCAGGTCCCGCGATACTAGCAGCAACCTGTCCCGAAACAACATAAATTCCCGCTCCCAAGGTAGCGCCAATCCCGAGGGATGTCAAATCCCAAGTGGTTAGACATTTCGACAATTCCGAGTTCGTTTTTTCCTCCTGCTTAAGCCTTTTCCTCCTGGTTAAGCTTCTCACCAAGGTGGCCATTCACGAAATCTATCGTGTCACGGTCGATTGATTTAACCGCGCGCTTCAACTGATGTCGCAATCCTCTGTTGTGTTTTCAGATTCGACGTTATAGGTTTCTTCTGTGTAAGCTGCCCTCAAAGACACGTTGACGCCGAAAAGACTGAATATGTCTCGGCAATTGTTCCTTTTTATACTTTAAATAGAATGCAGGGACTTGAAGATATAACCATCTCATCGAAGTTGATACATAACCTTGAAATTTTTTCTTCGATAGGTGTCTCACGCATGAGCAGTTAAGCTCTACACCTGTTGACAATTTAACGAGCTACGCCTTTGGTTCCTATACGATGTTTTTTATGCTGTTAACCACAGCGTCCCATTTAGTGCCCCATTACTGTCTTGTAGGCGACACTATTTGTTTTGTCTGTTTGTTTTTCTGATCAACTGTTTCATGAGACTTTACTATCTGAACAAATTTTCCGGGACAACGTTGAAGAATTGTGTTTCACGCAATTTCTGGTACCCAGAGAAGCTGCGGGTCTTTTATTGTCAAAGCCATATAACACATTTCACCTCATTGTTTATGGCCAATCTTATTAATTCACATAGCTTAACTAGATGCTAACAGTAAGGAGTGTATAGATGCCCGCAAAGAACAAAAGAAACATTGTAATATTTAGTTTTTCCTAACGTGAAATTCATTGCCATTAGAACTATCTTCTTGAATGCTTGGTTACTGAACAAACTATTTGACACTTTCTCATGCATCACAGCTTTGTCAACTTAACATTATTTTAAAATGCCTGTATTTACACTTTTTCGACCAATCGGCGAAGTTAAAAATATCAATCTAAGTTTTGAAAAAGAATTTGTAGTTATATCAAGGCGTTTTGAAAATAATTTTTATAGCGCAACCCGCTATCCGATTCCGTTCTATATATAATCACTGGGATTATAATCACATGCTGTTGAGAGAGCATAGGGCCTGAATTTTCCCGTTGTTAAGTTATTAAGCTTAATATTTTCATTTATATGTGGTCTCTGAGATACAACTTTTCTTTGTTAACTGTCTTTTAAGGTGGCCCGAACATATTTATATGCGTGTTGGTTATGTTTTTTATTTGCGTTTTTCAGAATGAAAGATTCTACCGATTTCTATGGTTTTTGGCATACCAAATAAATGATAATGGCACTTTAAGAAAATGTTATTTGTCTTCTTGTAGATATAAAAACGTTTGAGATATTGGCATATATCTAAAACCGCATTTTTGCGAAAAATTCAAACAACTTCGAAATCCCGCGATAGATTGCAAGTTTGAAGGAAATCGTGACCGTAGAACTCGCTGCACAAAATGCTGGTCAAATTTAACATTAAAACACTACGCTAACACATTTGTGAAAGTTGACGCACGAATAGAGGTAGAGTGCCGACAGACTATCTTCTATCTGAAAGGATATTCCTACCTAAAGCTTTATTGCAAGAAACAGAGTAATCAGAAACCTACGGCGAACATAGTTAGCACTACAAGAAGATGCTGAGTGCGCGGGTAATATTAAAGAACTTCTATTCATCAAACTTGCGTTGTATTTGTACCTCTTTTTTGGAAACAAATCTTAACAAAGCAAAATATAGCTTCTACGAAAAATTGAAGAGAAATGAGGGCACCAACGCCTGTACTTCTAACCATACATTTTTCAGCTGCAATGAAAATCCTTGAATTTGGTAATTTATTCAAGCTTTTTAGACTTGCCATCACATTCGCACGGGAAGTTTACCACTTTGGAATAAAGATGAAGACAAATATGACAATCGTCTTATTCTTCTCATTATCGCCAACAGCAAACTGCCCGTGCGAATGTGATGGTAAGTCTTGCGTGAATAAATTACCAAATACAAGGGTTTTCATTGCAGCTGAAAAATGGATGCTTAAAAGTACTGGAGTTGGTGGCCTTATTTCTCTTCAAAACGGGAACCTGCGACGCTAAAAACTCTTGAAAGTTTTTCGTAGAAGCTATATTTTGCTTTGTTAAGATTTTTTTCCAAAAGAGAGGGACAAATACAAAGTAAGTTTAATGAATAGAAGTTCTTTAATATCACCGCGCACTCAGCTTAAAATTGTTCTTCTTAAAGTGCTAACTGTATTCGCCGTAAGTGTCTGATTACTCTGTTTCTTGCAATGAAGCTTTAGGTACTTTCGGGACTTTCGAGAAACAGGCCCCTGGCCTAGTATCAGCATTGATTTGATTAAAACAGATGAACTTTTTAAAAATTTGCACCGTATTCAAGGTGACCGGTCCAAAACCGTTGCGTAAATACAATGTTGACAACTTTTCATGTTTTTTTTTCTGTTGTGTTACCAGAGTTGAACGAAAAAAGTTTGTTCATTTTTTCGTCTTGTTTGCTACGGTTTACGTTTGACCTGTACGGCGAGGTAACAGTAGCCTTGATTCAAAAGGATATCGAAAAGTATCTTTGATCTATCAGCCACGCCATTTTTAGCACGTGACAATTCTGACGAATCAGAAGCCAAGGTTGAAAAGACAAGATGGCGATTAGGAACTTGATCGTTTGTTTACACGAATCATTCGAAATCATGCATGGAGAAGTGAACATAAACTTGCTTCACAAAATGTTTCTAACTACTGCCGATATTGTTACGCGTTCAGGGAAAGTATTTGGATTTTTTTTCCTAAATGGGTTACCTAAATATCAGAGAGAGAAACGATTCGACAAAATTTTCGAGGCGAAGTGTGGAATGGAGAATGCAATCACAAGTACTCTGCCGTGTTTAAAAACTGTCGAGTCAAGGTACAAGAAACCAGTGTCTCATCTAAAATCATTTGAACGCGAAGGACGTCGCATGTTATCTATCAAAACGCATCCAAGATTAACAAGCTCTTCTTTTTATCACTTGTCTCTGGTCTCTTTTTTCCCCCACGAATTTTCTGGAATGCTCACAGTCCCCTAGTTTTTTCGTAAGATCGTCAGGATCGAGCGCTTACCGGTACAGGCAGTCATCTTGCTTTCATATGTACCGAGGGGGAGGGCGCCAGGGTTTATAGTAATGGGGGGAAGGGGGAGTGGGAGGAGAAAGAAAAATCCAAAACCACCCCGGCCCGTTATAAAGTAGATTTGACAGTCATCCCCAGGCTAGACTCGGAACATTTGACTGGCCAAGATGGCCGCCCGTTCCGCAAAGCGCCCGATCTCCGACGATCTTACGGACAAATAGAGGACTGAGAACAGTCTAAAAATTTACCAAACCAATCCACAACAAGATAAGTCATCAACAATAAAATGTTCCTATTAATCAAGAGTTTTGAATGGTCTTTACCGATTCAAATAGGTTTGTTTAGTCATCCTAATCAGCGGTGTGGAACATACCATAGCCTCCTCGCCTGGTGACCAAAAGCGCAACATGAAAGACTGGAAACCGAAGTTTAGAAAGAGGCTAGATTACCTGTTCTGTCAAGAACGGTGTGTAAAAAGGGTCAGTTAGGGGCTAGACTTCAAGGCCGGCACCTCCCTGCGGTAAAAAAACGTTGTTGAGTACCCCCCTCTCTCTTCCCAGCGCATTTGAAGCTTTTGCCATGCGCAAACATATTCTCTAAAGTCGACAGCAGCTAGATCATAGTACCTGAAACTTGAAAGAATTTTTCAAATGTGCCGTTCCTTAATCGATGTTATTCTCTTTAGGGAAGATCATTCTTAATTCTTTTATTAGTTTACTGTTACGCTTTCGATATTTTCAGAGTTTCCTTCGTTTTCTTTAGTTATGTACATCGGAAAACGATAACGCAACAAATAATGACAGTGAGTGAAAAAAAAAACACATAAAAGCTGAAAAAAAAAGCAATAAGACCATAAGACAGCTAAAGCGGAACGAACCAGAGTCACCATCTATAAAGGTTTAATTTTAAAGCTCCAGTTCACTTTCTAGTCCTTCAATTCCTTCCGGCGATACATAAGTGGTATCTGTCCGATTTTTTCAAAGCTAGATAATCATTTGAGGTTTTCTGTAAGCAAAAATTTGTTTTTGCCTCTCAAAGTGAAATTAAAGCAGACAATATCTAGATAGGTTTGTATTTCTGGGCGGAGACTAGATTTTTTCTAGAATATTTCGTTAATGAGACAAAAAAAAAGTCTGAAAATCAAGCCATGCAGGAGTTTTGCTTTTACAGACACTTGATTATCATAATCCATAAGGAGATATTTAACTTCTTTGTAAATAAACTGCCACTTCACCCACTCTCTGAGAAAAAAACCAATGTCAAGTCTAGAACAGTTGAGAAACCACGAGGTAAACAACAGCAACCAGCAACAGAGTAACGGAAATCTCTTTTGGACAGTGCATATGTGCTTTTAGGCACAGACCAAGACTTTCCTTCTGTTTCATTTATGATTTTTTTCTAATCCCCCAGTACTATTTTGGTTTAGTTTGCGTAAGGTAATCGCTCAAGCCATTAAGCAGAAGTCAAAACTTGTTGATTAATTTTTGTGTTTTAGCTTCACTCAATTTAAATGGTAAATATTTGCGCTACTAGCCTCCGGGGTATTCAAGGCAAAGTCACGAAACACTGTAAGCCTTAGTTTTTTCAGAAGCTTAGTTGAGCGTAACGCTGTTTAACAGTTAAAAATCACGTGAAGGCCAACTTTTCAATAAACTTTGCTCACCTCTTTTGTTTTCGGTTTTCAATTCATGACTCCGACTTTTTCTTTGGAAATGTTTGGCTCGGCTCATTTCAAACAATTAAAATGGTTAACTTCCTCGAGCCATATCAAGGTTATATAAATTCCCATCGGCAATTATCTCTCCACACTTGTTATAAGGTCTTATAACGTTATGTCTGATAGTTAATTGCCAGTTGTGAATATTCAAGAAAAATAGGGCTTCCATCAGCCAAAAAAAATCTTTGGTTTAATTAACCTTCCCGCATCTTTCGATTAGACTGTTATATTGCCGATCCCCCCCAAAAAAATACTGGTTTAGACATGACATTTTAAACATCATACAAAAAAGATGTAAAGAGAAAGATATGATGCTGAAAAAGATCTAATCTACATCTATTATAAGGAGTGCAGAAAGGTTTTGCATTCATATTTAATGACTCCTGGCTCTATCAAATAATGACGCATTGAAACAATGTATGGAGTTTCGCTGCGAGAAATTAAAAAAGCTTGGGAAATTTGTTTTGCCACCTTTGATGAAATTATAATAATAATAATGATAATAATAATTAGTATAGAAAAATCCAAGACTAAGAGCAAAATTTGAGACAAAAGCACACATTTTGTCCGAATCGCTCGAACATCATCTGCGATGTAAAGTGTTAGGTTGCGTAACGGAAAAGTACGTTCCCCTGTGCCTATTGAGTTAGACCTTTCTTTGTTTGGTTGCAATGGAGTCCTTCAAGCGGCGCTTGATAGTGTTATTTTCCTCGCATAGTACTTTTACATTGAGTGGGTTGATGGTGTGACCCTGATGAGAGAGAATTGGTTGCGCGGCAATGCACGAAAACGGCAGAAGTTTCACTAGATTAGTGTTCTTTGATCCGGGTACCAAGGGTCCTGATGGTCTCACCAATGTAGCCAATGCACAATAAAATTAATAATAATAATAATAATAATAATCATGATCACCATGATCATGATCAACAGACAAAATTAATGGTTGAATTACACAGTACGGATTCGGACATCAGACAAAAGATTCTCATTTCGTGTAAGACAAATGGTTAAATATCTCTGAAGGTTCTCTCCGGCTGCAGGGACCCCACCGAGTTAGTCGAATAAGAAGAAGAATAATCTTTTGGCATTAAACAATTTCTCTCAAAAATTTTTTTCTCAGGAAGCCAGTCGAATCAGTATTAGTTAAAGTGTTGAATAATTCACGCCATTGCCAGTGAATAATATACCCTCTTTGAAGCAGGACCTTTAAAAAAATACACGCTTTGAAATACCTTATAGATAATTTCCCTAAAGTCGAATGGCTGAGAGCGTGTTACTTATTTCGAACACGTATAATGCTTATCAGATTTAAAAAGATCAAAGAAAATTAGGATTACTAGTACGACACGGTTTTTATCACCTCTCAGTCTGATGTGCCTCTTTCCAGATAAACACTATTCACTCAAAAGGAGACTAAGATCTCTGATTTCCCATTCGTTTTTATGGTTCGCGCTGATTTTACTATATTTAGTTTTACTGATGTCAGCTCTTGGATAGGGTGTCCGACTCTTAGGTCATTTTCTGTACGCCTTGATAACAAAGATACAATGAACTATTTACTTAATTTACGGTTTAAGATCATGTCTGAGTGCTCCTAGAGCTACAATCTTCGACAGAATAAAATGGAACAGCAACCACGCCCCCACAAATCAAGGATGAAGCCGTGCGAAAGCTGAAACTCGCCATTTTCCCATACATCATTTGGGGGGGTGTCTAAATTTTCCATCTGTTTTGTCCACCAAGATCAAGATTGTAACTTAATTCAGAGTCGTTTTATCATTAACTATTTTTCATCGTCTGGCACGTCTGAAATATCTCGACTCGATTGAACATAAGAATTGAACCTACAGATTGGTCAGTAAACTGACCAATCTGTAGGTTGCGCTGATTTCCAAAATTAGCTGTAGGCTCTTAGCCTATGAGAAGACAGATAGTGAGTACAATGTATAATAATGATACCAATTTTTTTAAAAAACACTCCTAAACATTTATCGTTTCATTTAACGGAGTGGTAGGAGCGGATCGGCCCCGGTAATGGTTTAAAGAAGCTTGAGGCGAGTCTAACATTTTTTATGAAATTTATCTAATAAAGTTGTAAATCAAAATACTTCGCTTATTTTATAATTACTTCTAAGTATTGAAGTGTTTAGTGGTGAAGAAAAGATTTCAAAAATTGAAAATGCTGTAAAATGTTTTTTTAGGTCTAATTTGCTAGAGGCAATTTTTGACTCTTTGCTAAAATTCTCTCGAATTTATTTTAACACTAGTTAGACAAACCGATAAAATTAAACTATGGAACAAATATAGACTCTTTCGCCACGAGAACTATTCTAGAGATTAGACATTACAGGAGTTTAATGGTTGCTTTCAAACTTGACTAAATTCCTTTTTGTCTCAGACTACATGTAACAAATTGATGTGATTTATACGAAACAAAGCAACAAAAATATATCTATTGTATTAAAAGTAAAACACTTTGCCCTGAATTTTATAGACGAGATGATTTTGAGCATTTTAAAACGCTACCGATATGTATTTTGTCATTTATAGAGGCCCGTTTACAACGCACTAATGAATTACGGAATGAACTCCGCAGAAGATCAGAGAAAGCTGTTAAGCTGCTGAAAGCTGCATAAGGCTTAGCAAAGTCAAGTTAACTTATACTTTCAATTGTGCTAAATTAGTAATCGGTAGGAAGCTTTTACGAAAACAATCCACATAAGCCTTGGTTAACTAAACATGTAAGCTCGATTTGCAGCAGTTTGACGTAGAAGGCAACCTTGTCCGCCGCCATATTGAAAAACAAGAAGAACCTGGGGACAAGGTTGACTTTATAGGCGCAAAGGAACACAGGTGCACAAAATGGCTGGCACTTTCACCTGTTGAAGCGTCTTTCGTGAACGGAGGTGTAGAATTAACAAGTTCGAGATCGCACCTTTCAAAAAATTTTTCATTCATCTCTAGCAGGCTAATTTTGCTTTTTCATGGGGATCAAAATATAGGTGAAAGCTCTTGAGAGCCATGAGAGGTCACATTCCCCCCGGTGCAGTTCTGACTATGATATGTACACTTAAGTATGCAGCAGAAACGCGGACGAGAAAAATGACGTCAAGTGATCCATAAATTGAAAAATGTTCACAAAATCCATCTAGAGTCGCAGGCTATATAATTATGTATATAATTACGGTCAGCTTATATCTCTGTTTTAAATTTAGTGTTTTTATAGATAGCTTAGATCATTATACTTTTCTGGCAAACTGCCCACCCATCCCTCCCCTAAGCTAACATTAACACTTACTTCTCACTTAGGGCAAAATGTTGGTTTAGGGAAGGGGTAGGTGGGCAGTTTCCCAGAAACGTATAATAATCCCTTTAATTCGGTACTCGTTTTTAACCCCAAAACATATTAGAATCAAAGAAAATTCTTAAATAATGGTTCAGTTTTATTTTCAATTATTCTACTTCTAATACCTCAACTATTAATGTACGTCTTTGGCTTTCGATGGCCAGAATGGAAGCAACTTAAAAAAACTGGTTGTCTAAAAATGACCAAAAATCGTTCATCCTTTGCTTTTCCTTTCATAGAATCATTTGATAACTCTCATCTCTATTTTAGGGTTCGAAGTGTGAGAGAAAATGATTATAAATTAGCAGGTTAGCTACGACCAAAAAACGACATAGCCTCTTTAATTAAGACATGCGCCATTAAAATCCTAGGCGCCTGAAAATTATTAACACTTTGTTTAAGTGGTAATTCACTTTAGGGCTAAAAAATAACTATCAAATCATTTCTTGGATACTTAGTTTAGTTATAGCACTACTGTCTTGAAAAGTCGACTTCTAATTCCACTATGCGAATACAACAACATTCCAACACTTGACGAGCATGTACTCAGGGATGTCATTTGGTTAATATTGGCTGTCGGCGTTTTTTGGTGTAAGATGCTTTGCTATTGTCGTTTTAATTTTTGCTTTGGTTTAGATTTTTTTACATTTCATTAATTCTATGCCATGCCACCGTCGATTTTTCCTTTCGCCGAGTCATTTCGTACCAGTGGCGCAATTCTTCTTCGCTGCTGTAGTTTTGACCGAGTGATACCCTCCCTACTTTCTGTTTTCTCAAAGCAAGTGTTCTTGTCGAAATGCTTGTAACGGTAAGAAGAACGGTCACGGCGTTTAACTCGTGCTCAGGAATATGAAAAAGAAACATTTCGTTGTATTCTGGGTCTATCATATGACGTCTTGGAGTAGTTTTACTCTTACTTATTAGTTCTCCATTGTTTTTAATAACACGAACACCAACGTATGTTTCACGCGCTTTAGAATCGGTTAGCATTCCCAAATTTCTCGTCTTGATAACCTCAAGAATGAGTTTTCCCGTTAAAGGACGATACTCCAAAGAAAGGAGAATTTCTGGTCGATCTTCCTCTGAAATTGCTAGTTCGCCTTCATACATGATTGCCCCCGAAGCTGCTTCGGGAACGTACGACCCTGGCGGCTGCAAATCGACTGAAGCGGGGATCATTTCCGAGTCTAAATCAACAGACCTAAGCCGGAGAGTTCCCTCGCCGAGCAAGTGCTTTGATCCCATAGCACCCTGCTCGTATAAACGAAATCTCAAGGACATATCCTTGACTTTGTCTTTGGGAAACAGGTACATGGCCACGGGTTCATTGAAATCTCTGGGCTTTGTTCGGAAACTCTGTCTTTTTCCGGGCAACAGCATAACGCTTACTTCTAACAAAGACGTGTCCCTCTGATGATACGGTGGGAATTCTATTTTAGTAACGGTCACTGAAAGCTTAGCAGTGTGCATAGTAAAGTCTAATACAATATGAAGACGACCAACACCCCGAACACTTGCGTCCATTGTCCAATCCGAACTTGAGCTAGAAACTCTCTTGGACGGTGTTCCAGCGAACATTCGCGGTGTCTCACTCCGACTTCTTGCCGGAACGCTCCCAAAGTCTCTCCGCGCCGCGCTCCCTCGGACGGTCTCGTCGTCTGAGACGACGCTGCTTGTTTCTAAATTCTGCCTGTTGCGTGTGATACTGGGCACGGATCGCCCATTAGTTAACGTGCTCAAACCGTAACTTGGTGTAGCGAGGGTATACCTCCGTCTAAACTGCGTTCCTGCGTTAGGGACTTGCAACGCCAAAGCGCCAGCACTGGAATCCTGTTTTGGTTTTCCTGGAAGAGGAAGGGAACTATTTCTTTGGAAGTATCCGGGTGCGTTTTCTTCATCTTCATCGTCTACGAATTCGTTGTCGCGATCATCATATTCGCCCTCTTCGTCAGCTTGTCTCACATCGCTTGAGCCGGCCCTAAAATGCAGACAACATCGAAACAAAGGCACAGAAGGTATGAAAAATTTAAAAGAGGCTACATTCATTTCTGTGGCTTTAATTAAGCAGTATTAACAAAACAGACCCTGGGTAGATAGATCCACACAAACATATATTGCTACATCTAAGTCTGCCCATAAACGCCTAATGCCTCAATTTCAATTATTCGCCAGTATCGTTTCACGACTCCTATTGGTTCTTAACTTATTTAAGATTCTCTCGTATGCGTACAAAATTAAAACATTTGATCGGGCAATTATGTATGTTTTCCAAGTCTTGTATTTGTCCGTGATATGATGAGACTAGTATTCAACGCTCGGGTGAATTTTCAATGAGGTTTGCATTCTTGCTTTTCTTTCATTATTTCCCTCTTTTTTTACAAAACGAGAATGTTCTATTCAAGCGTATCGAGTTCTTCTCATTATTGAACTCTATCAGATGGTGACTCCCTATTCAGTAAAAGCCAAAATATTCCAAGCAATGAATTTGACTTTACAATTACGACAACAGCTGGAATTTTATGTTATGAGATCCGTTCGGGTTTTCGCGCGCCGTCAAACCAAAACATACCAAAGGCTCGGATTGGGGCCATATTTAAATCATTTATTTTAGATCTTTTACCAATCTAATTCAAGGATGCGTTTGGTATATATAGATAGTTCATAGGAAGACTCGAAATCTTTATTGGCTGCGGAACTTTCACCCCACCCTCGCAGTCTCCAGCCGAAATAAAGAACGCGATTGAATATGAAATTAAGCCGGCACTAGAGAAATAATTCCATGCCCTCAATTTCTGGATTTTTACCTCGTTTCCTCCGTCGATGCGTTGGTGTTTTGATTTTCTCCTTCTGGATTGATAATACTGCGGAAAAATCCACCGATTTTTGCTGTAAAATCCATTTTGTGGAGTAACGAAAACCTCGAAGACAGACCCGAGTTTGTAAACGCTACTAGCAGTCCATCTGGTGTCGTGAAAATTAAAATGAAGACTTTTTTTACTGCAACTGCTAAAAATATTAGAAAGAACATCAATTAACAGGCGTTCTTTTCACTTTCTAGAGCGTAAACAATATTCGATTGGTCGATTTAAATCTCTAAAGAATTAAGAAAATTGCAATTCGCCAAGAGAGTCAAAACTGCTCGTTCTAGCAAAATAGGAAGTGAGATTGGTATTTTTCTGGAACGTGCAAAAGATATTTTTTTCGCTTGAATAAAAAA